TGCAACTGCATTTAGCCCGCATTCGCCGAAGGACTCAGGACCTCCCAACGGGGTCAAAGCGGGGGCGTCGCGTGGGCGTGGTGGCAATCGAGTTGATTACCCCGCGAGTGCTGAACAAAAGACAATGGCCCGCCACGCTGGCATTCGACGTGTGTCCTGAATGGATGAATGAGTGTGAGAAGGACGAGGACGAGGAGTGGCAGGACCACGTGCCAATTGCTTCATTACTTGCACATTTCAACTCAATAACATTTAACTCGCCGTCCGCCCTCCCTGCCGAGTATAATGTAGAGAGGTGGTATTACTAGAAGTCCTTCACTGAAGGACTTTGTGGAAATAATGACATGCAGGAGAATGATTCAAAGGAGCGTAGATCTACAAGATGCTATCTTTTTAGTCAGAGATTAGAAAGAAAGAGTGAAATACAGAAAATAATTAGAAGACCACTCTAAATAATTTCCTCCAGTGAGAAATGGTGTATTTTGTAGAGATTCAAAGCAAAAAGAGTTTCAAAGGAAGCATGCTAGTACCAGTACCGGGTATCTTATCGTTTAAGAGTCAATTCCTTTCATTATAGTCACAAATTAGTAAAGAGTACATACATCTTAGAATTATATAGAATTATATCTTCAGTGAGACTAGGTATTACTAGCAGAAGCATAGATCTACAAGTACCGGGTATCATACCTCTATCTCCCTTCATATTAGTCACAGATTAAAAAGCAGCACAGCTCTCTATCTATGTGGCATATTGCCACATTCCATGCCCGATCAATTTCGATGGCATTTCCATGATTCCGCTTATCTCGTTGGATGCCCAAAGCCCAAATACGTGCACATTGTTTATCCTTGTTAACCTGTGCGTCCTTTGTCCTCTGCCCTGGGCATACACACACGCACAAGCACACACACATGGGTATGCATGGCGAATGGCAAACATTTGCGTGACCCCGCCACGCCCCCGCCACCTCCACGCCTCCGCCTCCACAACCGCCCTTTGCCCTGCACATTTCTTAATTACGTTTGTCAACATTCTCGAATTGCAACACCGGCCACTGGCCCTGGCCGAAAGCAAACACACGGCCCTGCCTACAGTCCATCTAATCGGTTTAACCGCTCCCAACTAAATCATTTGAGGGCCAGCCATTACGGCCAACATACTCGGCTCTTTGGCCAGAGCCGGGGAGGCTGGCATCCGACTTTCTGTCTCTTCCATTTAATTTATTTCGAAAACTTACCCAGTTGGTTGACAAGTCTGGAGTGCCTTCTTTGAAAAATGGACAGAATCTTAGGGTAACCCATCCTATCTGCCCCAATCCTGAATTTTAATCCTCATTTTGTTAAATTTTTTTTTCGGAAATCCTGATTTTTCAGTTTTGGTCCTGTTTATCTTTGGGAATCGAAATCGGAGCTGCAAGCGGGATACCTTTAACGATTCCTACTTCAATTCCCCATCATTCTGCATCTTAAACTTCAGACAAAATTTTCCATCCCGATTTTTCAAATTTTTGTGGGGGTTCCCCTTGGAAATCCCGGATTTTCAATCTTGGTCCTGTCGATGGCCATATCTTCGGAATAGGAATCGGAGCTCCAAGCGGGATACCTTAAACGATTCGTACTTCAATTCTCCATCATTCTGCATCAAAATCTCAATACAAAATTTTCCATCCCAATTTTTCAAATTTTTTTGGGTAAAATCCTTAACACTCCTATCTGAGCCTTAGCCTCTTCTTCAGAGGACCATCTCAAATGGATTTTAAGAGGACACTGTGTCACTTTGCAAGTCAAGTTTGTCCGAAACTTGCCGTTTTTGTGTTTTCTTCAGTTGACCTGGTTGGCAGTCCTCCTCCATTGTCCTTGCTCTGGCCATGTCCTGCCACAGTGGCTCTGCTGTGTACATATAAGCACACTATTTGGCCATCTGATCCATCCATCTGTCATCTGTTTGTCTTTGGGCAGCCGTTTGGTTAATACGGCGGTGGATTGGCCACAGGACTAGTGTTTGCATACAAATTTCCGAGTCCGAGCTCATTCCTAATCTAATTTCGCAAGGGGTCAGATATTGGGTTGCTCCTCCCTCGTATTCCAAAGTCCTTGTGGCTTGGATACGTTTTTACATAATTTCAAATCCAATTTCCAGCAGTTTCTCCCCTTTAGTTGGCAGCGTTTGACATGCAAGTCATTAAATTATGGCCCTTTGTACCTGGCTCCTTGATTGACGCCAAGGTCCTGCTACACCGAGATCCCAATCAGCGGTTTTTCGTGGTGGTTTTCCATTACCAAAGGTGTGGGTGGCTAGGAACCAATACCTATTTAAGAACTTTAAGAATACAAAATCGAATCATTAAAAAGTAGCCTCTGATTCGCTCGCATTCCCAATATGATATCCGTTTCCGGTTCCGTTCATGCACTCTCTCCCCCCTTCTGTCGTCCTTTTTGCCTGTTTTTTTTTTTTCTGCGGACACGAAGTAATTGGCTGCGAAAATGCTGCCATAAATCAAACCGATAATTATGTGGGCGACTGTGCAACTTTTTCGCACCCGCGAAACCCAACAAAAAAAAAATCAACAAAAATTTCCAGCAGGCTCGCTCTGATTGCCGTCCATAAATTATGATTTGATATGATGTGCGAAATAGTTGAGGCAGTCGGGCTGGCCTCCCGTTTTCCTCTTTTTTTTATTTTTTCGGGTGGACTCCAAGGTCGCGAGTATTCATTTTCCCTTTCTTTTTCGCCTCTGCAGTGTGATGGTGTGTCTGGCGACGGCCTTCGGAGTCGTCCTTGAGGAGCCAGAGGAGGGCGGCCAAGCGATGGCGAGAGTGGAAGTGAAAGTGAAACTGGAGCAGGCTGGCGAAAAAAAAAACAAAATGAAAAGGAAACTCCCTTTTCTGGCTGTGGCATGATTAATTGCTCATTGTTGCGGCGACCACATCGTAAATTGCTTCCACGTCCCCGTGAATCTCGTGTCGGGGGCACGTGAGTGCCATGAATAAAGGCGGAACGGAATGGAACCGATTGGTGGCTGGGAATGGAATGGAATTGGCAGGGAACATGCATAGAAAAATGCACTGAGAAAAAAAATATAAGGGAGAGTGGCAATAGCTTTGTTAAGGCCATTGTCCTAACCACTTTCTTTGAGTGCTGAGGGCTTTGGCACATTTTTGGGCATCGCCTCGGCTCATCTCCTGTCATCCAGGATAACGTTTAAGGCGTTCCGCATTGTTTATCTTCTTCTCGTCCCGGCTAATGTTACATTATTAATGCATCTGCATGGAGATCCTCTCAAGCCTTCGTATGCAAATTAAGGGCGCCCAGGCACACACAGTGTCTTGTCCTTGGGCCTCCTGTCTCCGCCCAGGTCCTTTAGGCCGCAGACGTGCTCCAGAAATGGGAAAGAAATCCGCAAAAAAGCAAAGCAGAAGCAATTCGTGCCTGTTACTCCAGAAGTGATAAATGATTGAGAGACTATTTGGATATATATATATATAGTAGTATGTATGGTATGTGTGTATTTTGCCGAAATCCGACCAGCGGCCTAAGTGAGCTGCCAAAATGGATTTCCGTCTGTGGGCCATCAGCGTTTTTGGGCGAGATTACTCTGCAAATTCAATATTCTGGCCAGCACGTTTCTGGTTGCTTTGTGAGCCGATTAAATGGTAATTAGTTTTCTGAAATCAATCGAAGAATTTCTATTTAGACCTTAAATACAAAGGTCTTAAAGGCTTTAAACTGGGCGCTCGCTCAGGCACATTTCATTTGGTTGGAAAATGTTCTATTATTGCGGCCGTAACTGGCGCCCCGTACTCTTGTGGTGTTTCCCCCGACTTGGCAATAGCAATCACGATAATAAGCATAAATAAAAAGGCCAACAAAAAATTACACAGCCATAAAAAAAGGGCAAATGGCATAAAAGCGGGTGCGGAAAGTAGAGTTACCCCGGCCACATCCATTCGTCTTCCCTGGCCACGGCCATGGAAGGGCAAGCCCGACCAGAACAACAACCAAAACCAGGCAAGTACAAGCTAAAGGAATAAACACACAAACGAACAAGCCATCCACCAAGCCACCTAACCATCCACCCAACCAGCCACCCATCCACCCATCCACCCTGCAAACAAATGTCGGCGATGGGAACACAAACAAGTTCTGTAGTGGGCTGCTGCTGCTGCTACTGCTGCCGCCGAACAACCTCGTAAAAACTTATTTAATTTGTGATTTATATGAATAAAATTGTGTAGTAAATTCCCTGAAATTATTCATTTCGCAGTCCCCGGGACAGGACAAAGGCGAGGGATCTGAGCTTGCCAGAATCGGGGACTCGGGTAAACAAAAAATATGAAAACAGAAAAAGAATCAAAAGTTCTCTCTTTCGTTTTTATTTTTTCTGGTCAACCAAAGAGTTTTCACATTTTTGATTTACTCGCCCCAGCAACGAGAAAGTCGCAACTTTTGGGGCCAAAAACCGATGGTCAAGTCTCCGCCGTCTCCCCTCTGTCCCCTGGACTGGGCATTTATTTTTGGCTCGGAGGAGGATTGAATGTTTCTCGATTCGCAACTAACCGCAGTTTAGTCTGGAAATTCTTTTCTCTGACCTCAATTGTTGGAGAAAAGAACTCAAAAATAGAGTCTGCAACTTGCTTTAATTATTCGCAAATTTATTTTAATTTATGCATTCACTCTCCACTGGCCAGGACATCACTTTCTGAGAACGATTCGACTAGCCCTGAGGGCAAGTGGCTTCCCTAATTGGCAAAAGGCAAATAAAGTGTCACTTAAATGCCATTTATTGTCACAGAAACATTGGCTTAGATTAATTAAACAATTTCTGAGCCCAAATAGAGGCAACACACAACTGTCCAGAACACAAACAAGTCCTCCCGAGTTCTGGATAAATTTTATGGCTTGCCTTAAGCATTTTTCTTCTTAAAATATATGAGAAATATACTCTCGTTTAGTCTCTTATTTAATTTAAGAATTTAAGGATCTTGTTTTGGGGACTCACCGCTCTGGCATCGCATCGCATTCCCAGACTGATGACCAGGCATAATCCCAGGATCTTCAGCAGGCCGCCCGGCGACATGTTTTGTGCCTTTGTTCGTAGGTTTCTGTTCGAAAGGATAACCACTTTGCCACCTCTGTACGTGGCTTATTTTGATTGTTTCTGGTTCTGTTTGTTTTTAGTCTAGGTCTGTTTTTAAAATATATTTCGCAGTTTCGCTCTCCGAGTGTTCACTGTGTACGGGGGGTAAAAAAAAATATGAAAACAATAACAGTGGCGGGTTTTCATTAACGCATCTGCACGAAATTCGCGGAACTCTGGCTAGGTCCTTTTTGTGGAGGGTCCTTGCCCCAGCTCTCAGCTCCCATCTCCCAACTTCATATCCCTTCCCCGTCCCACGCACTTTCGTTTTGCTGTCCAAGCAACAATAACAAGGAATAAAACATTTTGCCGGCGCCGCTGTGACTTGTTTACTTTCACTACAACACGGACTCGGACACTCACACTCTCACACACAGCACACAGCGAGTCCTGGCAAAATGGAGGGAAGCGCGGGGGACGGGGCACGAGTGATAGGAGCCAAGCTAGAGCCAAAAAGGACACTGAGCAGCCACCAACAAAAAAAAAAACAATTCCTAAACGAACCGAACGCGCACGCGGCACGAATTGTTCTGAAATTTGAAACGGCTGGCGGCCGCTTTTGAATGTCCTGGCGCGGCGAAAAAGGACGAAAGGCGGAAGCTCTGCGGCGAATTCGAGACGGCCGAATGGAGGCGAGCGAACATCCGAGATGGCCGAGACGAGGCGAAGCGGTTGGAGTTTATAAAATGTACGTGACGGTGGCTCGCTTCGAGCATGAAGTGTGTGCTAAGCTTTGCTTTTGGTAGCAGGACCTCCTCCTCCCTTGGGCACACCCCCCCTCCACCCGTCCCTGTTATCCTTCGTGCATTTGGCACAAAATGCTCAAGGACACTTGCCCAAAAACTCGCACCAGACCCAAAACCAACTTGTGCACTCGAAAGAATTCCAAGCAATCTTTATTTCAAAGTGTACTGTGTGCCACAGTGCGTATGAGTGATATTCTCAGTTCTTTACCTTCCAAAACATCAAAAAATAGTAACCCTTTATAGTTAATAGCCCTTTTCTTGCAGTGTACTTGGTGGGATGGATGGATGTCCCTCCCAACAAGGACTCTCCAGCTTAATGCTTTCATTGTGCAGCATTTCTTTATTTTTAGTTGATTTGTTTGGACATTTTCGGTTAGTTTTCCCGCTCCACCCTGCCTCTCCCTCCTGCCGCGCACTCTTTCATTGCTGCTCGCATTTCCTGACCTTGCCACCCACCCCGCCAAGGCCAGCCCAGCGGTGGTACTCCAATTAGAATTGTGTGTTTTCCGAGGTGGACAATGGCTGCCACTTGAACTTCACGCGCTCGATTTCACTTCCATAAGTTTCAGTGGCATAATCCCCGACAGGACCTCGTCCTGCCAGTGTCCGTGTAGCTCCTAGTTTGCGGATTATACTTGTCCAGCCACACCCGTGCCACTTCCGATCGGATACGCTGCCCGTTATGGGGTAATCGAATTCCGTCTTAACCCTCTAACGCCAGGACCCAGGGCCAGACAAATGCAAATGCCTGGCAGGGCATCCTGCCTTCGTCGCAGCTCCAATAATGTGTACACAATTATTTATTTGCTCAGCCAGGACAGCTCTGTCGTCCTGTCGTCGTTGTCCTGTCGTTCGCCCATCCTGCCGTCCTTCTGCTGTTGTGTGGTCCTGTTTTCCGTTCTGCTATTGCCTGTATTGTGTTCCAGGTTCTTAAGCCGCCTTAATACCTTTCCTAATGGTTCCGATGCCCTCCATTAGCGCCACTGCCACCACTTAATGCCACACGTAGTCGCCAGGACTACTGCACTCCTGCCTGGCTGGCTTAAAGGACGAAATCCAGGCCCCTTACGCCGTATCCTTGCCAGCTTGATTGGTTAATCGATGCTTTCCTGGTACATCATCACCATCGAACCAATTTCTGGTGTTAGTTCCCACTCCCTTAACTCAAGTCCTTGTAATTTTTTGGAGTGTATTGTTTGCATAATTCTTAAGGACCATGATGCTGAGACTTGTGACTGATATTAACTGGAAATCCAATTGTTGTTCTGCCCCCCCCCCCAGCTCGTAATTGGGCGGATGTGTGTGCTAATTGTTTCCATGCCAACTGCTCAAGGACTCCCAGGACTACGAGGCAGCCTCTGCCACACCACCAGGTAAGCTCAAAATTATGGAATCTAAAGCATAAATTGCTAATTAATAATCCCTAATGAGTGCCGCAATCTTGGCAACGGAATTTGTGTGGCATCCACTACAGCATCTCCCAGCCAAGTGGCTGGGAAAAGGCTGCAGGACGAAGGAACTCACGTTACACAAGGCACTGAGCAAAAACCTATGGGAATTGTAGAGTGCACTTTGTCCTGATCAGCATTAGTTGTAGATGTTTTTCTGCCACGATGCGAGTGTTATATAATAAGTGTTGTCCTGCGACGCGTGACTGGCCACTACACCAGATCCTGTGTGTCCTTTGAGCCATGTGATTCCGTAAGCGGCACGTGCAGGCCCAAAATCTGTAACTCTGTGTCGGCATTCGCTTCTGCAACTGTAATAGTATCTGTATCTGCATTTGTATCTCTATCTGGGCAAAAGTTGCATGCCAACCGCAAAGGGGATTGTAGGCTTTTCTCGATGTCGGCGGTGGTGGAGAGGGGGGGGGGGGATTGGAGGGGCGTTGGGCTGCTTGTGGTCTTGGTAACCGACAATTATTCATTGCGCATACGACGCGTTGGACGCGCTAATTAGACGCTGCAGCTGCCGTTTCTGTCGATAATGAAGCCGCTTTCTGGCCCCGTCCGCAACCTGCAAGTTATATGATTATGCCACCGCACCACCCATCACCCACCAACACCCATTGCCCCGCCCAGCACGTCGCAACGCCCACCAGCTGGCTGCGCCGGCCAAGAGCTGACTGTTTAAGCTGTGAAGCACGTCCTGTTCGGGCCATCTGACGTGGCATGCATTCCGTGTGCGGTATCCACCCCTTCCGCCTTCCGCTACCCCCCCGCTGTGCCCTGCTAAATGGCCGCGTACAAACTTTTCTGCCGGCCAAAAGAAAACTGGCCAAGTAACAAGTAACAAAAGTGCGCCAGCACAAGTTTCGCCCAATCCCTCTTACGGGCCCGAAACTACAGAAAGAAACCCGGGACGGGCGCTGCTCCGGAAAAATAAGTTTCTCCGGGCAAAGAATCGACAGCCTGATTACGGCGGAGGGAGCACTAGATCGTGGCCAAGTCCCAGGATGACATTAGCCAGCAGATACATATTTGTACAAGGACTTCAAGGCGTCGTCCTTTAAGCCATATGTTTGACACTTTTTTTCTCGCTGGGTTACATGTCGAAAAGCTATTGGAACTAGCTAGTTTAGTAATATTCTTATTAAAGTATTGACTTAGCTGGGAACTAGGTAGTAGCTTGTTTTATGGACATTCTCAGGGTCTTCGTATCATTAGTAGTTTGTCTATAAAGCTTACGATCCTCAAGATACAAGACCCCAAAGGCTAAACTGACCTACCCCAAGCCGGGTGGAACCTAAGAGCTTGTAGCTTGAACTTGCCATCCACACAGTGGGGGCTTTCTCTCGATTCTCCCACTAAATCAGCTGGAAAGATCAGTTACTCGAAGACTCTCCACGTGGGTGGCAACATTACGACACTGTCGAGAAATGGAGGAAATCCAGGTGCGTCAGGTGAAAGAGGAGGAGGCGGATCAGCTGATGGCCTTCCTGCTGAAGCACTACTACGCCGAGGAGCCTCTTACGGCGGGCACAAGTCCCCCGGAACCGGACGCCGCCGACAAGGAGTTCCTGCTCTCGAATATTCCCCACGGCACCTGCTTCCTGGCCATTCTGACAGAGGCCCAGGGCCAGCGGATAGTCGGCGCTGTGGTGGCAGGCCCCAAAGACGCGACGGCGCCCCAGGAGGTGGCCGATGAGGCCGCAAAGCACGCCGGCACCAAGTGGGGTCGCATCCTCACCGCCCTCTCCGCCGTGGAGACTGCCACGGATGTGTGTCGCCGCTTTCAAGTGCCCAGCAGCCTCCACGTCCACGCCCTGGGCGTAGATCCTGCCGTCAGGGGTCGGGCTCTGGGCGCCCGCCTCATGACCGCCGCCATTCAGCAGGCCCGGGAGCTGGGCCACCGCCTTGTCTCCGTCGACTGCACCAGCGTCTACTCCGCCCGCCTGGTCTGTGGCCTGGGCTTCGAGCTCGTACACACGCTGCGCTACGAGCACCTCAAGGACTCCGCCGGGGAGCAGCTCATCCGACCGCCGGCTCCGCACGAGAGTATCCAGACCTTTGTTCTCCGACTGTAGTAAGCAGTTCCACCTGCTCCACCTGGCTACCTCCTATCTTATCAGCGCCCTGCCCTCACACCTGTTATCGAACATGTAAAGTCTCTATATTGGCCCTCAAAATACTGCAATTCTAATCTGTAATCTGTAGTTTTGTGGTTAAGGTTATGATAAAATATAAATTATTTGTTGAATCAGTGAAGGGCTTTTCTCAATAATAGATGGCGCTAATAGATCTCCTTCGTCTGGGTTCAGATCTTAAAGGGAAAGGTGCCCAAAAGACCTCAAGATGGTAGTGTTTGCTTCTCTCTCAATATTGTATTGTGTATTTCTCTCAAATAATTTCTAGATTTGGAATCATGTCCCAAGTAGTCCATGAACTCGAATTGTCAACTTCCCAAATTCTGATCCCCCAGCCCGGCTCGACACGAGCTCATTCAAACGTTTGCTACCAAGCCGAACACATCTACAAAATATATTTACAAAAGGTTAATTTTCAAAATTGAAAGTTTCGAATATTTATTTCGAAACATAAAACCGTGATACTTTCGAGTGAAACCATCTATAAAGTTTTAAAGTTACTTGCCACAGCCCCTTCCAAAAGACTCTACCCAGTTTATAGATCGCCGCAATCCTCTCATGTCCAGAGACATGTCCGACCACTCCGAGGACGACTTTGAGGCGAGGCTGCGGGAGCTTGTCGATCATTTCAGGACCTTGAATTTGGTGGCAGTTCCACCTCGAGTGCGCAATGGCTACGGCCAGAATGGTTATGCCAATCGTAGGCCTGCCTTCAATAGGAATAGAGCTGGCCCCAGTGGGAATGAAAATGCCCCCAACAGGAATTCCCCTCGTCGGAATCCCTTCGACCGCGACGGTCTCGATAATCCGGAAATGAATGTGAATCGCTTTGCACATGTGAACAATCAGAATGCCGTACAAGATGTCCATACTGACAGTGTACCCCGTAATGTCGCTAACGTCAGGAACTTCCGTAATGTCAACAATAGGAACATCACCTTTAATGGTCACAACTTTGGTATCGCCCATGGTGCCAACAATCCTGCTAATCCCCAAAATGACAGCAACAGTAGTAACCTCCGTAATGCAAACAATGGTGGTCCTACTTTTAATATTGCTAGGAATGCTACTGCATCCAATAACGCTAGCAATGGTAGTCTATTCATCACTGTTAGAAACGCATCTACGGTCGGTGGTGGTGTTGCCAATAGTAACCCGGTCGTGGCGAATAACCCTGCTGGGAATGTCCCGAATCTCCAGTGGAGCAGAAGGATGCCACCTAGAACCGTAAGCAGGCATAGGACTTTGTGTCCAGCCAGTCCCTAATCCCGCCCCTTACCCCCAGGCAGCAAACATAGACAATAACATTAACCGCATGTTATTGGATAACAAAGTCTGGATCGCAAATAGAATCAATCAATTCCCTTCAATCAATCAAACTGTACTTCTTTGGCCGTCGAGATTCGGAGCCGCCGCAGGCGGCGCGGTCGAAGCTGCCTTCCGCGGAATTGCCTTTCCCGGAGTTACTATCACCGGAGCTACCTTCCCCGGAGCTGCCTTGCTCGGAGCTGCCTTAGCCGGAGGCTCTGTGATCGCCCGGGAGACTCGCCGCCGCCGTCCGCGCCCTCCGGTAGCAAACTCGAGCAACCACTTGATGCATTCCCACGACAATGTCATACGCCGCCGCCACAGCCACATCCGACGACGTCGCACCGCATCGCCAGCGTCAGTCCAAGCCAACGTGGATCGTCAAGTCCAAGTCGACATGGATCACCAAGATCAACAAGTCCAAGTCGACATGGACCGTGAAGTCCAAGCCGACATGCCGCATCAGGGGGAGCCCGCCCCCCAGGTGCCTCCATCGGGCAACAATCCCAACAGCCCACCGTTCCACGATTACTTTCACCGCAAGCGTGACCAATAGACGATCTCCATGGACTTGATGTTGACATTTCCGCTCCCCACCCGGACTTCCCTTGACATAATGAGAGAAAAAAAAAAGAAAACCAAAAAAAAACCAAGAAAATCAAAAAAGGAACTAAGGACTACCGATGATCCTACCATCTGGCAGGATCACGCATAGAAGAGTTCCTTCAGAATATATAGGTACATTTGTAAGCAAATTTTTCAAAATTCTAAAGAAAACCCACTCAAGATTACCGGATACCACCATACGTTAAGCTTCAAAGAACCTCAGGACCTCTTTATATGGAGTATCCCTCGAATATTCGTACATTTCTAAAGCAATTTTTTCAAATTCTAAAAATCCTGCGTTTCTTGATACATATTTATGTCGAAATTGTGTTAAATTCTAAAGCAGCAACGTTAAATTGTAAACTTTATTTCGAAAAAACCTTTTGGAAAACAAACTTTTTGGTTTTTTTTCATGGAGGGAAGTAGTGGGAACTGAACCTGATCCTGATACTGAACGCATAGTTTGGCCACTGCGAGTGTTGTATAAATAAGGAATGGCCACGTATCCTTTCAGTTGATTGTTGGTCCTGTTTATGGCGGCACGAATGTTGCCGCTGTGTGGCCGTTGTCGCCTTTGTCGTTTTTATTGCCTGCCTGTCAATATCCGTGTCCGCATCCGTTCTCACATATACATATATGTATGTACGTTCTCTGCCACTTTGCACACTGACCTTTTGCTCCTTGGTCCTTGCTTCCTGCTCCCACGTGGCCCATCCACCAGCTACCGATGCCACCGCCTGGCTCTGCTCCGGCGACCTTAAGGATATGTGTGACCATAAACAACAGGATATGAAATGACTGCCTCGAGTGGCCCCGGGGACAGGATCTCTGGCTCTTATTCAAATGTGCCACCCACTCATCCACTCACCCAGCCACTCCTGGCACTCTACACTCCTGCACGCTCCGTCGCAACGTATCCTTGATATCCTTGTGTGGCGCTGCCGCTCCCTTGCCTCGTCGCCCTTGGCTACGCACGATTTAAATTAAATTGCACTTGACGCATTTTCCGGAGTGGAGTAGAGTGGAGTGGCGGAGCCAGTAGAGGGACACGGTTGGCGTCCTGCTGCTTGGATGCTCTACTGCTCGACTGCTTGTCCTGCCACGTCCTTATTGTGATTCAATTAGTCCCGGCTAGTCCGGTCCAGATGCTTCTGGTGCCTCCATCCGGGGGCCAAGTGGCCGTAAATAAATAATAAATGCAATCCCAGGATCCCCATCTCTGCCAGGTGAGGCACAAAAAACGGGGGTAGAGAGGACGAGTTAGGACCGGGCCGGGATTACGCTGGTCAAGTTCATTGAACCGGCAGAGATCACGGCCCAAGATGAATGGCCGGATTCGAATTGATGGATTGATGCAAATGGGGGGCCAGGATACGACGTCCTGCTCGGAATGATACGAACAGGAGGATAGTTATTTGACAATCACTTTCCCAGGATCTTACCACCCCACCCCCTCCCGAGCACAATGGCCGGGAAAAATCCTTTGTCCATTTCGGAATCGTAACCACATTTGCCTCTAATTCCGGCAAAGGACTGCTGCTCCGCAAATGGAGGAGGGAGCCTGGGAAACAGACACACAAATCTAATTTGAAATCAGCACACATGCCAGCCAGGGTCTTGGGGCCAGCGGAGCAAGGACATCCAACAGATGGCCAGGCCACCTGGACTACTGCACCATCCTTGAGATAGCAAGGGGGGTGGCCAGCAGCAGCAAACAAACGACAAAACAAAACCGGAGTGTGCCCGGTGTGGGTGTGCGATTTAATCTTATAATGATGCTGGTCTCGGAGCGAGTCCTGCCACATATCTCTACCTGTACCTGTATCTGTATCTGTTTCTGTATCCTTTCGCCCTGAACCCAAGGTATCTGTGTATATCTGTGTTGTATTTCCACATTTTCGCAGTTCATCGTTTGATGTTCTCCAGCCGAATGGCATTCATCCGGAACTGCTCCTGGTTGGGAGCCGCCTCCCCAACGCCTCCGTGGCTCCCTTTTCTCCTGCATTCCCCGCCAGGAATACTCGAGATAACTGCCGGATTTCCCACTCAACTATTAGGATTTGCCAGGGATTCTAGCAATTTCTCGAGCAGCACGGGCACGCACAGCCCAGGCTACTTTTCAATGCAGCTGCACTGGCAGAAAAAAGGATAACTAGGACGCCCAGCCAGGACCTTAAAAATAGTTCACTTTCAAGACTTTGGTGAACCCTTGTTGGGTAGTTTTTATTCCAAGTGCAGTTGTAGGCATTCCCGCAAATTCCTTGCCCGTTCTGGACATGCCAGGGGGGACAGGGCAAAGGACTCGGGCATTCCGGAAGCGGAAGCCCTGCCCAGGAAACCGCCAGGACATTGTGAGGGTCAATTAGCATGTAAACGGTTAATTTTTAAAATTTCCAATTCAAAAACCCAAAATAAGCGCTATTTGGACTGCTCCGGAGGATCCTGCTCCGCACCCTTCTGATTCTGCTGGCCACTGGGTCCCGGCTGGGTATCCTCCTGCAGCTCGAGAAAGGCCTGGTCGGAGGTATACGAGTCCACGCCGTAGGTCCGCTCCTCGGTGATCTCCAGGAGGCTGAGCACGGAGGTCGAGGTGACCAGGGTGGAGTTCGGCTTGATGGCGTACTTCCCCAGGCGCTCGCCCCGCTCGCTGGCCACCGTATCGGTGCGCAGGTACTGCGCCCCCTTGGCGGTCACCACGCAGAGGTCGATGTTCGACCCGGAGCCCAAGTCGTTGAACACTCCGGCCGAGATGGCCTCCCGGACGAGCTGCTTGCCCTGGTCAACGTCGAGGTCCGGCCGCCAGCTGTGCTCCAGCACGGACATAGCGGCCAGGGTGCCCGATCCCATGGCGGCGTACGGCAGCTTGTCGTTGGAACCGCACGGGTAAATGCAGTAGATTTGGGGCCCCTTCCGATCTACGCCACCCATGACGAGGGCGGCTCCGATGTGCCCGTGGTACCGGAACAGAGTCCGACGGAGCAGCATGCTGGCGCAGACCACCGGCACGGTGCGACCCGTGTTCAGCTGGTGCATGTCCAGCTCCGCGGAGGTCATCAGGGTCATCATTTCCGTGTCGGCAGCGGTGCCGGCGCCGCAGCAACTGCAAGTCAGTTGAGATTAGACTCCCTAGACCCTTTGGGGCAATCAGTATACTCACTAAATGTGCTTCTGCAGGTGATGGATCTTGGAACAGTTCTTGTCGGAGACGATGGGGCCTTCGGTGGCCCGGGTGTCGGCCCCCAGGATGACGCCGTCCTTGTAGATGATGCCCACAATGGAGGTGCCCGTCTTCACGGGCTTGGGCGGCTCGTAGCCCTCGGCGATGAGTTTAATGTTCCTGGAGGCGTTGTATTTCCATTTGTGAGTCGGAAAATCATAAAATATTCCCAACAAGAGCTCACCGCACACAGTTGACGAAACAGAAACCACAACGCTTTCCGGTTGAATCTTCGGGCTCGTTCCTCCTCTTCTTCTTGACCGGAATCTTGGACTGAGACATTACGGCACGGCGAGTGGCAAGTGTACGTGGCAAAATATTTTTGAATGTGTACTGTGTAATGATCTAAAGTGACTGGAAAATCTCTCCAACTTGCCATTCCATGATTTTGATTTTACATTTTAGATTAAAAATTCAAAGTATTTTAATTTCAAATTCAAAAGTTTGCGCCACGCACCTGATCAGTGTTGAAAACATCGGCAGCAAACACTAAAAGCTTTCTTCTAATTGGTATGACCCTCTCTGGTAATCGCTCTCTCGCGCTGTTTCTCTCTCTCTTCGATCGCTGGAAGTTGACTTGAAGCTTTCGCTTCCACAAGCGTTGCCATTTCATTTGGAAAATTTCTTCGCAGTGGTTTCATTATAAGGCGCTTAAAAAAGATGTTTTAAAAATTGTTAAAAGTGCTTAAGAGTAAGACCGTAAGTGTTTTTTGTGTGCAACAACTGAAGTTAACATAATGCACGTTGATCAGTGACTGAAACAGTGTTCGTTCATGAAAAAGTGTAACGTTTGCATGATACGTTTGAAATAAGTGATAGAACCATTTAAGTGCCATTATTAATGCTATTCGTAAAATATTTGAAAACTTCAGGTTGCAGGGGCTCCATCAGGCTTAAAATTGACAAAGTGAACCAGCCCCTAACGGTGTGTGGCAAAGTGAACCAGCCCCTAACGACCGCAGTGGCTCTAATCTGTATGCGAGGGTAAGCGGAAAAGTGCTACTATCCCCCAACGATCGTAGGAGCCCCAAGCCATGTGAGCGACGGTCAGCAGAAAAGTGCTACTAAGCCCTAACGACCGTAGCGTTACCATGCGGAAGAGAAGCTTTACAACCGCATGCTTGTAACCATAGCTTTTAGGTGAGAGAGAAAGAGAGTGAGCGGAAAAGTGCTCCTGTCTCCCAACGATCGTAGCAGCTTCAAGCAGAAAAGTGCTACTAAGCCCTAACGACCGTAGCGTTACCATGCAGAAGAGAAGCTTAACGACCGCATGCTTGTAACCATAGCTTTTAGGTGAGAGAGAAAGAGAGTGAGCGGAAAAGTGCTCCTGTCTCCCAACGATCGCAGCTCCAAGCAGTATGAGCGAGAGGGAGTATAAAAGTGCAATAAGCCCCCAACGACCGTAGAGGCCTCAGCTAGTAAAATGCTAGTAAGTTATAGTTTATTTAATTATTTATTGAACCATAGAATAAAAGGATAAAATATTTAAATAGTGCTTAGATGTGAAATAATATTTCTTCTTCTTTTCAGTCACCATAGAATCTCGTGTGCAAGCGAGAGTGAGCGGAAAAGTGCCACCAACCCCCAACGACCGCAGCGACCTCAGGTAAGGGGAGCCATTTATGGAAAGTAAGAAGATGGCTAGGATGGCCAGGATGGTCAGCTAGGAGGAATATAATATTCACAAATGGACCACCAGGTAAGTTGCTTTATTCTTTTCTTTTAATGGGAAATATTCAAAAAAAAAAGGCTGCCAACCTTCACTTACCTTTGATTGCGTTTGCGGCCATTCTGCTTTTTTCCCGAAAAGCCAAGAAGCAATTAAATAATTGAAAATTCAAAGTAAAAACCTGTGGCCCAGCTGTCGAGGAGAAAAAGGCGGGGGAGACCGGACTCTGGGCGTGGCCTGTGCCAGTGGCAGTGCAGCGGCCGTTTGTGCCACATTCTGTGTCTGCATTTCAAATGCCAAACAATTTGACAGAGCTTAATTGGTTGCCCAGCCCACAAGATGCCACTCTGTGTGGGTGTGTGGTTGAAACTTTGTCCCACTCATCTGACATGTGGGGGGTGTGCCGGCATGTGCAACTCTGTATCCTTGTATCCTTGTATCCTTGCACCACACCCCTATCCAACTTAGTATTAAGGCATGAAAACTAAACATGGGTGGAGGTTGTATTATAAGATATTATGATTATATATACCCTATACCATATTCTCGAAGCGCCCACTTAGGGGAGAGCGTGTGGGGCAGGGAGGACCATCTCGCCGACAGTGCCACATGTCGCACAAATCAATTAGCATTAATTAGAATCCAATTACACTTTAATCAACATTTGGGCAGCATAATCGCCGTGGAGCTGTCTTGTCCGCTGGACTTGGGCTCTGATTTTGATTCTCCGGGTGGTGGTGGCGGCTGCAGCTACCAGTTGCCAGTTGCCAGTTGCAACTTGCAAATCGTGCCACCAACTTTGGCAGCCTAATTGCGTGGGTGGGCCGAGCTCGGCAGGAGATGGAAACTCGAAGAAAAATAATATTTATTTTTTTTTTTTTCAAGAGGCTTTTGATTTTGAAGATTTCTTTAAAGAAGTTTCTCCTATTACCCTCCTTTTATGATTAGTATTATGATAGACTATTTCTCTCAGTGTACTTCCTTTCCAAACTGCGGCCAGAAAAGTTTCCCCCGGCAATTTCGAACCAACAAAAGTTTCGCAACAAATGCAAATGCAGCTGGAACAATTTTCTTTTGCTGCGGAATATTTTTGGGGCTATTTCTTTGTTGTGCCCCCCCCACCCCCTTTCTGACAGCTGATGCGGTGGCTACCATTTGGCTTTTCAATTAGACGCCCCGGCAACACCTGCCCGTCGCTTTTCGCCCCTTCCCCCCACCACCGAATGCACTTGACTCGCAGGCCTACGCCGTCAAAGCCAAAACGGGAAACTAATCAAAAGTTGGCAATCAATTCTGATTTCTGTTTTGTTAACAGCAATTGGAAAAGTTTACACCCCACACTCACCCCCGCCCGGGCTGACCTTGTCCTTTTTTTTTTTTTGTCGGCTTGCAGTTCCAGCGAGAGGAGTCCCTTTTTCGGGTGTCCTTTTTTTTTTATTTCTTGCCTGGGACGGGACTCTAACTGCCGACCTGGATAGCTGGCTGACTGCCTGACTGCCTGCCACTGACAAAGGATGCGCGTCCTTAGCTGATTGGGAGATTAAAATTTAATAAGATTACAAAGTCATTTCGGGCTTGTCGGTGGAAATTTATTTGGGTTTGTCCTACCGCCCTCCCGCTCTGCCACCCCGACTCTCCCCGACTCTGATCTATGGGCTTGCCCCCAAAAAAAAAGAAGAAGAAGCGGCATCTTAATTATGCATCACTGGGTCCGGCAGCCCAATTCTCGGGGTTTTTTTTTTTTTTTTAATTGATTGTTGCCTTTGGAGTCTGACTCTGGAGTTTGAAGTTCCGGACACACTTGCTTGAAGACGGAGAGCTCCTCTGCCAGACCACATAGTCCCGACTTCATGCTGATGACTTTCCGAACACACACACAGCCGCAATCCACACCCGCCGTGATGGGTCCTTTGATGTTGCTACCCGTGTGCTCCCCCACATCCAGCCCGTCAGCGAAAGGACATGAGAGTGACCTGTGCCGGACTGGAGTGGACTATTCCCCGGCGGTTGGCCATTGGCCGGTGCATCCTTTGAGCACTGCAGCCGCTGTCAGCGCACACACAATGTCCTGGCGAAAGGCTCTCTGCCGTCCAGCACTCATTTGACACATTCGGGTGCCAGGACAAAAGGACATAGCTACACGGCTGCACAGCTCTACAGTTCAGGTTGAAGGGAAATACCTGGTAGTTGGCTGGAAAGCTTCAAATTGCCGTCCACGAGGAAATAATTGACAATAGAGCGACGAAAGGTGGTGGGTGGGGGGGTTCAGTCATCAAACTAGAGTCCTTTTTGGGCACTCGCTTTGTCCTTTCTGAATAATCTATTCTTTAAAGGCCAGAGAAGGAGGCACAGGGGCTGTGGAGTCTTTATAGTCGGACGGAGCCCTTTATTCGTAAAACCTCTAAAAATAAATAAAGTTTCGGGTGGGAGGGGAGTCTGGCTCTGCAGCTCCATAATTCAATTAGTTATAGCCGTGTGCTTATTATCCTCGACTGGCTGGCTGGCTGGCTGGTTGGATCCTTTTCGGGGGCCATAAGCCGCGGAATGTGCAACATGTGTGGGTGCCTGGGTTCTGGAGCGGCAATTAAACGGGAATTTCATTTCGAGGCAGTGGCATCTGTTGGAGGCACTTGCCTCGAAAGAGTCACAATCGACTGGCAGCTGCTGGGCTGCTGGGCAGATCCGAGAAGTCCTTTCCAGAGAGCAGGAACAGGAGCATGGAACTCAAATATGTACTCGGCAAATGCATAACGGGAAAGAACAACAAGCAAATCGTTAAGATTCGCAAACTTTCTGCAGAACAATTGCCGGCATAAACACACAAAGTGGCGCACACACCCCAGGACACAAGAAGGATGTGCTGGCAAGGACACCCCGGGCTTGCAGCCTGTGGAATACACTTTCGCTCTGTCTCAAAAGTATCCCATCCCATAGCTTGCCACAAATATGCATTTCTGAATTATTTAAATTCACGTCCTGCTCAGCAATTAAGGAGTCAATGGCACTCGAGAGTCCTGTTTCGGCAAATTAATTGCACAACCAATCGACAGTAATTGATATTAAATCCTTACCGAGTTTCCTGGTCCATCAGGACACTTGTCGACCGCATTCCGGCCCTTATGCGACAAGTCTGGTGCCCTTTTAAAGGGACTTGGCAAAGGGAAGTATACCACCCACCTGGTACTTGGAGTCCTGTTTTCTTCGGGCGAGAAAGTTGGCCCTCGTGGCAGGCAGGTGCGAAGTGCACGTCTGCCGCTGCTGCTGCGGGCTTGTGTTGTTCCAGTGCAATTACATCCAGATACTGGCATCTGCTCCGGCTCCCAGGTCCTGGGACTGGGCTTATGACTTAATAAATACTCCCCGGGGGGAGCGCCATGTGGCTGGCAGTCTAGTAACAAAGGCAAACGGCATCGGAATAAAAAGTAGAGCCCGACCTAAGAAGCAGCAACTGCTCCTCCAATATCCTGTATCGCATACACTCCTCTTCCGGCAGAAATCCAATCGTCAAGTAATCCAAATCTCAGCAGGAGGCGCTTATCCCCCAGATCCCGCCCCTCAGATGCCAATCGAGAAGTATCTATACATCCTTAAGATTTATATTTTCAAACGCTTAGAACTAAGTCAACAAGGTGGCCTTGGAGGCGACTGCTCCTCAGTGGTAGGCGGCGTAGAGGGGCGCCACGGGAGCCACGGCCTTCACGACGGCCTTGACGAGGGGCTCGCGGTTTACCACCGCATTGAAACCGTTGACGGGATCGGCCGTATACTGGACGGTCCTCTTGAAGCCATCAGAATCCACCAGGGAGTACTCGCCGCGCACCACATCTCCGTCTCGCTCCTCCACCTGGCTCTTGGAGTCCCCGGAGAGCGAGTCCTGGACGTCGTAGGCGTACTTGTACTGCGGATGAGGGTCGAATTCGTCGTCGGCCTTGGCCAGGACTGGGTGGGCCAGGGTCTTTACCACCGGGGCGGCAACGGGGACAGAGGTCAGAGCCACGGGGGCGGAGTGGTAGACCTGGGCGGCGGGCAGGACGCCAGCGCTGGCGGCGGCAATCAGGGCGAAGAGGGTGAGGAACTACAAGAGAGATTAGGTTTAAAAAAGAGCTAGAAGAAGCTGAGGTCCTTTGTCCTTTACCTTGAAGGCCATTTTGGTAGGAATATCTCGCTGTTTCCACGGCTAGCTGCTGTGTGATAAGAAGTGCCAGAGCTGGCCCGCTTTTATGCCAAAAGTAGAGCTGCGAGCCAGCAACAAAGTGCGAGCCAAGGCCTGCTGACCCCTTTTTGTGGGCCATTCGAAGCTGGGGATTTGTCTCAGAAATCAGAGGCACACTCGCATAGTCACAACAATGACACAAAAAAAGAGGCTTGACATTGCAGAAACGAGTAGCTAGTTGGCCAAGTGCTCGATGCAAAGTGTTACCAACTAAAACCGGTCTCCGGGCCGGGTGTGGGCTGACACCTCGCCCCTCTCCCAAGAGGCAGGTGGGCTGGTTGCCGTGCGCCCATAAATAGCTTTCCTGGTGGGCTGATGGGATTCCACGCGTCATCCCCACCTGGCAGCCTCCAGAAACGACGAATCTTTCAGAATTTTTGATTTCTGCCACCTTCGAAGCTATTTCCAGTGGCATGTGTGACTCTGGAGTGGGGGATACCACTCAGGATGTGAACTTTAAAACTATTTCATTCGAAATTTCATTAAAACGGCAAGTAATTGAAATAGACAGCGCCGCTTAGCTGCGAATGAGCTCCGGAAAAGGTAGGAATATCATACAATCCATAATCCGGGCTGACGGCCTCCCTCGCCCTCGCCCTCTGAATTTAATTACGAATATGAGTGGGATCAGGAGGTCGGAGGTCAAGGAAGGCCCGGCCAACCTCCCCGCCCTCCTGCCTGCTAATGGTGTAAATGGTGCACAGTCCTGGCTAAATATCCGTTCTATCAAATTCAATTAAAGTTGACATGGGTTCACAGCTGGCCCTTCGTGGGTCCTGGGCGCTGGCAGTGGCACTGGCTGGATGGATTGGTCGGAGGGACTGCCATGGCGACCTGACCTGCTCCACCCACCTGGCAGCTGTAGCCTCCAGCACCCACACACGGTCGCCTCCAAAAGAAACACTTGCACCACAGGCGGCCGGATAGATGAAAGGGCCTCAAGAAGCAGTCCCTGGAAGGATCTTTAAGGCAGAGTGCGGTCTTTAAAGTTGCAACAAAATGTGGCATTCGACCATCTCTGTTGCGGGGCTGTGGATGTGGCCAACGCCCAGGCGTAATAAGACAACGGAAAAGTGGAAAAAGCAGCTAAGCCCGGGAAACCGGCAATCGGGCAAAGGTTTTTCCTGCCACGAGGCTTTCCACTCGCTTTCTTTTTGCTGCCCAGCCCGGCTCTGCTCCCTTTTTTTGGGGCGATTGCGGCACAGTGTTGCTTAAATTAAAACACAGATACTTTCACAGATACTCTCACAGATACCCATACAGCACACAGTTGCAGTTGCGGAGGGCAGAAGGATCTCCTCGAAAAAAAAGGAAATTTGCAAGCGCCTCGGACGAGTTTCGGGCTAGGACTGGCCCAGGGAGCAGGGGCCTCCTCCTTCTGCTCCTCCTCCAGCCGCCTCTGTTGCTGCTCGCTGAGTGTAAATTTGCTCGTTAAATTTGTTGGCACTCTCGACTAATTTGCACTTGTAACGCAATGGTCTGCACGGGTCAGGGGTCGTGGGGTTAGAGGGCGCCTAGTGCCGGCATCCTTGGCGGACTGCTTTGCATCGGGCATCGGGCTAATTGAAAAGACGATGCCCGGGCCCAGGGAGATGATGGGATGTGGAACCCCCACCCATGACCCACTTGCAGTTCACAACTAAATACTCCCAAGTGGCTACCGGCTGCTGGCTGCTGGATACTGGATGCTGGCTGCCGGATCGGAAACGTATAAGCAGGAAAAGTAAATCAAGTGTTTAGCACTTGGAAGTGCAATTAACAACTCGCCAAGTTCCTGGCCAGCGTGATTAAAGTTGTCCGAGTTTAGGGCTTTAATCGAGGGCTGAGGGAGGAGCCAGGTAGCCAGGCAGGATACCTTCTCTCAGGACACTTGGTATGCAGGACATGCGGCGGGGGCAGACATGCGTATGTAAATGTTAATCAAAGCAAATCATTTGGCAGGACAAGTTCATAAACCCACCCCACCTGCCAGGGGGAGGGCGCCTGTCCCGTCGGCAGGTGGGCACTGGTGGCCCAGGCCCCGACCCTGCCCTGCCTGGAAATATGAATAATTGGCCCGCATTAGCCGGCATTGTTGTTTCGTCAACGGGAAATCAGTTGGCAGATTAATCGTGCGGCATTCATGGCCATAATTTGGTGCCAAGGGGTGGAGGGGGAGGGGGAAGGGAACAGGGGGGAAAGGGCAAAGGGCACAAGCGACTGATTGATGGCCGGGGCATATTGAGTCGATAAATGCGAAACGAATGCAACAGAGGCCTAGGGAGTTGCCAGTTCCCCGAGCAGCCGAGGCCAGAGGCGTGGCAGCGCACTCCAGGGGGGATCTGGGAGGATCTGGGAGGAGGGTCTGGGGGCTGGGAAGCCTCTTGTTGGCCCTCGACTTGGCTCATTATTATGCAGCTCATGAGTCTCGTTAGTGGCAAAGTTATATGAGCATACATCAAGCCATGCCGCACAACTTTGCAACACCCGCAGGAAGTCCTAAACAGGGTGGAGAGGGATGCGGAGGGGAGGGGGGCAGGAGCAGGACGAGGCGCAAGGAGCGTCTAGCAAAGCGGAAAGTGTTAAGCACAATGAAGTAAATGCTGCCAACTTCTGACATCCCTGAGACGAGGCGCCGGCACATCTAGCCCAACTTGACTCCCGAAACTCTGTGGACGGGGAGGGGAGGGTGGAGTATCTAAGGACTCTCCAGGATTCATCCGCCCGCGTTTCATATCCTTGCTGAGCCAGTGAGAGCTCCAAAGCTCTGCCAATTCGCCGCAAAAGGCGTTCGTTTTGAGGCGAAAAGTAAATCCAAGCAAGGACCTGCTTGTTGGTTATCCTTGCAGTGGGTTTTGTTTCGTTTTTTTTTGGAGAAATGCTTGGTGGTTTTAGTCGTGGGTCCAGGTGATTCCTCAACTTCCTCAGCTTTGGCAGCGGGATGTAGGGCACCTCATAATGGCCAAATCAATTATCAATTCGAGGCCGACTTCGGCTCCAGATGAGTTATGGGCCCAGTCGGCTAATGGCCCGCAATGAACTGGCAACTGGCAACATGGCAAGGACATTGCTTGATGGCCATGGCCAGGACCTGATTTGTGGCCCGCGAATGGAAATGAAGAATTACCAAAGCTGACAGCGTTTTTTGGCCAAAACGGCTTCTGGCCGGGCGCTTTTGGCCAACAAAATCAGTTGCATATCCCAGGAGTGTAGTTGGAAAGCTGGTTAACAGGCAACTGGGGTTAAGTGGCATGGTTCTAGCTCCAGCTCCAGTTCCTGCTCCTGCTCCTTTGTGGCCACTTCATTTCCGTTGATGCACTGCCACAAAAAAAGCTAAGCTGGAAACTTAACACAAAATACTTATCCTTTTGAAAGAGTAGCCTCCACTTTCGCACCGTGTGGCAAGTGGCATACAATTAGCAACAAATTGGGGGCATGTCCTGGGATAAAGTGTGCAAGGGTATGGCGTGTCGGGAATCAGCTGCATTAGCAAATTCATGCAACGTACATACCTAATTGAAACGGCGCCCAGCTGCAATTATTTTCCATTCTAATTCCAGTTTCCCCAGTGGCCCCGAGGCCCGAGGACCAGGCAACTGACCACCACAACTGGGTGGATGGTGGGTTCATGGGGTTCTGGGGTCAGGGCTTCGTTTTTATTTTGGTTTCGCGAATGGGGACTGGGAGCCAGTATCCTGTTTCAGGACTGTGGCAACTGGAATTGAATTCGAATTGAAACGGAATCGCAGGGCAGCAGGTTATCCAGCATCGTACACTGCCCTATCACTAGTCGCTAGAGGACCAATAGTAGGTCTGGTTCTTTTTTGGGCTTTTCTCTCAGTGTACTCCCTCCACGATGGCGTTCGCTACAAAATTGGCAATTGGTTTTTGCCCCGCCGCCCGCAATTTTCGCGTTTAATTAGCTGCGACTGCAAGTTGCAACTGCAATTTTAACTGCAACCCATCTGGATGACCAGAACGCCCCTTGCACCCCACCTTGCACCCACCATGTGTCGACTATGGTGTCGCTGGTTTCATTCGATTCTGACCATCTGGTCATCTGGCCATGTGCCAGGGCCGTGTCGATGCAATTTGTGCAGCCATGTCGCAGTCCATCAACACCTTTTTATTCGCCACTGCAGCCTGGCCTGGGCCTGGCCCTGCCCCCCCGCTGGCGGCCCTTCTGTGGTTGCATAAATTGCAATTGACAGTGCACCACCCCATCTGCCTGGCCGGTGGGTCAACTGGCTCCTCGTTTTTGGGCGCCACTGCCAATTCCAAAGGGAGCCTCTAAATAAAGTTCATCAAGCGGATTGTGGCGCGGCTATGGATACTAAACGGGCAGATCCACCAGAGAGTTTGTATTTGCGGATTGCGAATGGAAGCGGATTAGGTGACCAGGTGGTGGTGGTTCCTGCACCCCGCCACGGGGCGTATACGCAATTTTTACCTGGTGGCTACTTGGAACTCTCGTGCATCTCAAAGGATAACATGGATGGGATTCTATGCCCTTAAACCCTTAAAGTACTGCCAGGAGTGCCCCTTTTTGGAGCGGTGGCTGGCCGAAACTCGCTTCTGTTGTAACGTGTTTAGACAATTCCATTTCGCGATCGTCCTGCCATCTCCTGCCCGCTCCTAGTCCTCGTTTTTTGCTGCCAGCCCGTTTTGCAGGTCACGTAGAGAGGGTGGTTGGGAGCTGGAGGGCAGGGCGTAAGCCAGTTTGTTTGCTGTTTGCGCATTTCAAATTGAATTTTCATCACCCAATCCCAGGCCCAGTGGCCCCACCTCCAACCAGGTGGGGGGAGAGCCGAGTTGCAGCATGATATGGCAATTATAAAGAATGCAGTGCTGCATCGAGCATTCCGCTGCATTCCATCCACTGCCACTGCTGCACTCTATTTTCCAGCGATTGCCCTCGGAGCTCCTATGACATATGAGCTAGCGGATTATTGGGCGAAAGTTTGCCAAATGTGGCAGCCAGTGCCACTGCCTCCCGAACTGCAGCACTTTCGATCCCAGGTGGAAATAAAGAAACAGAAAAGCCTCAAATATGATTACACGGCGGTGGAGGTCCTTTCAATGGTCCTGCTACGAGATAAATAGGCTCCAGTGTCCTGCAAATGGAGCCGGAACTTGGACCCAACAAAGCCAGACTCTGTGCTCAGTGTGCCTTCGAAGAATTCTTCCCTCAAAGTGCCAGCTGCCGAGGAGGAAAAAGTGCCAGCATGTGGCCCACTGACAATGACATCTGTTGGCTCTGCGAATCCCTTCTGTGGCCCAGGGAGCTGGGGCTGGGGCTGGGAGGCCCACCCACTTGGCTATGACATTTCACTTGCTGCCTCGCATTTTCACTAAATTGACTTTGCCTGCTATCGTTTAGGATGCACCACGCCCCCAATACCACCCAACCACCCACCTAACCACCCTCTGTCGCCCCGCAGAGTGCTCGCATTCATCCACGCCCCAAACATTGCCAGAGTGCGCCGGGTCTGAGTGCAGCAATTTTTTATGCTCCGTTGGGCAACGCCAATAGAGCTGACAGGAATATGAGCCATTTAGAATGTGTGGCTTCCTCGAAGGATATTAAACCTATTGGATATTTAAAACAGGAGCAAGGATCTGCAAGAAAGACTCTAGAAACTGAGAGTCTCCAAAAAATGGCCGAAAAGTATCCCCAAATCGGCCATCTCTGCCTCGGGCCGGGTAGTCCTGGCCCATGGATCCGTTTCAATGCCACGACAAGATGGAGTGTGCCAGAGATTGCAATCTGAAATATCTAAAATCCCATAAAACTGCAGACGGCAGGAAGCAGATGGGTGGCACCACCTCGGAGGTGAGACCTGGGCCTGCCCTCCGCCTCGGTTCCGAAAACCAAAAACTCGAATTCAAAACCCAAAGTCCTTGTCCTCATTCTCCATGGCGGTTGCCTTTCAATTGCAACATGAGCCGACAGTAGGAGGAGAAGGTGTGGCATCTGTGGCGCATGACCTGGTATGGGGATCGGGTTTGGGACTCGGATTCGGATTGGGATTGGGATTGGGACAATATTTGAGGATGATTGCATGCTTGTGCAAGCGGCTTTCATGTACGTGAACAGCAAATTTATTTGCACAACTGCGATTGATGCTGCCATCGCAACAGTCGCCACCAGCTGCACTTGGAGAAGGATCTTTCCTAAGAGTTGGGAACTGGAACTAGCCACCAGTCCTGGTTTTTTCCAGTGCACTAACCTGACATTTGGAAAATCCCGGCCCGTCAATCGGAGTCGGGCTTTAGGCAAATGCTCGACTCTCAGTTCTCGTCTCCTGATCTCCACCATAAAAGTCTGTTGCATAAACCAATTTCGCATTTGCTCTGCCACCAAATGCAGATGCCCCCAAGGGGCAAAAGTGGTAGGGTTATGGTTATGGGGGTGGCATAGAGTGGGGAGTGGGGGAAGCCATTCTGTCAACGCAATTCCTTCCACTGCCGCCAGACTTGTTGGCTGATAACGTAAAGCGCTTTGATTTTTATTTAACTGCACATTTTGCACAAACCCACCAGTCACCAGCCACCAGCCACCACCCACTAGCGACCACCCACCTCCCCCCGATTGACATTTAATGGCAACTTGTGGCAGATTTTCGATTGCAATTTCTGCGGTTTCCAATTTTTTTTTCCATTTTTTTTCTACCAATTCCACAATTTTCCATTTGCCTTCACTTATTGCATTTATTTATTTTGTGCGGCGTCTCGCTTTCGGTGCTTTGCTTTTTAGAAGCCAGGACCAGGACCAGGACGAAGGAGTGGTCCTGTGAAATTGATAATTTATAAAATTGCTGGCAAATGGCAGAGCATCCGGCGGAGGAAAAAAAACAAGGAGCCTTTGCTGCAACACATTTGCCGCGTTTGCCTCATGAAATATTTCACAAGTTTCGGCCGTTACCTTGACTTGATAGAAAGCATCCTGCAGCACAGTCCTGGAGTATCCTGGTGGCCACTTTATGGCGAGGACCTTGTCCTGCCACCGGAGCTCCTTCCACAACATTAAATTATGCAAAACACACACATTCGCCCGCCAAGGACTCTTTCATTTGGCCGCAGCTTTAAAGAAAATATATTTTGCACTCGGCTGTTGCTTTTACTTAGCCCCATCCCATCCCATCCAGGAGGAGGAGCAAGTCCTGCTCAGTCCTGGCCATTTTCACGTATTTATTTGGCGCTTCGCTGCTTTTATTTTATTGAAATTTATGATTTCTGACACAGAATTTATGTTGTTTTGCATTCGAAAGGCTGGGTTGGGCTGGTTGGCTGGTTGGAGTGTGTGTGCCTGGGACTGGGTCTCGAGTCTGGGGTCTGGGGTCTGGGGCGTAAAATAAACCTCAAATACTCGTAAAATGCCCGACCAGAGGCCCCCATGCCACTGGCCTCCCCTTCCACTTCTCCATAAACCACAGTCGCCGTTCTTTGGGGAGAAAGGGGGACAAGCTCGAAAGGAGAAAGTCGACTGGAGAAAGGCGTTGGGCGTTGAACAGGGAGTGGGGAGAAGGAGCATTCCCGCATTACGAACTTCTTCCTCGTGTTTTCGGTGGCCCTTCCGGTTCGTCTAGTCCCCCCGGCCGTGTCCACTGGCTGTGGTGACAGTGCTGATGCTTCAGCCGTAGCTGGAAGGAGAGGTTATCTGGTGAAGTGCCCAGTGATGATCATTATTTGGGAGTGGGAGTAGGAGTTTTAATGGTGAAGTCCTTATGAAGGACATCTTCCATCTTCTGAAGGTCATAACTTGGCCAATGGTAGGCCTAATCATAAGAGGTATTGCTTTCTATTCTCAGATCGGTGGGGTTTCCTTCCAGAAACCTTTAAAGATACACCTCTTGCCACTCCCCTAACCACTAGCTGAGATACTACCTCCAGAAAGTCCCACTTTTCAGCTTCCTAGACTTCCCAGACTGGCAACTGGAAAAGGCTAAAAGCCCTGCCAGCACTGCCTGCCAGCTCCACATACATATAGAGTATCTCTGTGGCAGAATGGTAACTGGCCTGGGTCCTGGCCAATGCGCGTGAATTATTTAATTCGTATAAATATTGAAAACTCAATTTTTTATGATGTTTTCTTGTTGGTTTATTGCTCTTTTGTGGCGTGCTCGCATCACACAACTTGGCCCCAGCAACCCCACACACTCCAACCCCAACCACGTCCCAGGACACCCCATCGTACGACACTGCGTATTGATATTTCACACTTCCGTCGGTTGAGAGGGGGGTTGGGGGAGGGGGTGTCGGGAAAAAAACGCAAAAACGTCAGAGCGGAAAACGCATTCAATTCAAAATCCTTTATGAAAATCCCCACAACCGAAACAAAAAATGAAAGAGGGAAAATGAATTAAAGTCGTCTCTTCTTTGAATGCGACACATTTTTGTTTAATTCTTGGCGAGCTGTGAGCCGGGCTTGGTTCCAAGTTTTAAATAAAGTGGCCCGCTGGAGAATGCTGGCTATTTGGGATGTTTGTTTGCTCGAATACTTGATTCGGTCTGGAATATTCGGAGCACAGACTCCGACTCCGACTCCGACGCCCGAAACAGCCACTCGTATCCGGCTCAGACATTAGGGTGGATGGGGGATGGTGGCTATCCTGGCACTACTGCCACTACACACATACTCGAAGAGCCGTCTCTGGCCCCTGCTGGCCCCAAATAATCCCCAAAAGATGAAAATTGTGTAAAATTTGTGTGTTGGTTTCACTGATTAAGGACGGCTTACTGGCTGCTGGCAGAGGAGCCCCTCCCGCCCCATCAGGGAAATCTCTTGAAAGCCAAAAAGATGAATAGACCAGACCAGCATCTAATATGTGCGAAATTTATCAGCCTCGATACACACACCCCCCGCACACGGTACACGTACCCGAAAAGGGGAAGCCGAAGGAGCAGGAGGAGGAGCCAGGAGCCAGGAGCAGGAGCTGCAAGGACGAAGCCAAACGGCATGGAAAATCGCAATAATAATTTTGCCTTTCAGCTTCGGTTTCTGTGGCAACAAAGCAAAAACAACGAGGTCCAAGTGGCATGCACTTGCCGAACAAATGGCTTGGAAAATATCGGGTTTCCTTCAAAATAAAGGAAGGCCGGGAAGAGCTTCATAGTCCTTCCTCGGAAGCCTCGACTGCCTCGAATAAATCACGATTTTAGTTCCAGGGGCTTCTTCAACAAATTTCTTCCTGTGCACCATCCTCCTTGTGTGTGTGTGTGTGTTTTGAAAGCTGCCTCAAGGATGCCCAAGCATGCCTGTCCAGCCATGCGAGTGGACAGTTGTGGTCTCTCGGATGCGAATGCTCCAATTATCCGGCAGCCGCCAGCCTGTGGCTCGAAATCGAAACGCCAAGAGACCCCAAAAAAAAACAAAAAAAAGGACTCGCCAAATGCAATGCAGATGCAGATGCTCCGACTATGGTACTCGGGCATCGCTCATATATTTTCTTTATGCTTGTGCTGGCTAACAGTTTAGTTACAGTAACAGTTGGATTAAGTTGTGCCTCCCACCACACATCCTGTCCCCGCATCCTGTGCTCGCTATCGGGTCCGTTTGCATTTTCCGTTTCGATTTCGTTCGTTGTCTTCGATTCTATCTGGTTTTCCATTTGGGGGTTCGTTCTTTCTTCTTTCAGGGCCTAGTCTTTCTTCCGCTTAGCAGCCAAGGGCCTGCAGGTAGCCCTGAATCTGGGCACTAAGGGGGAGTTGGGAATAGAGATTAGGGCTTACTAGATTTCCTAATTGGTAGACTTACCCCAGTCCCTTGCCGTTGGCGGTGGACTTCTTGTAGAGCGCTGCCAGGAGCAAGATTTGGCCAGTCACCAACAGCTCTCGCTTTCCATAGCTCAACGAGTCCTTGCTGGGAAGGACACGGAAGGAGTCGATAACTCGTTCTTCTCGTCGCTCAGCTTCTCGCTCCTGTCGACGCTCATCCCGTCGCTCAGCCTCTTGCCGCTCCCGTCGCTCCGCATCTCTCCGCTCAGCTTCTCGCTCCTGTCGACGCTCCCCTCTTCGTTCCTCTCGACGAGCCTCTTGCTCCTCTTGGCGCTCCTCATCTCGCTCCTCTCGTCGTACTTCGTTGCGTTGCTCCCGTCGCTCGGCTTCTCGCTCCTCTCGTCTGTCAACTTCTCGCTCTCCTCGTCGCTCCTGTCGACGCAGGACCTCCCGCTCCACTCGTCGCTCCTCTTGACGGGAACCATCTCGTTCCTCCCGCCTCTGAACTTCTCGCTCTTTCCTGCGCTGAACTTCACGAGTCTCTTTAATGAGATCATTTCGACGATCCCGAGCTTGTCGCTCCTCCCGCCTTTCGCCACGGGACTCCTGTCGCTCATTCTCCACCCTGCGGCTATCAACTCGCTCTACTCCACGAACAACTCGCTGAGATTCTCGGTCTTCCTGACGCCTGGACAAGTCTTGGTCGAAAGAAACCACACGGCGTTCGTCCTGGCGCCTTGTCTCAACTCGCTCGCCGTCACGCTCTTCCCTACGATTGTCCACGCGACGCTCATCGGCTGGTTCCCTTCTGGATAGCTCCAACCGCTCCCGAACCACACGCTCTTCGCGGCGTCGGTTGTCCAGCTCTGATTCGCGCTGCATTCCTCGTGAGGATTGGCGTTCTACACGTTCGTTTTGGGCAGAGTCCCTAGCCACTTCGCGGTCTTCACGACGATCTTCATGCTCCTCAACTCGGCGAGCGTCCCTTTCTAATCGTCGTGTTTCGCGTCGCTCCTCCCCCATTTCTCGGCGATTCTCCTGACGACGCAAGGTCCTATCCTGCTCTTCTCGAACAATACGACGATTCTCTTCCACACGTCGCTCGGATCGCTCTTCACGAGACTCTCGGGGCTGCACTCGCTCCTCACGTTGTCCACGTCGCTCGGAATATCGTTCTACTTGCTGATCTCGAGCCTCACGTGGCTCCACTCGTTCCTGACGAGCTTCACGTCTTTGTACTCGTTCCACAAGTTCAGTTTCTCGATCCTCACGAGCATCACGACGATCTACACGAGCTTCACGTCGTTCCACTCGCTCCTCCCGCCTTTCCACTCGCTCTTCTCGTCGTTCTTCACGGCGTTGGTGTCGTTCTTCTCGCTCTAGACGATCTCCTCGTGGTTCAACTCTCTCCTCTCGGCGTTCTTCACGGCTTTCACGCTCTAGACGATCTTCACGTCGTTCTACTCGCTCTTCTCGCTCCTGCCGAGCTTCACGTGATTCAACTCGCTCTTCACGGGCATCCCGCGTCCCCTCTCGAGCAATGGAGTCCAACCTGACCCTCGTCTCTTCGCGCTTCTCGCCGCGGCGGTCGGAGATCTGAGGAGCTTGTCTGTAGACCAGACGCTCATCGTACTCGTCGGGGCCCCGGTGCTGGAGGTTCCAGCGCCGGTCACTGCAGATAGCCGAAGAGCTGTCCGAGCCGTCGCCGCAGGAGTGTCTGCTGCTGGTGAGAGCCAGCGCCAGGCAGCCCAGGTGGAGCAGTAGGAGCAGGACACTGAGCCGCAGCCTCATCGTCGGGAGTGTAGAGTGCTTCAGGTACGGAGGGATTCGGTGAAAGATTCGCTAGTGTGGCACCAGCAGGCTTCGCAACTTGAATGGCTGGCCAGGAACCGAGGCACCACTTTTATAGCTCCTTGCGACCCAGGATCTGGTCCCAATTTCCCGCTGATTGATTGAATTCCGCTTATCGCACATGTGCACCACTGCACCACCGCTGGCTGCTCAACGAGTGGCGCAGACGCCGCCAATTCACTTGAGTGGCCATTATGGTACTTGGATTTCATGAATGAATTTGGTGACGTCACAGGACACTGTCGCCTGCTGCTGGAAGCCCAAATACGAAATATAATAAAACGGCAATCGATTTGCGGAGCTGATGACGTCAAGGGGTGTCCTCCCCGAACTCCATCTTGGGGCAGCAGGAAGTGAGTGCACAAGTGCGATAAGCGCAATTCAATCAAAATCAAATTAGGGCGCAGCGAACAAAGGAGCCAGCCTAGGATAAATGAGAAGGATACATCCTGGTCGTGGGCCGCCTGCGATGTCCATCAGGGCGTGAAATTGCGCACCGACTTGGCAACTGTGGCCACCGGATTGGCAACTCCATCTCTGGCTATAAAAGCCACCGCAAACCCGCCGCCGAGCTGGCAGTTGAAAGGCGATCGGAACCAGGAGCGGTCTGCAGTACCGGCTAGCCTCGGAGCCGGGGCAAGGACTGGACTGTGCTGGAAGGACTCCCCACTCACCGCCGTCTATCGCATCGGAATTCATTGCTTCACCTGGGACACAAAAGCTCTACACTCCAACTAAGAATATCACTTACCAAGTATCAGCAACGACGTAGATATATAAATTCAAATATTCGTATTACCAGTAATCGTGTTACCAAATATTATATTGGATCGTAGCTCCTAGTCTAACCCCGATATGTAATCACCGTTAACTTAGCCAGTTAAATGTTGCTGTTGTTTGGGATCGTATTGTCATGGAGCTGAAAGATTTGGGCAGCTTCTTCTCTTACTCGTCTATCGATGTCTACACCTATATATAGTATGATATATAATATATGCAACTTCGTACTCCAACTATACATATATACATATTGTATGTTTATCCGGACGATAAATGCACGATACAAGAAGCACATATGATGATATTGTTTGTTTTGGAGATCGCCCGATACGTCGGCAGTTATCCTTCCATTTCTATGCCATTATCTATTAACTGCTTTATATTCCAACATCGTACAAATACGAATAAATAAACTCTAATCCTACCTATACTAGCCGAACGCACAACACATTCTTTTATTCAATGCCTCTTCCCTTGTAACCCCTCGGAAATCCTGGATTTTCAATCTTGGTTCTGTCGATGGCCATATCTTCCGGAATAGCAATCGGAGCTAAAAGCGGGATACCTTCAACGATTCGTACTTCAATTCCGCGTCATTCTGCATCAAAATCTCAATGCAAAATTTTGCATCCCAATTTTTCAAATTTTTGTGGTGTTTCCCCTTGGAAATCGTGGATTTTCAATCATGGTCATGTGGATGTCCATATCTTCCGGAATAGGAATCGGAGCTCCAAGCGGGATACCTTCAACGATTCCTACTTCAATTCTCCGTCATTCTGCATCAAAATCTGAACACAAAAATTCGCATCCCAATTTTTCAAATTTTTGTGGGGGTTCCCCTAGGAAATCCCGGATTTTTAATCTTAGTCCTGTCGATGGCCATATCTTCCGAAATAGGAATCGGAGCTCCAAGCGGGATACCTTCAACGATTCCTACTTCAATTCCCCGTCATTCTGCATCAAAATCTCAATGCAAAATTTTGCATCCCAATTTTTCAAATTTTTGTGGTGTTTCCCCTAGGAAATCCCGGATTTTCAATCTTGGTCCTGTCGATGTCCATATCTTTGGGAATAGGCATCGGAGCTCCAAGCGGGATACCTTCAACGATTCGTACTTCAATTCTCCGTCATTCTGAATCAAAATCTGAACACAAAAATTCGCATCCCAATTTTTCAAATTTTTGTGGGGGTTCCCCTAGGAAATCCCGGATTTTTAATCTTAGTCCTGTCGATGGCCATATCTTCCGAAATAGGAATCGGAGCTCCAAGCGGGATACCTTCAACGATTCCTACTTCAATTCCCCGTCATTCTGCATCAAAATCTCAATGCAAAATTTTGCATCCCAATTTTTCACATTTTTGTGGGGGTTCCCCTTGGAAATCCCGGATTTTCAATCTTGGTCCTGTCGATGGCCATATCTTCCGGATTAGGAATCGGAGCTCCAAGCGGGATACCTTCAACGATTCCTACTTCAATTCTCCATCATTCTGCATCAAAATCTCAATACAAAATTTTGCATCCCTATTTTTCAAATTTTTGTGGGGGTTCCCCTTGGAAATCCCGGATTTTCAATCTTGGCCCTGTCTATGTCCATATCTTCCGGAATAGCAATCGAAGCTCCAAGCGGAATACCTTCAACGATTCGTACTTCGATTCCCCGTCATTCTGCATCAAAATCTGAACAAATAATTGTGCATCCCAATGTTTCCCATTCACAACCCTCCATATATAAAAACTAATTCTCTTTATTTGTATTTTAGGCGATTGCAAAGGTCCCCTAGCCCATTTTCGTTGGAAAAACGTCGACATCGGTGGAATAAGTTTTTTAATAGGTTTTTTTTAGTTGTAAGATTTTTTTTATATTTAAGCTTAATAAAAATTGTTAAGGAACCGGACGCTCTTTTTTTTGTTTTAAAATGTCGATTTCGGGGAAAATACGGTCATACTTTTTTGTTATGAGAGCCTGGTCACACTTTTTTGTTATGCAAACCTGGTCACACTAATTTTGTATCTAAAAAATACGGTCACACTAATTTTTATTTCATAAAAATATGGTCACACTAAATTTTTAGTGTACCTGGTCACACTTTTTCGTTGTGCAGACCTGGTCACACTAATTTATTATCTATAAAAATACGGTCACACTAATTATTTTCATTAAAAAAAAATACGGTCCCCCCTAATATAGTTTGTATAAAAATAGGATCACACAAAAATAGTGTGACCTTTCCTAAGGCATTATTCATTCGCGAGTATGGTTACACTAATTTTTCTTAGCTACTGTGACCAGGCTCGCAGATGAAATCGTGACACTTAAATCTACCAACATTAGTGTGACCAGGCTTGCAACCACCTAGAGCACGTCGCAGTGGGTGATGACCAGTGGCTTGATGATCTTTCCGTTCTTGGTTCCATGCCTCTGCATACACTCGATGACCTTGTCGCCACGCACCACTCGTCCGAAGCCAACCCTCAGACCTCTGGCGCCCGTGAGAGGCTTGAAGCTGATGCTGAAGTTGACAGCGGCGCCGGGAAAGCCGTGGACGCAGTACTCCTTAGCGCAGGACAGAATGAAGCCGTGCCGGTCGTGGCTCACCACTCGAGAGTCGAACTCCATGGGATCGCTGAGCAGCGGTGGATCGTCAGGTTGCGGAGGACTGTTCTTGGCGGCCATCAGAAGGTAGCCCTCCAGCCATAGGTTCGGAAAGATCCGACGCACGGAGAACTCATGCGGACGATGGCTGAGGCAGGTGCGGACGAACTGGAGCACCACCAGCGGTGCAGCTTCCGTGTATAGCTGGACCACCACCTGACCCAGCGGCCGACCATCCATCATTCCAAAGTGCAGGCTGATCCGCGGTCGCAGAAGTCGAGTCAGCTCATAGCTGTCGGAGGGGATATCCAGGTCCCATCCTATGTACTTGTCGAAGATGCTATTTAGCTGCGAGAGGCTCAGGAGCGGCTTGGCAGATCGATCCAACAGTCGGCTGCCGGAGGCGGTGTAGGAGGTGCCGCTGGGAACAAGGCGCTCCCTGTCCGTGCGCTGCTGCTGCTGGATGTTGAGAAGGCGTCGCCCCAGCTGAAGGTTCTCCCGCTCCACCTCCTCCACACGACGCTGCATCTGGGCCAAGGCCGAGCGGGAGGTTGCTGACGGGCCTGGGTCCATCGGCATGATGGTTCCAAAGCTGCGCTTGATTCGGGACAGGTTGAGCAGCATCCGAACGTTCTCGTTGGTTCGGCGCAGGAAGGTGCGGGCGTCCCTGGGCAGGGCGTCGAAGCCGGCCATCTGCTTGGCGGGCAGAAGGGGTGACCGGTTGTCCACTAGGCTGACGGACCGCTCGAGCCGCTGGCGGTATCGCTTGATGTGGTCCAGCTCGATGCGCTGCTGGCGGCGCATCACAGCCGAGGGTCGCCGCATTGTGGCGGAGGGCCGTCCTCTCGTCGTGGCCACCAACGGCACTGAACTGGGCACGTACATGAACATGATGGCTTCGGTTCGCTGAAAACGTGGGTTAAGGACACACACAACATAGAACTATCTCCGATCTGTGTATCGGAATACTGTGAATTTTTATTTGGGGTTTCTCTTAGCTTTTAATTGTCCGCCTGCTTGTCCCTTTTGGGGGCCCTTTTTGGGGTCACTTACGTTTAAATCCTACTCGGGGACCGTGGGCCACTGGCGCCCATCTGTCGTATCTGATTTGGAACGGCATCTCATGTTACTCTGGCAACTCTCTGATGAACAATATTTTGGAATTTAAAAACATTAACTTTAGTTTTTTTTTGGCTAGTAGAACTGGCTATAATTACTACTCCATTTCTGGTCTTGGATCATCGGTCCCCATTCCCGTTCCCGTTCCTGTCGCCGACTGCATCATCGAGTAACTTTTGTAAAGTTCTCCATCTTGGACAGACACAATAACCTGGTAGGTTACTAAAAAAAAAAAAATATCTGGCGCCTGTCTGCGATGCCTCTAATTTTAAATCAAATATATAATATTTAATTGAGATCGATATTCTATATACACATCGAATACTAGGTCAGTACACAGCTCTCACTTGGATACTCCTCTTACCTTCATCTTCGGCCCTCGGCCACTCTGCCACTCTTCCGTCTCTCTCACTTTCGCCTTCCGGCATGGCTTCCGTCTCTTTCCAAGTGGCGTGTACTGGACATTCTCCTCTCTTCGAACTACGAACCCCTCTACGAATCCTCCAGCTCGGATCTGTGTGCTTCCCCCTGTGAACAGAATAAATGGACTGGATCTTGGCCCGTCTATGGAGGGCAGGAAGGATCTTAAAACTACCTACTTCGCTGGCTGGCTGGCTGGCTGGCTACTTATTGTTTCGTTTTGCTGAACACATTGGAACTGCCCAGTGGGCTTTGGTTAGAAAATCGCAAGGAGCGTCAGTGAGTGGTCTGCCCTCCGGAGCGAGCCAAGACCCCGTCCCATCCCGCCCTGTGTGTGTCCCCCGCTCTCCTAAGATATAGGTATGTTACCATTGGATGTGTTGTAGTGCTTAGACGGACTCTAGTCGAATTGGCTGGCATTGAACATGGCAATGTGGCTTAAATAATCTCATCCTGAACCCCCTCCCTCCCCCTACTTGTTGTTGTTCTCCTGCAGCATGTCCTCCAGGGCTCCATTGAGGCGTCCCTTGCTCAGGGCCTCCACCAGCATGTGCAGTCGCTCCTCACGCTCCGAGTGCCGGCGCTCCAGCAGGGATACCTTGGGAATAGATTGGAACGGGAATTAGTACTTGTTTGGAAGCCACTACTGGGCTGGGTCTGAAATCCCAAAACGGATCTTGAGTGCCCTTCTACCTTGGCCTTGAGCGCGTAGTAATCCACGGGCACCTTGCGCCGCTTCTGGGTGGCGAAGGCCTCCTCCCGCTCGTTGAGGCGCTGCTGCAGTATCCGGACAGTCTCGTTGCAGGAGGCCAGCTCCCGGTCATGGGCACTCTGCAGGGTCTTTAGCTGCAACAGAGATTGGTTAAGTTGGAAGCACTCTGGTGGCTCATTCATGTCTTACGTCCTGCAGTCGCTTGTCGTGGAGCGTCTTGTAGTCGGCCTCCAGGAGGCGATACTTGTTCTGGGCCTCCTTCAAGGCCTGGCTCTCGGTGGCCGCCGGGATGTGGTCACTATGGTGGTGGTGATCATAACGCCGCTGACCTCCGCTTAGAGAGGCCCCGCCACTGGCCTGGGCATGCCCCGGTGACTGAGCCTTCAAGTCCATTCTGCTGCCTGTAGGATTAGTTGGAGTAGGATTTAGTTTGGAGTGCGAGGGTTCTTATGCAAGGGTTCATTGCGCCCCCCGAGTGGGGTGGTCCGAACTAACGGTATTCATAACACACACACACACCATTGCGTAATAGTTATGAAGAGCGATTTGCATTTTTTACACGCGCGTCCGAAATTAAAACATTTCGCTGATTATGCTGTTTATACGGTTACTAGCCATGAGGCATGCGGGTTGCGGGTTGTGGGTTGCGGATTACGGGCCATCGGCGTCCGCTTTGGCATTTACAATTATTAACAAAACAAATTTGACGGAGCGACGGCTCATTAATTAGCCACAAAAACCGCACAATAAAAAAAATCACAGCACACCGCAAACAAATACACACCAATACAGAGCCAGCGACACACACACACACACACATAGACACACTCGCTAGAAATAAAGAGACCTGATCCCCAACAGCCACTGGCCACTGGCTAGGCCGCCAAACAAAAACAAACCAGACCCGTCGTCTTTGACTTTGACTTTCGCTTTCGAATTTTCTTTTTCGACGCCAGAGAGCCGGGTGGTCGGACAGGGAGCGGGAGCGGCCAGGCCAGGCAAGAAATTCAAATCCGAATCCGAATCGACAAAAAGGTAAATAAACAAGCCCGAGAGTCAGCCCGCACAGGTGACATAACCAAGTGCCCGAGATGCGGCCATTAGTTGTGGCTCCGAACTGCGATGCGACTCCATGGATTCGGTTTCGTTTTGAAGCTTAACCCTCTGAAGGCCTAAAATGATATCTATGTATCTATGGCTTGTTAATTCCTCGTGGCCATGAGGGGGTTAAGCCCGGCTGGAACGTGTTTGTCTTGGCCATTGGCCGTGTGGAGCTGCAATTGCCGTTTGAAACGAGTGCAAAAAGTGGTCAAGAGGCCGACAGCGTCGACAGCCGTACAATGATTTATTCCAGCAATTTATTTGTTGGCTTCGGGATGGCGAAGGAGGACCAGATGGAGGACGGGGGGACCAAGTGCGGGGGTTGGGGCTGGGGCTGGGGCAGCGGCAGCGAGTGTACGTGCTGACCGGGCAGAGAAAGTCCATAAATTACCAGCCATCCATCGGCGACCGAGTGACACAAACACAACCGAAATTAGAGAGGAGGGGATTGGACTTGGATTTGGATTTGGGATTTGGGTTTCAAGTTGTTGGCTTGGAATTGGAATTGGATCTTTGGGGAATTCTATATTCTACGATTCTATTTATAGACTCACCTGCTAGACTGCCGCCGTTGCTGCCACACCCGGCGGCCGAGTCCCTGTCGCGCTGCAGCTTCCGTATGGTCTTCTTGCAGTCGTCCAGCTCCCGGGTGAGGCGCTGCATGGCCTTGTTCTTGATGGCCAGATCCACGCGCATGCTCCTCATGGAGCTCAGTAGCTGGGCCTCCTCCTTGGAGCCCAGACCCGGGCCGCCACCCGGCCCGTGGCTGAGCAGCGAGAGTGTGGACTCTGACTGGGAGATGGGCAGCTTAGAGGGCCCGGCACTGGCCAGCGGGGAGCGGCGCTGGGTGCCGCTCTGCTTCGAGTTGGGGCGCGAGGTGTTGGGCGTCGAGTTGGCCGTGCTGCTGGTGCTGCTGCTCGCCGACGGCGGGTGCAGCTGGTGGCCGTGGCCGTGGTGGTCGCGCGCATGGCAGACCAGGGCGGGCGAGGGGCAGCCTATGGTATTGGTGCTGTGGTCCCGCGTTCCATTAACGGCCTGGGTCTGGGTGCCCGTCGTGGAGCTGATGGCGCCCACAGAAGCTCCGGCCTGCCCCTCCCCGTCCAGGGGATCCGTTTGGGTGCAGTTGTTGTAGAATCTGTCGGCCCTCTTCTGCATGTAGCGGTCCAGGGTGCGCACCTGGGACTCGATCTGCTCGTTCAGCTTGGTGTTGATCTCCTGGAGGCTGGAGGGGAAGAGGGAGATGGTTAGACCTGCTAGTTTTAGGAAGGGGATATGATGGGCCACCCACCTCAGAACCTGCGTCTCCAGATCCGCAATGTGGGTCTCGTACTTGGCCTGGACCGAGTTGAAGCGCGCCTGGACATTGGCCAGGATCTGCTGGGCCTTGCGGTCTTGCTCCTTGGCGTCCGACTCCAGCTGGGCGATGCGCTGCTCCAGCAGCTTGCGGCTATTGACGTTCTCCTGGTCGTTCAGCGGGCACATGCCCGGCGTCTTAGAAGCCACTGCCGGAGGAAGAACAGGAATTAGATGAGAGGCTTTCGAATGGCTCCCGGAGATGCTTACCTATCAGGGCGGAGACCGAGTCCGGGTGCTTGCGCATCAGAATCCGCTCCATCTCGCGACACTGCCGCTGCAGGTCCTGGATCACCCGGGCGTCCTTCTCCTTGCCCTCGCCCGTCCGCCGGCGCTCCTGCTGCGCCTCCTCCAGCTCGGCCCGCAGCGACTTCTGCAGCTGCAGTGCCTCGCTCCGATCCCGGCGCGCCGCCTGCAGCTCGGACCTCAGCACCCCAGCGCACTCGTTCAGGTGCTGGACGTCCAGCTTGAGCATCTCGGACTCCTCCTGCAGGCGGCCGTTGTGATCCCGCAGGGCGCGCTGCGTCTGCGACAGGGAGTCGGACTGGAGCCGGACGGAGGCCAGGCGCTCCTCGGTGTCCTTGAGCCGCTCCTGCAGCTGCTCGATCTCCAGCTTGAGGGCGTGCTCGCGGGAGACGCTGCAGGCGATCTGCTCGATGGGGGAGGTCAGGGTGCTGACCAGGTGCTTGGGTGAGCTGCCCACCGCCTTCTCGCTGTAGCTGGCCATGGGCCTGATGGGCGGCTGGCTTCTGTAGGAGTGGCTCCTCGTCACTAGGGTGGCCTGGGTGGCCACTACGGCGTCCACCTCCGCCTCGGTGATCTCCTCCATCTGCGGGGGAAGAGTAGTGAAGTGGGAGATCAAGTGGCTGGTCGAGAAAGTGCAGGAGGGAGTGGCGGCTTAACGGTAATGAGTTCCCGCCCAAACAAAAAAGAGCTGTGCGCCGCGAGAATCGTTAATGCCATCCTCCCGAGAGCCGGTGGGGGTGGAGGGCAGGGGCAGGGGTACGGGCGGCGACACAAAGCCCCAAAAAAAAGTACAAGTGACAGAGACATGGACAATGGGACACGCGAGGGGATTTCCGAACAAAAATGGAGAACTTTTCCAAAAACAAAAGACTTAGGAAACGAACTTGGCTCAGATCTTTCGGTAGAACTTTGTGGAGAGAAGCGGGGATGCTGGGGAGGACTAGTGCAGTACTTTCCCCATCCTAACTCCTAGCCCTGATTATGCCCACTGTACCGCTCTAGCTCTATAGCTCCGAGAAGGTAATTGGGATGGTGTGGGCGTCCCCAGCAGCCGCACCAGAAACACCACCACTCGACACTCGACATCTCGACAAAAGCCGCAAAATATTGAAGAAGAAAGAAAGTTCGTGCCCCCTCCCCTGGCTCCCCCTAGAGTAGGCTCCCCCCTCTCTGGCCCATTCCCACCCATGGCCCATTGTACCACCGTACTTGTCGAGTGTGTGTGCAAGTGGCTTTTTTTTCGGCGATCGCCCCGCTGGCTATTGACTGACATTGCTGCCCACTCTCGCTTTCATCGACTGGCCGGGCGGCGGGCGCGGGCGGCGTGGCGGAGGTTCTACCTGGAAAGCCCCTTCAGCAGTGCCTCCCATTCACTCCATTCACACTTTGCGGACTTTATGTGGCTGCCCACTTTCCACTTTGGAATTACTTTGCCACCTAATTGGGATTAGTTCTAGTTCGGTGGGCCATCCTCCCAAGATGACTGAGGCGGCTCAGGACTTGGTCGGTATCCATATGGAGTGGCTGCCGGGGGAGATGGCTATTAAGGACAATTTCACTTGTTGACCCGATCCGTAGCTGTGCAATTACTTGAACTCTCGCTCTTCCTCAATGGCCGTTTGATAAACTCCACTTGTAAAGTGAAAGGAGCCGGCCAACAATAATAAACCAATACCGATACCGATTCCAACGATTCCATCGATTCCATCGATTCCGCCGGCAATTGTTTTGCCGCTGCGAGGTGCGGTTGGGAGAGCGTGGGCCGCTGAAATCATGTCAACAAGCGAATTGGAAACTTTTGCGCCGATCCAAACCCTGGCCGATCCAAAGCGGGCCGATGAGCCAGTGGCCAGAACCAGGGCTAGGTTCGAGGTGCTTCCTGATGCACTCCATAAACAACAAGGGAGCAGCACTTGGCTGAATGCAAATACTGAAGGTAAACAATTACCGAGGCAGTTAGCGGGCCATTGGGGCTACCGATTGGGGCTACCAGTGGGGCGGAGGCTGATTCAGATCGAGATCGAGATCGAGTGGGAAATTAAGAATGATTTGCCTTTTAGAGACCGCTCTGCATATAGAAAGTCGATCGGGGATCGTAATTGGGGACTAATGGAGCAAAGAAACCATGGCGTGACTAATGGGAGATAGCTGGCCGAGCCGAGCTAGGGATGAGTAGAAGCCTCTGGAGGCTAGACCCAATACCTATTATCCAATGTGGTCATGTAACTACTATAGAATGCTAATCCGAAAGCCCCCACCAGTCTATTTTCGGATTACGTTTTGCATTTTTATCCCGAAAGAAAGTGAGAGCGGGAATGTAAAACAGAGACTGCGTCGGAGGCGGAGGTGGAGGCGGAGGGCAGATGGAAAACGAGATACAATGGTTATGCTGATGACATTTGATTTGGTTATAGATGGATGCACTGGAGGAGGGAGCAGAGGAGGTGGCGGGCAGGGGCTGGGGCAGGGGCAGTCGGTCGGTCACTCTCACAAGGAAGAGTGCAGAGCAGAGCAGAGCTGGAAGCAGAGCTGGAAGCAGAGCTGGGAGCAGAGCAGAGCGGTGGCGCATTTACATACATAACACGATCCGACCGGCGGCACTTGAACGCAAGCACATATTTTCACATTTCCAGCTCTTCTGATGGCCAGTGTAAGTGGGCAGAGACGCAAGCGGAGACGCAGGCAGAGGCAGAGGCAGCAGAGACAGAGGCAGCAGCAGCAGCAGCAGCAGCAACTGAGGCACTGCCACGAGAGAAATATCGAAAATGAAATGGCAATACTTTCCCAGCGGTGGTATAAAAGCGCCACTCCACCAATGGGACATGTCTCATTACGGTTCACAGTCAGATCCCGCCAAGATGTACAACGGGAGATCGCGTGGTGGCGCAGACTCGCAACAGATTCAAACCAACAACAACAACAATAGGAGGAAGATGGGAGGGCTCCGGACAAGTCCCCTCTGGGTCATGGGCATCATGCTTCTGGCCCATCACATCCTGGGCGTGACGGCCATGTCGCTGGACCGCCTGGCGCTCGAACGGAACGAACTGCCGGCGGACGCCCACCAGCAGCCGGCCCAGGCCCCGACCGACGTCCTCGTCGACGACATGAAGCTAGCCTCAGTGCCCTCGGCCGAATCCGGTGCCGCGGACATGTTCATGCTCATCCCGGAAACGGTGGCCAGCCAGCTGGAGGACACCGAGCACGTCAACCGCAACTCCATTGAAGCCGATCCCGAGATGGAAGCCGCCGACCCGGCCGGCTCCGCCTCCGACATGCTCATGCTGGAGAGCGACTCCAGCCCGGCCCTCCAGCTGGTGGAGTTGCCCAGCGACATCACCGTGGCCGAGTCGCCGATGGACACCGAGCAGGTCCAGGCCCATCAGCCCGAGTCGATTGAGGAGCACGTGGTGCTGAAGCCCAGCAGCCAGGAGGCGCAGCTGGAGCAGGCCCAACTGGACACCGAGGCCACCGAAGCGGCGCCCGCTGCCGAGGAGGAGGCTGAGCCCGTCGAGACTGTAGAGGTGGAGCAGGAGCAGCCCGTGGCCAGCAACGATGCAGTCGATGATGAGCCGGAAGCGGCCACCGAGAGCGCCGACGAGATCATCTCGAATGCCGTGGAGGAAATGGAGAAGGACATCGAACAGGCCATGGAGGATGAGCCCCAGGAGCCTCAAGCTGAGGAGTCCCAGCCAGAAGCCGTCGAATCCCAGCCAGAAGCTGCGGAATCCCAGCCCGAAGCCGAAGCTGAGCCCGTGCCGGAAGCTCAGGCTGCCGAAAGCCAGCCAGAGGCCGAATCCCAGCCAGAAATCCCAGAGGAAGTCCAAGCCGAAGCCACAAAGGAGCCGGAGAGCGCTGACAACAACGAGGTGGACACCACGGAGGCGTCTCTGATGGAAACTCTGGTCGAGGGCATCGAGCAGGGTCTCACTGCCGCCATGGACAACCTGGTGCCGGAGGAGTTGGCGGAAATAAGCGAAAACAAACAGGAACAGGACCAGGAGCCAGAGAAGGAGCAGGAGCCGGAGCTGGAAGAATCTGCTCCAGCTGTCGAAGCCAGCGAAGATGGTCAGGAGAAGGACAAGGAGTCTGAAGCCGAGCCCAGCTTGGCGGACGAGCCTGAGGCCGAGACTGCCACTGAAAAGATTCAAGAAGAGGCTGCTCCCGAAGCCGAGGCTGAGGAGGAGGCCAAGCCTGTGGAAGAAGCCCAGCCGGAGGAGGAGTTGAAGCCTGAGCCCGAGTCCGAGTCCAAGCCAGAGGAGGAAGCCCAAGCCGAGGAGGAGCCCAAGCCCCTGGAGGAAGCCCAGCCAGTGGAGGAAGAGGCCAAGCCCGAAGTGCCGGTCCAGAACGATCCCGAGACCGAGCCCGAAGAGACAAATGAAGTGAAGCCAGTGGAGGCCCAAGTCCCCGCTGAGATCCCTGCTGAGATCCCTGCTGAGATCCCTGCCGAGGTCCCTGCCGAGATCCCTGCTGAAGCTACCAATGAAATCCTTGCCGAAATCCCTGCCGAAGTCCCTGCTGAAGTCCCAGTGGAGACTCCTGCCGAGATCCCCGAGGAAACCCAACCAGAAACCCCCGCTGAGATTGAAAAGGACACTCCAGCTGAGATCCCAGCTGAAGCCGCGCCAGAAACCCCAGCTGAGGCTCCAGCAGAAGTCCCAGCTGCCATCGCCCCTGAAACTCCAGCCGCTGCCGAATCCCAGCCAGAACCAGTGCCCCAAGAGCAACCTGCCCAGCCGGCCGCTGAGGAAGCCAAGCCCGCCTCCTCCCTGCTGACTACGATTATCCCCATGGTGGTGCCCCAGCCCCAGATCCAGCCCCTCCAGGTGCAGGACAGCGTGCTCAACTACGTCAACGCCTCGTTCCAGCAGCCGCAAGGAGACCTGCCCAAGACCGAGGATCAGGAGCAGAGCGAGTCGTCCTTCAACGCCCACCTGAGGCGCTACGACGGCGCCCAGGTGTGGCGCATCGTGGTCCAGACCGACAAGGATAAGCGACTGGCCGACGAGCTGCAGTCCAAGTATGGTGAGTGGCCAGAAGAAAGCCAGTAGAGGAGTCTGAGGACTCCCCTGGTGGAGCCCCCGGTGGAGCTCTTGTTGTTTTCTTTTTTTTTTTGTTGTTGTTGTGAGTGAAGAAGTGAATAAAGTGAACCTCTCCGCCTTCCAGATGGCCAGCTGTGGAAGGAGGTCAAGCAGGAGGTGGACTACCTGCTGAAGCCCCAGGTCCTGGCCGCCGCCGAGCGACACATCCGCGCCGCCAATCTCTCCCGCATCGTCCTGATCGACAATCTGCAACACGTCATCGAGGTGGAGAACCCGCCCGCGGAGAAGATCGCCGAGCTGCAGAATCGCAAAGGTGAGTACCAGAGGGTGAGGGGTGAGTCCGGGGCTGAGTGACAGGTGGTGTGGCAGGTGACTGCCAAGTTGAACCCTTTTTTTGAACTCTTGGCCCGAGGCCGAGGCCGGGGTCGAGGTGTCGCCGCAAACGAGCATTTAATGCGCGGCGGCGGCGAGGGGCGTGTGAAAAGTCATCAAGCGCAAAGTGGCTTTGCCATAGGAACCCGTTCTGCGGCACGTCCTGTGGCATGTGGCATGTGGCACGTGGCTGCCCCTGCTACAGCTCCTGCTGCCTGCCACGCACTGCCAAGGCGCGTGGGCCGTGTCCCGCAAGACGGGACGTTGTTTAATCGATAGCCGGCAGACGCCACCCGTCCAAGACGACAGCGGTGGCTCCTTCCAAGAAGACACCAAGGAGTGCCAGTGCCACCCACCCCGGGAGTTACAGAACTTTCCTAACACTGTCTCCACCCCCCAGGTCACCGACTCACCTGGCAGGCCTACCACCGCCTAGAGGACATCCACGGCTTCATCGACTACATGGCCAAGACCTACCCGGACATCTGCTCCACGGAGGTGATTGGCTACTCGGTGGAGAAGCGTCCGCTCAAGATTCTCAAGTAAGTTTCCAGGATTCTGACTAGGATTCCGAGCCTGTCTGACCCTTCTCGACCCTTCCAGGATATCGAACGGTAATGCCCGCAACCCCGGCGTTTGGATCGACGGCGGCATGCACGCCCGCGAGTGGATCAGCCCCGCCACGGTGACCTTCATCGCCAACCAGCTGGTCGAGGGCTGGGAGGACCTGCCCGAGCACATGCGCAGCATCAACTGGTACATCCACCCGGTGGCCAATCCCGACGGCTACGAGTACTCCCACACCACGGACCGTCTCTGGCGGAAGAACATGCGCGCCCACGGCCGCCAGTGCCCCGGCGTCGACCTCAACCGCAACTTTGGCTACAAGTGGGGCGGCAAGGGCACCTCCGCCAGCCCCTGCTCCCAGACGTACCGCGGCAGCAAGGCCTTCTCCGAGCCCGAGACCTTCTACATCTCCAAGTTCATCAGCGGCTTCCCCCGCGAGACCTTCCAGGCCTACCTCTCCTTCCACAGCTACGGCCAGTACATCCTCTACCCGTGGGGCTACGACTACCAGCTGACCCAGGACAGGGCGGATCTGGATCGTGTGGCGCGCCAAGCCGGAACGGTAAGACTCCCTCTGATGCCTCATCTTCTTCAAAGCTAATCCCCCCTTCCTCCACCCTCCTCCCCCTCAGAGCATCACCAAGTCTACGGGCGTCAAGTACACCGTGGGCTCCTCGGCCACCACCCTGTACCCCGCCGCCGGAGGCTCCGACGACTGGGCCAAGGGCATTGCCGGCATCAAGTACGCCTACACCATTGAGATGGGCGACACCGGCCGCTACGGCTTCGTCCTGCCCGCCCGGTTCATCCAGTACAACGGCAAGGATGGCTACACCTTTGCCGACACCGTCGCCCGGGCGATCGCCCAGGGACGCGGCAAGGCGGTGGCCCGCAATGGAGGCGCCAGCGCAGGCAGTCGGAGGCGCCACCACTAGAGCTCCGAGCACTTAGTTCAATGCGATGCAATGTCTAGCAACGACCTATGACCTTTTTTTTTTTTACTACTTATATGGAAACTATTTATTTATTTATTTATTGTACTTGTAATTAGAAAAATTGAACACCAAGACCCTTGAACGAACAGAACTCATCGAAATAGACTGAAACCTGTTTATTGTAGAGCGTGGACGAGGCTTTCTTTCGGGGGGGGGGGGGGGATGATGTTGGGGAACTCTTTGGCCACCCCTCGCCAAGCTTCATAGCCCGGCTGGCGAGTAAAAGTCGCAAAAGTAAAACCATAAACATTGGAACCCAAAATCCATCGCCTCGTCTCTCGATATGCAAATGGGATGACCTTAATTGGCGAGAATCGGAGAAAGACCGGCTGAGGGCGATGCAGAGGGGGTGGGGCGGTAGTCTGAGAAGAATTGGGAGCACGAGATGCCGTTAGATGCGGCGTGTGGCCCTCCGATCGGCCCAGTCACTTCAAATCCCCGCCAGCTTCCAAGGCGAACGCAACACATTATCTCAGAGCCACCACAAGACTTCCCATACACCATGCACCTCCGCCTCTGCAAGTGGGCGTGGCTGCCCCTGATCGCACTGCTAATGGTCCGCCAGACCGTCGAGGGTGGGCGGAGCAGCCACCTCGAGCTGGGCCGGGCCGACAATCCGCTAATGAGGCTGCCCTTCTTCGGAGGCGGGGTGGGGCACCTGCTTCGGTACCTGCACCCGCTAGCGGTGGCACCGGGCACGCCCCCCCGCGGCCGCCTCTCGGAGCTGCGCAGCGAGCTGGACGCCAACTATGTGAGCTACCGGGGCGCCCAGCTCTGGAAGCTGAACTTTAACTCTTCGCGCGCCTCGTCCATGGTGGAGGATCCGGAGGAGGATCAGGAGGAGGAGCTGGCAGAGCAGGCGCCATCTTCCTCGCCAGATGAGCAGTTCAACGAGGTGGTGGCCCTCTTCGGTGAGTCACTGATTACCAAATAGCATGGCTGGGCATGCCCCGAAGGGCCGAGAGAACAAAAGCCACCAAAGACGGGCCAGTCCGGCAGCCACAGTACAGTGGAGGCCGAAAAAACAGAGCCCTTGGCCGGAACACGTTTGGGAGTCGATGGTGGCCCACTTTAGGTTCGGACTCCAAACCCATTAAATTCGCATTAATTTTCATAAATTGAAGAACTCGAGAGACTTTGACGAAAGAGACTCCAGAGTGATCTTAGCCTCCCGGCCGGCACTGTGGCTTTGGGAGGGGTCAGGGCAGGTCAGGTCGGGTCAGCACTGGCTGGCTGCTCTCACGCATAAATTTGGCATAAATCAGACCCCCGGCCTCCCAAGAACCGCTACCCAAGAACTCCGGCCCCGAGCCGAGTGACAGAAAGACAGGTGCTTCAGTTTCGAACCGGATTCGGACACGAAGATGCGTCTTCTGGAGGTGCTGCTGCTGCTGGCGCTGCTTATCCCCAACTGGACTGGGGGCCAGGTGCTGCTCTGGCGGAGCGTCTCCGTGCCGGAGCTGAGCGGCCTCTCGGGCCTGCCCCTCGCCCTGCTGACCCTCAACAGCAGCGAGCTCTATGCCGCCACCTTCGAGGGGCTGCAGTGGCTCTCGCCCACGGACCTGCGCCGCTACGACATCTTCTCGCCGGGCTCCTCCTTCCAGATCAATAGGCGCTATCGCAACGGCAGCCACGTCCAGCGCTACTACGGCCACCAGCTGTGGAAGGTGCACGAGACGCGGCTGGCCCTGCCGGCGCTGAGGGCCTTCTGGAGGCACTTTGGTAACAGGCCAGAATGGTCCAGGATGCGTAACTCATCCCTCTTGTCTCCCCATTTTCAGGCAGCGAGGTGTGGAACATCAACCAGGACGGGATCGACATCCTCATCGAGCAGCGCAACGTGGCGGACGCCAAGAAGTACATGGAGAAGGTGGGCTTCAGCTACAACATCATGATCGACGACATAGAGGCGGCCATCGACGAGACCTACGTGGAGGTGCCGGCGGTGGAGCACCCCCTGGACTCGGTGCGCAACAACTCCCTGCCCTGGCTGGAGCCGGAGGGCACGCTGATGAACTGGCGGCGCTACCACGACCAGGCCGACATCCAGCAGTTCCTCCAGCTGCTCCTCGAGAAGAACTCTGACCTGGTGGAGATCATCCAGATAGGGGTGACGCGGAACAAGCGTCCCCTAGAGGTCATAAGGTGGGTGGGCCACAAACCAATGACCTTCTCATCCTCCAGCCCCTTTCCAGAGTTTCCAACGGCAACCCGGACAACTTGGCCGTTTTCGTGGACGCGGGACTGCAGGCCAGGGACTGGCTGAGCCCCGCCGCCCTGACCTACGCCATTTCCAAGCTGGCCCATCTCTGGCCCAAGGCCAAGGGTCAAGGTCAAGGACAGCGAGAGGGCCGGGCCGAGAAGGCCATGCGCCGCATCGACTGGTACTTCCTGCCGCTGGCCAACCCCGATGGCTACCAATACTCCCGCCACACCGACAGGCTGTGGACCAAGAACCGGGCCTACGACTCCGCCAGCGGCTGCTATGGCGTCAACCTGGACCGCAACTTCGGCTATGCCTGGCGCGAGGGCTCCACCAGCAATCCCTGCAAGAATCTCTACCGCGGCGCCCAGAGCTTCTCCGAGCCGGAGAGCCGCGCCATCCGCAGCTTCCTGGCCGGGATGCGCGAGTACCTGGGCGCCTACGTCTCCCTCAGTGGCTACGGCCAGTCGATCACCTATCCCTGGGGGGACGCCGACTTCGTGACGGAGAACCAGCGGGAGCTGAAGCAGACAGCCCGACGAGCGGTCCTCGCCCTGCGGCGCCTCGACCAGGCCGAGTACTCTGCCGGCACCAGCTACCGCCAGAAGCTGGCTCGGCCCGGCAACTCGGCCGACTGGATCCAGGACCAGATCGGACCCCAGCTGGTGTTCAACATGTTCCTCAAGGACCAGGGTCGCTACGGCTACCTGATGCCGCCCCACTACATTGTGGAGTCGGGCGAGGAGGTCTTTGAGTTTCTGCGCGTCATAGCCCAGCAGTTGGAGTGATCTGGAGTATCCTCCAGTTCTAGCTCAACTCTAATTTTATTCTTTTTTTTTTTAATATTTATTGAAAAATTTAAAAACTAATAAATTATATGAGAATCTATAGAGGATGGTCTGTGTAGGGGATCGGCAGGGGCTGGTTCCTATTCAGGGAGGTATAGAGGGAATAGAGCTAAGAACCCTGGAACCCTGAGAGATATGGTATATTATTACCCCCTTAGTATCTCTAGCAATAGTACCTATACCATCTTAATCCCAAATCATACTATAGTTAGTACTGCCAACCAGAAAAGAAGAGAAACCTTCACTCTTCTTGGACCTGGGTAGCATACTTTCAGGGCTTTGGCGAAACTAAAGCTCCGGCTGTCAGGTTCCCCTCCCGCTGGTCAGAGACAGCGCCACTTGGCCGAGGAGAGAGCGCAGCACGCCGCCGGGGACAGTGGCCACGAGCGGAAGCCACGTGTGGGATACCAACCAGAGCCAGGGGCAGAGTCAGAGCCAGGGGCAGAGGGAAGAGCCATAACTAGAGCCAATCCAAGCCAATATTTCGCAATCGAATCGCTTTCCGCCGGCCGTTAACGAGCTTATGTAAACCTGGCCAATATCAGATGGCGGGGTGGTGGGGCAAGGGGAGACCAGAATAGCTCTGGTCGCCAAATAGAAAGCTGCGAGAGCGACTTAGAAGAGAGCGGGCGCGGGCGAAGAGAGTGCCAGCGACTTTCACTTTCAATCGCGTTTCAGAAACCTGTACCGCTGTATGATATTTTGATTTTTTGATTTTGAGCTCTTGTTTTTCCACCCCTCCCCACCCCCCCTCACCTCGGGCTGCATATTTGATTGGATATCGTTTGGGGCCTGCATGTAGAAATTAAGCGAAAGGCCTCGGGGAGCTCCAGAAAGAAAGTATTTCGCACAAAAAAAAAAAAAAAAGATAAATAATAGGAATGGCGTCTAATGGCGCGACGGCCAGACCAAGCCGACAAAGAGAAGTCGCCGCTAGCGAGTGCTCACTGTATGCTCTCGAGAAAAAAAAGGGTTAAAAGTGAAAATCTCAACACTGGCCACTTGAAAGAAAGTAAAACCCGCCAAGTGGGTCAAAAATCGCCCAGTCATACCATCTCCGACAATTGAGAAGCAGCACCTTTCCACTCCCCAAGTTTCCAAAAAAAAAAAAAAAATGTTACCAAAGCCAGAAAAACAAAATGGAGTTGCCAACCTAGTTCGATTGTCTCTTTGGACTCCACCATTAACGATCGATGACGGGGCGTTATCAGGGAGAAACCCTCAAGATGAGGTAAGCTTTCTACTGATAAGCATCCCGCGACTCTGTCTGAGATTTCCCCCTTTGGATCCATCTCCATTTAAGAGAGAGACTGGCCATGATATTGCTCATACGCCCTGTAGGCCACCCAAGAACTGGCGGGGGGAAAACCCAGCAGAACAGATCAGAACCCCAAGCGGAGATCTCGGATGGTCGTGACTTAACCCGTGACTCATGGGCATCGCAAAACAGCTTTGCAGCCGGCACGCCGTTGTCATCCGGCGGGTTGGCAGCCCATTTTTGGATTGTCTTTGAAAGCGTAAGTGCAGTTTTTAAATGAGACCCCCCTCATTTGGGGGGGGAGTGGGCAGATGATGACTGCACAGCAAGAAAGTCCCTTCAGATCATACCATGGTAGATACTATCCATTTATGGCCATTCCAGCCCCCTGTTTCTGACAGTGCAGCACTCTGCACATGTCCTCTCCCCCACCCCCCTGGGCCGATGCAGGCGAGAAAGAGACAACCTGCCAGTGCGTATAGAGTGAGTGGCTCTCTCACAGCTGCTTCTCTGGCTCTGGCTATGCCACTGACTGTGCCTCTGCCGCAGCGCTGCCATTTCCATTTCCATTAACGCGGCGATCGCTCCAAAGATCGGTCGACGGTCAGCGCGAAATTACAACAGTCGGTTTGCTCTTCTTGTTATTGTTGTTATTGTTGTTGTTGTTGTTTCTGCTTCTGTTTCTGTTTCTGTCGAGTGTGATTCTCGGCTCCGCTTGTTTGTGTTTTTTTTTTGTGTGTTGTTGTTGTTGTTGCTTTTCGGGAAGCGGCAATATAAAAATTGAAGCGCATACAAGCGCAGCATTTAGTCGGGCTCCACCATCCAGCAAAGAGCCACCACCACACAGAAGCCAAGGCCCCCCCCTAAAAAGCCGGACACCCTCCTCCCCCCCAACAGCAGCAGCAGCAGCCGGCCATCAGAAGCATCCCACCAAGAGAAACGGTAAGTCAAACCTAAGGGATACTACAGCCAGAGGGGGGGACTGCCCCCCCTTCGGGCGGATGAGGAAGTGCCGACCAATTTCCTGCAACGGGTTTTCGGGTCTCTGGCCATTTCGGTTGAAACAAGTTTGCATTTCGAGTGTTTTTGTTTCGATTTCTGAGAGGAAAGTGAAACAGTTTGAGGGGGAGGGGGAGCCAGAGTTTGACTAAAGGGATTCGTTACGATTACCAGGCAGTTAAGCCAAGAGATGCGACCCAGAAACCTCCCTACCGGAGGGAGGAGGAGGAGCAGATCAACGGGGCACGAAGGTCGAGGTGCGAGGTGAGCAGAAACCGAAACGAAACCCAAGATGTGGCTCTACTCCACATTCAGGAGAAGGAGAACCAGTTCTCGGCGACACTCGGCTCTCGAGTACTTGGCGGTTGGTTGGTGGCCGGGGAAGTGCCACTTTCTGCCTGGCCCCGGCCCGGCCCAGTCCGGCCTGGCAATAAAAAGAAAATAAACACAAAAATACGCATCCCATAAAACTCAAAACCTAAAACGGGCCAGGGAAATTAGCACAAGAGCGTTAAAAAAAAAACAAATGCGAGGAAGAAGCATGGTCTCCATCTAGAGCAGGGCAGGGCTCCTCCACCTCCAATCGATCCCCCGGATTCAATAGAGTTTCGAGTTCTGAGACGCACTAGCCTGGTGCTGGAACGAAATTTGAATACAAATATCAGGCCAGTGCCCACCCCCGGAACTGGAACTGGGCATCGATCGATCGATCGCCACTAGAATCCGAAAAACAATGCAAATTGGTTGAGCCAACAGCATTGAACTCCAGGGGGACTATACTATATATATAGATACTATAGACAGTAATAGCCCTGCTGGAGACTGATATTGGGCCAACTACCATTAGAAGCTATCTGGTTTTTGTAACTGCCGCCCGCCAATGTCAGGGGAGGAGAAAAAAAAACACACAGGGTTACCCGACCTATTCATTCAGTAGATAGCAGTGCCACTAGCCACTATATAGACATTGTCAACAGAACGGATGTGTTTTTTTTTTTTGTTATCGTGATAATTGTTGTATTTTCACTGGCACGAACTCGAGTTGGCTTTTAGTTTCGTTTTATGGTCAATACCTGCTACCTGAGTGGGTTTTTAAAAACAAACAGTGCCTGGATCCTAACTACCAGGACGGAACTAGGACTTATTGGGAGTTAGGGTACTTATTTTAGTGAAATTTAAATTTTAAAAATTAATAATTAACAGCTTTGACAATTAAAATAGACCCGTTTGTCCGTCAAGCTGACACTCGAACTATACTCCAAGCTATAAATACTGTGATTTGTGTGCAAAACTCAACAAGCCATAGCACTTTGAAACTTTGAAACACGGAGGCCATAACCTGACAACAAAATTGCTGCTCATTTTTCTCGCGAATCGCGTAAATTTCTACTTAAATAGTATTGTTTAAAGTTAATAAATAATAGAAATAATACGTAGCTTTGATAAGGAATGTAATTTACATGACATTCTCCCCCCCATTCATACTTTCTACACATGTACGTAGAGTAGCAGGCCTCTTTACACGCACTCATTACTCTCTCTCTCTCTGATTAACGGTGCTAGGTGACTGCTAGGGAGGCTGCGGTCGTTAAGGTACATCCCATAAAGTGCACTGATTAGAGATGTATCTTTTCTCTTTCTCACCTGTTCTAGCTACGGTCGTTGGGGGTTAGCCCTAAAAGTGCACTGACTAGAATTTCTCTTTCCCCCCATGTGCTTTAGCTACGGTCGTTGAGGGCTATAAGGGCTAGCCCTAAAAGTGCACTGACTAGAGATGTATCTTTTCTCTTTCTCACCTGTTCTAGCTACGGTCGTTGGGGGTTAGCCCTAAAAGTGCACTGACTTCGTACCTGTTTTCTCCGAACTCTTTCCCCCCATGTGCTTTAGCTACGGTCGTTAAGGGCTATGAGGGCTAGCCCTAAAAGTGCACTGACTATGTCTCTTAACTCTTTCTCAGGTCTTCCTCCTAACGGTTTTTACTAGGGACGCTACGGTCGTAAGGGGCTCGCCCTAAAAGTGCACTGACGGAGTTTCTCGAAAAACACGTGTATTTTATAGAAAAACTAACACCCAAACGTTTAACTACAATTATCGTTTAAAATCTTATTTTTTTAAAAGAAAAAATAATGGAAAAACATAAAAACTTACATAAAAACCGCATAATTATTTTTCTGCGGTCGTTAGGGGCAGGCCCTAAAAGTGCACTCACACCCTCACGCGAAAACGCGAACCGCCGAACCCGAAACTTATCATTTTTTATGAAAAAATCCATTTGACATGGTCAAGTCTAAGATTTTTAAAGCCATTTTCAATATTTACTAGGGCTTTTCACTTTTTTTACGGCACCAAGTTGGGAATTTTTGAGCTAACACCCTCCCACACACACTCTCGCGAGCGCCCTGCACATGTTCTTCCATTACCTCGTTTGATATCTTTTCATATATATATATGGGACACATATTCGGCATAGGATTTACAAAAACTGATCACTAAAGAAACTCAAAAACTTTCGAAAACGGAGGACGAGCGACGGGTTGAAAAAATACTTTGATCGTGGCGGCGAAGCGAGGGGAAGTGTTGTAATACGCCAGCGGTAGGGATGGGGCGGACGGTCATACCAAAAAGGGAACTTTACGGATTTTCCAATACCGATAGTTCGTGGGCGATAGTGGGCTGTTGGCGCGAAAGCGCATATATTTAAATATTAAATGATCGGAAATGTGTCATTTATAAAGCATACCTCTTAAAAAATCAATACTAGCCTTTTCTAGGGTATAAAATAACCCATTGATCGAATTTAATTGATTGGAAATTGCAAATGGTTTTTATAGGAATATCGACAGCTGATAAGAACCCAAGATGACGACAATAACAGCCCAACAGTTCCTGGGGCTGCTGGTGATAACCTTTTTAGGAGCATCGGCCACCGGGAGTGAGGTCACCTCGAACGTGACTCTCGACGTCAACGAGATACCGCAACGGTACGACGAGGCGCAGCTCTGGAGGATCTACAACATCTCCGAGGGGTTGCAGCAGAAGGTGCCCGTGGGCGAGGTGCTGGAGAACAAGTTCGGTGGCAACATCTGGAAGGAGAACTCCAAGTTCCTGGACATCTCCATCTCCAGGGACCAGTTGAAGGCTGCCCGCAGCTTCCTCTCGGCCCATCGCCTGGACGCCGAGGTTCTCTCAGACAACATCCAGGCCATGATCGACGAGGAGATGATGGAGGGGATCAGGGAGACAGCTGCCTCCGACGGCAGGAGAACCAGTAAGTGGACTCTTGTAGAACGGGGTAAGACATGTTTCTATCTGGCTTTACTCCTTCAGAAAAGGCCACGAGGAGCAACATGCACTGGAAGGACTACCACGACCTGGAGACCATCTACGGCTTCATGCGGGAGATCCGCAGCAAGTTCCCCAACATTGTGCGGCTCTACACGATTGGCCAGACGGCTGAGGGTCGGGACTTGAAAGTGCTCAGGTAAGGGATTCCCAATAAGAGCAGCACCCAGAAGTATGCTCCAGTTTTGGAGCTATTCATTGCCTTCTTTTGGGCACTCTTGGGTGAACTCCCAGTCCGATTCCATAACCATCTTTTCGGCCAATTCCAGAATCTCGGAAAACCCCCGCGAGAACAAGAAGGTGTGGATCGACGGTGGCATCCACGCTCGCGAATGGATCAGCCCGGCAACGGTCACCTTCATCCTGTACCAGCTGATGTCCAATTGGGAGAACCAGCCGGCCCACATCCGCGGCCTCACCTGGTACATCATGCCGGTGATGAATCCCGATGGCTACGAGTACAGCCGCACCACCAACCGTCTGTGGCGCAAGAACCGATCCCTGTCTCGCCGCTCCCAATGCAATGGCGTGGATCTCAACCGGAACTTCGACATCGGCTGGAACGGCTACGGATCCTCGACCAATCCCTGCAGTGACACCTTCCGCGGTACGTCGCCCGCCTCCGAGAAGGAGACCAAGGCAGTGGCCGAGTTCCTTTCCAAGCGCAAGTACAACCTGGAGGCGTACCTGACCTACCACAGCTACGGCCAGATGATCGTCTATCCGTGGGCCTACAAGGCCGTCAAGTTGAAGGACTCCCCTGTCCTCCAGAGGGTGGCCAGCCTGGCTGCGGACCGGATTGCCCAAAAAACGGGAAGCACCTACCGGGCGGCCGTCACCCACGAGGTGCTGGGTGTTGCCGGCGGTGGCTCTGACGACTGGAGCCGTGCCGCTCTGGGCGTTAAGTACGTCTACACCGTGGAGCTGAGAGATCGCGGAGCCTACGGCTTCGTCCTGCCTCCCCGCTACATCAAGGACACAGCGCTGGAGGGCTGGACCGTGGCGGAGACAGTGGCCCAGGCCATCAAGCCCAGCTCCGACAACCCATAACACCATATCTAATCGTAACTACTATCCCAGCTATTTTTTTTCGTGCCCACCAGGAGTGAATGTGGCCACAGTGCGAATGAGTCCTAGAACGACTGCCTATTTATGTTCGGTTGCGTGTGCCTGGAGCAGTCAGGTGTGAATGGTCAGGTGGGTGGGTATCAACCGTGTCCCGCCGGACACACAATAAACAAATCCTACGCTATTTATTACTACAGATCGGAGTCTCTCTTTTATTACGGAAGCCTGCCCAGGAACTGGGTTCGGACTTACCGTGTCCTCGTCGTCGTCCGTGTTGTCCTGCATCTGCAGCTGCAGCTGGGCCAGGGCCGCCGTGTGGGTCTCCATGTCCAGGTCCAGGTCCTTGGGCGTCGACTCCTCCGAAATGACCGACTCTGACGGCAGGTTGTCCACGAACTCGGCAAACACCCCGCTGGCCTCGGGGTTCGGGGTCTGGGCCAGGGATGTGGGCGAGGCCGAGGACTTGGAGCAGGACCGGGGCCGGGTGATGGTCGTGGCGTAGGTGGCGGTGCTGGTGCTGGTTATGGTCGTAAAGGTGGTGGTGGTGGATGTGGCTCTGCTGGCGACTGCCACGATAGCCTTTGGCGGTTTGGAAACGGAAATGGGCACGTGCTCAATGCGATGGGTGTATCGGGTGTTCAGCCGGATGCTGCTGTGCGGCGAGGAGAGGGGCGATGAGGACGCTTCTCCCACTGCGCCTGCTCCTCCTCCCCCATCCTCCACTCCCTTGACAGCCTGGTCTCCGGCCGCCTGCAAATCTGTGGCGATGCCGCCCAAGCGCAGCTGCTGCTGAATAAGCCGTTCCGCCTCCTGCAGCAGCTCATCCACGGAGCGCATGTCGCTGCTGTCGGACAGGCGACTGACCTCCTGAAAAATGCTCTCCGGGTCGGGGTCCGCCAGGCCGCAGTCCTGCTCCTTGGCGAGGAACTCCATGATGCTGCTGTTGCTGGCGTAGTCCAAGGACTCAACCTCCACGGCCGCTGCCACACCCACAGGACGTGGGCAGGGACCTCCCTGCTTCTGGGGGCTGAGCACCTGCGACATCCCGACGATCCTGTGCCTGGACGGTCACGCGCTTCCTGTTTTTTTTTCTGGCTGCGTGCGTTCGGTGCGTCGGTGTGTGTTTGCTTATTGGTTTGTTTGTTTGGTTGGTTGGTTGGTTGGTTCTGGTCGCTGCAAACCACAAAACAAAATTCGTTTTGTTTACTGTCCGAGGGCTGGCGCTCTTTCCGGAGTGCGCGCAGTTTGACGGAGTTAGCACGTTCACTGGTCGCGAGGGTAGAGAGCACGGGACTCAGCGAACACGGCACATCCTCGGTATTTACCACTTTTTGTGGCACAAACTGGTCGCAAACATTTCCTTTTGGGTATTTGACAGAAATCGGTGTGGCCAGAGGTTAGCAACTGAAACGCCACCAATCGCGAGGAGTCATACTTATCAGAGGAGCGCTGCCACCCCGCGCAACGACGTGCTGCCACCCCGGGTCAAGGCCAATGGTGTGCTGCTGGGTGGGCGCCAATGGGGAGCTAAAGGTTATTAGGGTTCTTCTGGAAAAGATTAATGACATAATATATTCAAAAATCTAAAAACCTTGACCTTTTAAAGTTTAATAGGAACCAAAATTAAACTGCAACTTTTAATGTTTTTTTTTTTCAATTTGAGTTTTATTTTCGTTTTTTTTTTTTTCTGCAAGAACAATATATGACGTACTCGTTATCCTAGTATACATATACATATATATATATATATATATATAGACTTTTTCACATTATCGACAAATTTGAAAACACAAAATAAATATATATTTTGTTCCCGAAATTGTTTCACTCTCCTCGTCCTCCGCATGCCTTCTCTATCGTTATAACTGATTTCGTAGCCTAAATATGACATTTTGTGGTTTAAACTTTAAACTTTAAACGTACACATATCCATACATATATTTATTGATCAGTTTAGTTTTACAGTTAGAGTTCATTAACTTAGTTTAGGCAATAAAATAACTTCATTCTTCCCAGCGATCCTACAATATCTCCTTTACAGTTCTCTAGTTACCAAAGTGATTTTTTTTACCAAAAAAAATTGTTAATAGTAGGTAAAAATAGGTAAATAAAAAAAAAAAAAAGAGTAATAAACATTTAAACGTAAGCCTAAGACGTGTCCAATAAAATCGCTGATCAAACATTATTTACATGGGTGTTCCGTGTGGTGGTAAGCCGACATTTAGCTGCTAATATTGCTTATGACTATATAACGTACACATATCAGTAGTGGATTTGGATCTTTGTGTTGTTCTGGCTTGGGGTTTCGGGGTTCGCTACTAGTTCTTGGATTAAACTCTGTCTTGTCTCCGTGGTTCTCTCTTTTGTGTGCTTTAGTAAATCGCTGACCATGCTCCAGAATTCGCTATCACTTTTGGTTTAAACAGTCCTCTGCCATATATCTCCGATCTACATACATACTCCGATACCCCCCTTTCCACAATGTGGTTGGGACTGCTGATCGAAACTAGGTGCATTACGGCTATACATATAGTGGTTGCTATATCAACACATAAACAATTACATAATCACAAACGACAGAATGGTATTTGGGTGGCGCAGGCTAACGGTGGCGAGAAAGTCTGCCCGCTTCCGCTTGAGATCCCGCTTTAGCAGCAACTCTCCTCCGCTTTCCATACTCTACCGTTTCCTTTTCCTTGACTGCATCCTTTCCCGATTATCTGTGACTGCTGTACGTCTTGTAGACCCGCGGCGCTCTCGTCGCCGTGGCACTGGGCGAGGCGGACGAACAGGATGCTCCGCCAGCGCCCAAGTCCTGCACCGTCGTCTCCAGATTCAGGGGCAGGACATGGTCGTTCTCGTCCGAGTGCTCGTAGATGTAGTCGCGCTTCTTGAAGTTGTCGATGATGCGCTTCGTCGACTTCATGTGCGCCACAAAGTTGGCCTCCAGCTAAAGGATTGCAAGAAAGGTTATTGTAGAAAAGAGCTCCACACAAAGCCCCGCCGAAACTCACGCTGGAGGTCAGGTTCATGAAGGTGTGGTACTTCTCCAGCACGCCGACGATCTCCTTGAAGCTGTTTCCCCTCAGCTGTCGCCGCACCACCGCCTCGAACTGCTCGTTGTCCGCTATCAGGTTGCCCACCAGGATGGCCGCGTAGCTGCCCTTGAGGGTGTGCTCCATGTGGTGTCCAGCTCGCTGCACAACTGTGGGAGAACCAATTGGGTTAGCACTTACTTCCCTCTTGCAAGCTCAAGGAATACTCACGGTTGTTGACTGTCTCCTCCACTTCCTCCTGCTTCTTCTTGCCCTTGTCGTTGCTCTCCAGGAACGCGTCCGTGTTCTTCTCCACCAACCTGGAAACCAAAGAGTTAGAAATGGGAATTCCCAAGGGATGGGTAATCATCTCACCTGGCCAGCTCTTCACACTTGTAGAAGTACTCGAGCAGGGCTTGGAGCGCGCTTACAACGCCCTGGGCTGGCGGGTTGTCGGCCACGTACTCCGCCGGAGCGGCTGCCTGCATCAGAGCGGCGCGATTGGGAACGGTGTGCATGCACAGGTTTATCAGCAGCGTCAGCACCTGGAGGATTGGAGAAGGAAACAGAGCAAGTCATTAGAAAGTGCCAGGAGAGAGGGAGTCCCTTGAGATACCCACCAATATGCTCAGCTCGAAGACGCAGTGGTCGGGAATGTAGTTGGCCGACAGAAGCAGCAGCCGGAAGCTCGTCTCCACCACATCGCCGCGCTGGCCGAGCAGCTCCGCCCCCAGAGAAGGCTGCGCCTCGTTGAAGGTGTGCGTCAGGTTGATGAGGACCTTCAGAACGGGCACGAGCAGCTCGCGCATGGCCACACCGGGGTGCTCCTTGTTGCTGGCCACCACGTCCACCGATGGATGTAGCATCAGCTGCCGACTACACAGCCGGTACAGCTGGCAGAGGGTCTCCACGGCCCGGCCCTGGCCAAAGGTGAGCATGTAGCGCTGGTTCGCCTCGTTGTGCTGCGTCACGTTCTCGAGGACTCGCAGGCACCGCGCCACTGTCTGCATGTTGTCCAGCAGCGAGGGCTGCCAGACAATCTCCGCGGATGTGTCGTTGGCGATGACTGGCCGGCAGAAGTCCGATATCGTCTTGATGATGTGCTCCAGACCGCCCAGCTTGCGCAGGTCCTCCTTGAACCACTCGCCGGCCCGCTTGGAGGTGAGCGAGAGCAGCGTCTCCATGGCCAGGGTGCCCACTGTGAGCGAGTCGACGTTGAGGTGGGTGCCCTTGCCCTGCGCCTTGATCTCCTCACACAGCTCGCGCACCTTCAGCTTGTTCCTCTCGAAGCCGGCGCGGTCCGGATGGCCGGAGCTCTCCGCGTTATCCGCCTCCAGCAGGTTGATCATCAGCTCCAGGGAGTCGCGATCGAGGTCCATGTTGAGGCCCTCCTGCGAGAGGATGTACATGATGGCCGAGGTGCACAGGCCCAGGCTGAGGTCTTTGTTGGCGTCCGACAAGGCCTGGAATGGGAAAGGGCTTAGTCAGTCTCTCTGGCAGAGCAGATGTTCTATTACTGGAACTGGAGCTTCTTCGGAAAACAACACAAATGGGTTCTCAAGTGCAGCCATAGCGCCGCCAAAACAGCAGATTCCCAGAAACAATTGTTTACTTTTGGGGGAACCGCTGCTTGTTTATGGAAGTCATCCGATCGGCATGCTGGCTGACAAGTGAGAGGCCCAGTTGGGATACCCGAACCCTCCAAAGAGACTAGATACTGGGGCGTACTCACCTTGAAGAACTTGGTGACGACGCCGTGGGCACGAACGTGCATCCGGAAGGCGGGCATCATGCACTTGGCGGCCAGCTGGAGCGCCGACAGGCAGCGCGTCGCCGGCGGGTTGTGTGGCTGCAGTGCGTCCAGGATGTATTCGACGTCGTCGTCCATCTCCTGGTACTCGCCGATCTCCTGGATCTGGTGCGCCGTCTTCACGTTCCGCACCACCGTGTAGTAGTCTTTTGTCTTGCGATCCACGCGGTTCAGGCCTCCGCCCGACGTTCCGCCGGCTGTTCCGGTGCCTCCCGATCCGGCTGCCGAGCCTCCCACTCCCGGGAGACCTCCGGTGGCCAGGTCGTCTGCGCCTGGCTCCAGGTCCAGGTCAAAGGCGTCGACGACGGCGGAACTGCTGCTGGGAACACCGCCCTGCTTTCCCGCCAGGACGCGGGAGATCTTGCCGAGCGCGGGGCTGTCGCCACGCAAGGTGGACGCACTGCTGCCGCCGCTGCACGAGGAACCATTGTTGTTGGAGGACGGGCTGTCGCCGAAATCGACGTCCGACTTGCCCACGGCCAAGTGATGCAGGTGGTCCTTGGCACCGCCTCCCGTGGCACCCGAGGTGCCCGATGCGGAGGCGTTGCTGGCGTCGCTGCCCGTTCCCCCACCGTTCGCCTCCAGGGCCGCGTCCCAGCTGTGCTTGTACAACGCCCTCTTGGCCACCGTCGCCTGCTCCGCCTGGTCCGACGGCACCAGGGCGCGGCTCTTGAAGATGCTGCCCTTCTTCTTCGAGATGACCAGCTTGACGGCGCCTCGTTGCTCCGTTTCTGCTGCTCCGTCGCCTCCGTTTCCGGCAGCCGCCGCCCCAGCCTCTGCAGCAGCGGCAGCGCCCGCTCCGCCCGCATTGGCGGCCACCTGGGAGTCCAGGGTGAGCGTTCGCTTGAACTTGTCCTTGAACTTGAAGTCACGCGGCGGGGGCGAGGATGAGGAACCGTCGTGCTGCAAGGAGGAGTTGTTGGATAGCTCGTCCGCCTCCAGGTCGGGATCGGGATCCGGGTCGTGGTCCGGCGAGTCCGCCCTCGGATCCGTGTGCAGGACTTTGGCGGGCGTGGGATGCTCCTCGGACTCGTCCTCCTCCTCGGCGGCGTCCTGCTCCTGCTGCAGCACCTGGGTCACCTGCTGGTTCTTCCGTTTCCGCCCATAACTCCTCGGGGCTGTGCCGGCCGCCCCGCTGCCGTCCTCCAGGCGGCTGGCCTCCGCCTTGGCCGACAGGCTGGCGGCGATCTTGTTGATGTTGTTGTTGATGCTGGCGGAGTTGTTGTTGTTCGCCCGGGCAGCTGCTGCCGCCCGTCCTCTCCGAGGTGGCGGCGCCTGCTCCGGCACTGGCTCCTCAATCGCCGGCTCCTCCATCTCCACGTCCGCCGCCTCAGCCTCGGCCTTCTTGGACCCCCGGGTGCCCCGCGTGCTCCGCTTGGGCGGGGAAGGGGCTTCCTGTGCGGCTTTCGGAGGCCGGCCGCGGGTCCTTGTGGGCGTGCTTACAACCGGTTCCGTGGCGGCTGCGGGAGCTGCTTCTGTAGCGGTGTTGTTGGCCTTCCGGCCCCTTCCCCGCGTGGCCCTCTTGGCTGGCTGCTGCGGCTGCTCCTGCTCCGCGTCTGCCGCCCGATCCGCTGTTCCGTTCAGTCGTGGCACTTCGCCTCGCAGAACGGCCAGTATGTCCTCCTGCAACGGCGTCTCCGGCAGCGCAGTGGCTGCGCCCGTTCCGCCGCCGTCGATGGTCATCATCATGGACTCCAAGCGGGACTCGATGTCGGAGGGAGGTGCCACTAGCGAGGAGTGCTGACTAGTCTCCAGGTCGCTGGTAATCACGCTGGATCCGCGGCTGCGTATCACGCACGAGTCCTCCTGCACGGCCTGCGCCAGCAGCTGCGGCGTGCTGTTGCCCTTCGAGGAGATGCTGCCCAGCACCGAGGACTGCGAGTCAAAGTCGTGGTCGGAGCGCGTCGTGGGCGATATAACCGCCGATCCCCGCTGCGGATGGAGATGATGCAGTTGGGTGGCCTGGCTGTGCAGCTGGTTGGGATCGCTCAGTGCCAGGTGAGGTGAAGGCGTCTTGAACTCGGAGGACTCTGCTGCCGGTGCTGTGGCTCCTGCTGCTCCCGCCGCTGCTCCTGCGGCCTGCAGCAGCTGCTTGTGCTTGTGCTTCTTGCTCTTGGACTTCTTCTCGCTGCGGGACTCCGCCTTGGCGATGGCGTTGCGAATCACGTCCGTCTTGATGATCAGCTTGAGGCGCTCCTTCGGCGGCTTGTCCGGCGATATCTTCACCGTGCAGTAGTTAATCTCTGGCGGCTCCTCCTCCTCGTCTTCCTCCTCTTCTTCTTCGTCCTCGTCCTCTGCCTCCTGGAGGCTCGTAGACTCACCAGCGGATGCTGCTGCTCCGCCTGCCGCTGCCGCGCTGGGCGACTTTCCGTCCGATCCCGTTGCCTCCGGCGGTCGCAGTGGCTTCACTATTATTTTTGGCGTACTTGCAGGAACTGTGTCTCCGTCTCCGTTGCCGCTTCCGCTTCCGGTCCGCTCTGGGAGGTCGTCGTCGTCCTGGCCCGGGTGGCTCTGGAGCGGGTTGGGATGGTAGTGCTGGTGATCCGCGGGCGAGCTGCTCGGTGGCTCTTCGCTGTCCGTGCTCACCAGTCGCGATGTGCCCTGCAAGTGAAAGACCAAGGAATGTGCATGAGAATATGTTAGCTTGGGAATGGCGTTTGTTTATGTCTGGCTATCGGATACCCCAGCCCAGCCTGCAACTGGAACTATCGATTCCTCGAGCGGATGGCCGCTGGAGAAGATCACTGACCGGGCTATAGCTGATCTGGCAAATCGGCGTGGAAACTCGGCGTCAATTAACACTCTCTCGGATCCGAGCCAGAAAACAGAACTGAGCGCCGCAAGAAGCCACCGAGAAATGCGGAAGAAAAGCAAACGAAATGGCATACAAGCCAGGAGCGGGAGCGGGAGCGGAAGCGGGAGGGGGTAGCGGCTTGGGAGAAAGAGGCACAGAGGGAGAACGCGCGATCGGGTGAGAGCGAGAGGCACGAAGCAAAAGCGCGCGTAATTTAACACTGGCTTGTTGTTGCCGATCGGGGTTCGCGCGCCACCGCTGCTTTCTCTTTCCCACACGGCAGTACAGTCCGAGGAGCGAGAGCCCGCGTGAGAGCTCCGGAGAGAGCGGCCGAGCGCGCGGCGAGGTGAGAGGTGACTCGGGCTGGTGAGAGCCCGAGGCAGCACCGAAGAATATCCAGGGTACTCGACTAATTGTCGGATAATTACATACTTTCTTGGAGAAACTACCTACCTACCCACCAGAGAGGGGCAGGGAGGTGCGGGGCATCCACTGTGCACCGTGGGCTCAAATAACCGAATTTTTAAATAAAATAATCTTCAAGAACTACCCAATCCCCTTTCTAATAACCACTCTAAGACCAGGACTCACCTTGGAGATGCGCAACACTATGGGCGGATGCTCTGGCGTCCGGGAAGCACTCGACGGATTCGACGCAGATGCGGAGGGCAGAAGCGGCACCGTCGCAGACGCTGCACTGGGCGCCGACGTGGGCGGTGGTAACGCCGGCTCGGCACCCGGGCTGCCCGCCGTCGAGCTGATGAACGCTTCCGCGGAGGCGGCTGTTGCCGCGGAGGATCCCGTGGCTTCCGCCGCGCCCCTTCCCCTGGGAATGATCAGATCCTTGACGGGCGTGGGATAGCGCTCGTCCTCGTCCACCTCGCGGTAGTTGACCGCCTTGCGTGCACGTCCCAGGATGCGCGACGGCGGCGCCTCCGGCTTGAGTTTCTTCTCCTCCTTGGGCTTCTTCGACTTCTTGGCGGAGGCGGTTCGCGCATCCGACTCGTCCAGCTCCTTGCCGAAGGGCTGATGATGCTGCTGCTCCGAGGACTCCTCTTCGGACGCCTCCCGATCCGTCGCCAACGCTCCGGGCGTCGAGGGCTTCTTCTTGGGAGACTTGCGCTTCCGCTCTGCGGAGCTGCCGCCCTTCCCCAGCTTTAGCTTCAGTCCGCCGCCTCCGTCCTGCGATCCGGAGGTAGGCGTGGCGCCTCCCCCACCGATAGACATACTCGACTGGTCCCGCATGGGCGACGTGCCGGCCACGCAGTGCGGCAGCTGTTGGATGATCTGGGCAATCACCTCGGGCGGGGCGGCGTTGCGCGACTTGAAGAACTTCTTGGGCTTCGGTGGCTCCGGCACCGAAACGGACAGATCCTTGGGGTCGTGTTCGTGCGTGGAGGCGGGACTCTGGGCGGGACTGGCGGCCGCCGCCGCCGCAGCAGCTGCCGCTGCCATCGGATGCAGGGCGGACAGCGTGTAGGTGCGCGTGGAAGTGAAGCCCATCTTGCCCCATTTGCCCACGGTGCCGACGGAGCGGGCGACGGTCGGCCGGTTGGTGTTCTCCTTCTCCTTGCAGAGCGAGTCCAGCGGCACCACGATGTTCTTGCCCCAGCGCGACATCTTGGCGTTCCGGTCCTGGTCCTTTATCTGAACTCCTTGGCTGTAGCTCTAGTCCTGGGCAACCAGCTCACTGAAAAGGCAGAAACATTAGTGGATATCGGATTGGAAGAGTCCCTAATTAGGATCAGCTAGCTCCAAGCGGGCACTGGGATTTTCTTGGAGCTCGGCATTGGAGGGGCATTTTTGGTACACCCTGAATTACAAAACACTCCCCGAGGGGAATGGAAGTCCATCCTACGCCAAGTCCACTTAATCCGCTCGGAATTGGGGCAGGCCCTGGACAGGCTGGGGAAGCTGTGGCCGGCACTGGGTGAGGATGTGGGTGGTGGTCCCTCGGGGTGGGATATTACCCGTAATGGGCTTGTTTTCGGGCAAAACCTTGTTTATTTTGCCACAATATTGCAACTTAGGAGCGAATTGTTTGGCCGCGAGCGAGAGGGGAGAGCGCGAGAGCGAGAGAGCGCTGCAGCACGAGCAAAACATAACAAACGCTCTGCCGTAAGGTGGCTGCGAGTGGGAGCGAGCGCACGATAGTGCTGCTATCGGGCCAGCGATTTCCAATTTTCACACGCATCGAATCGAATCAAATCAAAGTCGAAATGAAAACAATTTGCTGCACTTGGGCCGCCGTATTATTGCGATTCGGCAAAGCTGGACACTCACCTCGAGAATAACATTTGAAGCGGCGATTTGTTTTTGTTTCTTGCTGCTATTACTGCTGCGTGGATGCATGGGTGTGTGTGTGCGAGTGGTCGAAATCTCTGTTGCATATGTATAGGTGCAAGGAATGCAATCAAACAAACGATGTTTGCGTTTGCTTTTTGCTTTTTCCACTTTTCCTTTTCCGTTGGCTTATTGGCGCAATTTTGTGGCACGCACAAACTGTTCGATATTTTCGCAATTAAATCGCCGTCAGCCCTTTGCAGATAGCATCCTAATTCTTATTTTCGTTCTCGTTTGTTGCTCTTCTTCTTCTGCTGCTGGGCTCTTCTTCTTGGTGGTGCTGCAGCAAGACTTTGATTTTGCTTTGGTTTCCAACTCAATTTCGTTTCATTTACGCGGCAAACACACGCGACGAGGCTGGGGCACATTGACGCGTTAAAGTTTGCGGGTTATTTTGGACTTTAGCGCGAACGAAATGCACGAAAAAGTTTATTTTCACTGTTTTTGCACAAACTACGATTTAGTGGGACCAGACGCGACTGCCTGGGAAATCGTTGCTTTGCTTCGGGACATTTTCCCGCTCGGACTTGCGTTATCGACAAGCACCATCTCTAGCGCAATCGATAGGTCTGTCTAATAAGCCAGATAGCGCGCTATTTCAAAAAACTTTTCTTTATCAGAATTCTATTTTCAGTTTATTTTATTAACACAGATTTGATTATATCGTTTATTTACAAGAATAATAAAATAAAAAAGAGCTTTAGTAAGCTCTCTGCTTTAGCTTGAACATCAGCGGATCTTTGGTGCGCAGAATGAGTTCGGCAATCAGGACGGGGGGCTCCGAAGTGTCGCCCACAAAGGACACATCGTAGTGGCGCAGGACATTGGCCACAATGGCCTTGATCTCCAGCATGGCAAACTTCTGGCCAATGCAGTTCCGCGGACCGGCCGAGAAGGGAATGTAGGCGTAGGGATTCAGCTTCTCGGCACTGGTGACCACATCGAAGCGCTCCGGCTTGAAGGCGTTCGGCTCGCTAAAGAGGTCTTCGCGCCTGCCGATGTACAGCGGAGAGATGCCGATGTTGGTTCCAGCGGGGATAAGCTTTCCATCTGGGGATTAAATCATGTTAGTTCCTACGATCATTTTGGTTTAAAGATTACGTACTTATCTCGCAGTCCTCCAGGACCTTGCGCCCCAGCAGCGGAACCGAGGGATACAGACGCAGAGTCTCCTTGACGCAGAGGTCCACGTAGTGGAGCTTGTTGAGGAGCTCGTAGGTCACTGGGGTGGCCTTGTCGTCTCCCACAACGGAGCGGATCTCATCAAAGCACTTCTTTTGAGCCTCTGGATGCGTGGCGATGTTGTAGAAGAAGAACATCAGAGCCGAAGAGGTGGTGTCGTGGCCCTCAAACATAAAAGTGTCCACCTCTTCTCGAATGTCCAGGTTGGTAAGGGGCTTCTCGTCGATGGTCGACTGAAGCAGGATGTCCAGGAAGGCCATCTTGCGCTTGGCGCCCACATCTACGTCGGCCTCGGCAGTCTCTTGGCCGCCGCCCTTGATGAGCTCCTCGCGCCGCTGGACGATGATCTTCTCGGTGAACTGGTGGAGCACGTTTAGGGCCTTCTTCTCTGCCCGAGCCAGGGGCGTGAGCATGTAGGTGAGGTCGAAGCGGTAGAAGATGTTGAACATGCGCTTGTGGAGCACCATAGAGATGGTCTTCACGGCCTGCACGTACTCGGAGTCGGCGTTCGTCTGGGCGTCGATGGAAACGCCCATGGCGGTTTCTAGAATGTGAAGAATGAGAACATAAAGTCTTAAAACATTTTAAATCCACAAGTCTTCCGCGCCAAAGAATTTAAATCGAAAAACTCCCCACGAGGCTGCCAGACCGCCAGAAAAAAGCGGCGGCCGTTTCAATTTCAAGTTGAGGGATTCCCCAAGAACTCCTACCGCAAATCGTGTCCATGGTGCAGAGATTGAGCCAGTCGTATAGATTGAAGCCCGTCTCGCCCTGCTTGAGGCGATCCCGCTCCAGGTTGCGCAGCAGATCCCGCGATCCCTTCTCGAAGACGTCGACGAACTGGTCGAGGATCTTGAAGTGGAACGCCGGCGTGATGATCTTGCGCCGCTTGTGCCACTTGCGGCCGCGGCTGACCAGGAGGCCCTCCTTGAGCCACGGCTCTAGGGCCTTGTACTCGCCAGCCTTGTCGTTGAAGCGCAGCGTTCCGAGAACGACCTCCACGTCCTTGGGACTACCCATGAGCACGTTCAGCTCCGGGCCGAGCCACACCTTGAGGGTCTGGTCCTTGGAGCCGTACACCTCCATGAACTCGAAGATGCGCTTTACCATCTCGTGCGGCGGCTTGCCGATGAAGTGGTGCCCATGACCCACCAGTGGCAGGGCGGGTGGACCCGGCATGTAGCTGATGAGGTTAATTAGACGTTTGAACTTGAGCTGGTAGAGCAGGAGGCCCACGAATAGGGCGCTGGCCAGGATGGCCCCCAAAATAAGGAACATATTTGCGTAGTGCTTGCTAATCTCCTCCAGCCGGCGGCGAAAGGGTAACTGATCCACTAACCCAATGGCAGGCGACATGAAAGTCAGCACGGCTGGCGGAACTGATCCATTAAAGTTATCCGCAAACCCCGCAAATCTGCACTGGGAAAATAGGTTGAGTTCTCCCGAGGCATAACTAATCTCCTAAAGAAATGTTTTAGTTCCGGGAACGGCATACTGAAGTGTTGGTATTCTAATGAAGTTTAACAGAAGTTCTAAAAGATTAAGGTCTCTTCTTCGAAATCTACACTTTCTGTAAGTTTATTGGGTTTTTTTCCAGTGCAGATCCCAATCTGGATGGGAGTATCTAATCGAGGTGTTGACTACCGCACAAACGTTGGGCAAACCATCCTCGGATCGGGCCTAATCTTATCACAAGTGCCTTTTGTCGTATTTTAGGCTTTTATGGCGGTGAGTGGGATTTGCACCTTGGCCCCGACGGGCTCCTCAAGGGGTCTCTACTCACCGCAAATGGCGTCCAGGGTGCACAGGTGCATGGCCTCGCCCAGGGGGAACTCCTCCTGCCCTTCATCTTGCTGCTGCCGACGCAACTCCCTGACCAGACGGCGCGACTGGCGGTCAAAGATCTCCACGTAGGCATCCAGGATGCGGAAGTGGAAGGCTGGCGTGATGATCTTGCGGCGACGGTGCCACTTCCTGCCGCTGCTGACTAGGAGGCCCTCGTTCAGCCACCGCCCTAGGAAGGAGTACTCGTGGGCCTTGTCCAGCAACCGGGTGCTGCTCAGAACCTGCTCCACGTCGGCCGGGTGGAAGAGCATCACGCTGAACCTGGGTCCCATGAAGAGGCCGAAGGTGTCGCCGAATTTCTCTGCCAGGTCCGCCATCCGCTGACAGGCCTCCGCCGGTGTCAGCCCCAGGAAGAGGTAGGCATTCCCAATAAGGGGTATGGGCAGCGGGCAAGGAATGTTAGTCATAATCCTCGTGAATCGCAGCAGCTCCAGGACCAGGATGCCCAGGAACAGGCCAACGGCCAGTAGAAGCCACATTTTCGTGCGATCTCTTGGAGGAACGTCTTGAAACTGTTTGTGGACTCCGCATCTCGATTTAATTGAAACCCAAAGCCAGGCTTATCACCCGAAATACGTATTCTTCTATTTTCTGGAAAGGTATTCCGATTTCGGGAATCTTTTCCGTTTTGGGATTCAGAGATTTGGAAAGTTTTTTGCGCGTAGTTCTCTGGGGAGTCTGGGAATAGATCATGAAGAAAAAAATCCCAAAAAAAACATCCATTTCAAGTTCAAGACTTCGTCATTGTTGTTTTCCTGCCATATCGAGTGGGATGTGGACGTGGCTGTTGATGTAGATCGACGATGGCCTAAATATAGAGCACCTGATCCCAAAATAGGCCCCTAGCCATGTGGCCTTTTGGCCATTTGCTGATTTTCTGATTTGATGACTTGGCCTGTGTGTGACGTCACAATGATGGCAGGATGAGTTGCGGTCAGGCGCCCGGGGATCTCAAAATGTAAACACAAAATCGATGGCCGGAATTTCAATTCTGTTTACTTAATCACTGGGGCATCGATTCCAGATCCAATCGAGGTTCTTTATCTCCCGAGTATGCCAATCTGTAGGGTTGACCCGCCGGATGACCTTTCTCTCCCGGTTTTCTGTCAACTAAGGATGACTTGGCAATCCGGCCTGGGACTGGGGCAAGTGGAGTGTATTGGAATGGGAATTCAAAATAAACAAAGTCATCTATTTCAAGAGGCGTGCCATTCCATTCCAGATTCCAGACTTTTGTTTTAGTTTCCGAAATAGACTCTCCGTTGCGGACTCTATAGAATATGGTAGTAAACAAAAGCTCCAAAGATCTGTGATTGCAACTAGTTGATACCTATTATAGCGCCTACAATAGTATGTGGGAATATAGTACCCAGCTCTGCCCATTTCGACCTTTATGGTCTTCATAATTGAGACATTAATGCACACATTTTGGGAACAGAAATTCCCATTTGGCGGCTCGCTGCTGATTCATTCCGCCTCCCAGTACGACTACAAGAACCGAGCAGATCCGAATCCGAATCAAAAACACATGCACCAGCGCCCACTCAACTTTGGGGGCTCTATAAACAAATATGTATATAGCCACAACAATGGCAACAACAAGTAGGCGTCCTTCGAGCATGCCAAATTCCAAAATTCTTGCGTCGCCTCCGTCGGTCGTCGACTTCCACGTCACTCCCTGATTCGCATCCGATCTGGGGATCGGAACGTAAATATTTGCACTTGTCTTACAAGAGCTGGTCATTTTTTTTTTTTTTTTCTGTCGGATATTGCCGCACTCGACGGCTATACATATATAGGCTATACTTTCGGATCCACCCCATCCATCCATGTACTAGCCATGTAGTGGACGACGTGTGCGCGGGGCTTTTCAATTTAAATTTTAAATGGATTGTTTTGTGCGTTGGAATTTCATTGGCATTTCCATTTTCATTTCCAATTTTGTTAATTTTTCATTGCGAATCGTTCTGCCAAGTTGGACAGAAGCGTAGAAGGCTATTATTCCGGGGGGGATCTTTCAAATAGTGAGGGTTATAGGCCACTCTTGAGGGAAAAACCCATAGCTTTTATTATGCGCATCAGGAATGGCGTACTTCTCGTGGCGCCAAGCTGCCAGTGCAGCGGAATAGAATCCGGCGTACTCGGGACCCGTAGCTCTGGAGAGTCCCACTACATCATAACAATAAAAATAATAAAATTTTTGGCAAAAGCCCGCCATTTGCGTCAACAGAACTGGCCCACCCGGCATCTAGTACACACCCAGAAAACAGGGTGACTATATATAGATGTATTTTAGATATATTACAGTACAGAATAATGCCACATATTAGGAAGAATATTTAGCAACAAAGTGTATAAAAATCTTTAAAAAAAATGATCAATATTTGAATTAACTTTTTGCTAATCTTTCATCCGCAACTGTTTCTTCAGAATGTTTATATATAGAGGCCAGGATGAGGCATCGGCTCTCGCCTTTTGCGCCACAATGCATGCCCGTACTAATAATAATACAGCATAATAATAACAATAATAAAGCATATGATTAAGCAGCCAACGCCGCGTATGCGCAATTTTTTTTTTTTGGTTCTGGTCCGCATCACGTATCCGCCACCGAAATTCGGAGGCCTAATAAGGTATGATTGGTCCCAAAAAGTAGGAGAGTTCCTCATCCGATTCTGTAACGATCACTTCGGGAACGGTAATGGGAATGAGTCATTCTGGCGGTTGCCAATCATCTTGGTAGTTGGTGGCTTTGACGTGTCCCTTCTTCTGGCCATTTTCACAAATAAATACACGAATAATTGTTTGAAGTGTACATTATAGGGATCTGCAATCTGCTGACGAATGCCCATTCTCATCTGAGGGTATCGAAAATGCAACGCCAAATGATTCAAAGTGTCTCTTTTCTGCACAAGCTGCGGGTCTTTAATCACTTGGTAACAAAGTTGGCCAACCTGGCGAGCATTCTCCGATTCTTTTGAAGAATTCTACGTAATGGAAAGTTTCTTTCGTTCCCATATTATCCCATATTATTTCTATTATTTTGCGAATTACTGCAAGGTCTGGCGACAGAAGACAGATCTTTTCAACGCCTGGCAGATCTATCAGATAATTTATGCTAAGCATTTTGCGATTATTCAGATCTTTGAGAGTCTATATAGCCGCCATATAGGCGATGCAACAGGAAATTGCTCAGGCGAACGCATTTTCATTCATGAGTTGATTTTATTTATGTGGGTAGCCACTGGCCACTAAGTGCTAGCCACCAGAGAGCCCCTGCCAAACCAGGTCCGATCGGAATATAGCCGAAGAGCCATTGGCATGCCATATAATTGCCCAACGATGGTCGCCAAACCGCCAACACCGCCAGTCCACCGATCCACCGATCCTAGGAGCCCCACCACCACTCGTGCCATGTGCTGCATCGCCATGCACTTGTGGCTGTCAGCCAAACATGCAACAATAACAAGCGATTGGGGACTGGGGGTGTGTAGAGGTAGATATAGCCCAGCTTGATACCCAGTAGATACCAAAGACCCAGTCTAGAATCAGAGTTCCAGAACTGCGAATCAAGCAAAACCCTTGGGTCAAATTTTTGGTCAAAATCCTGATGGTCAAAATCAAAATTTTCGGTCAAAATCCAATCCCTTGGAAAAATTTCGAAAATTTGATTAAAATTTTTGTTGCCGGGTTTTTATATGTATAAAAACGATTCTTCAGAAAGTTCTGAGTTCGGAAAGGTGTAACATTTCAGGATCGGCTAGGTATAAGCCAAGTTATGCAAATTTTTCCATTTAGAAATCTAAAAAATTTGAAAGAATATTTGACGTTTTTTAATTTTTCAAAATCGGAATATTTTGATGCACTTCTTAGTAAATATTTCAACTATTTCGCAACCGATTCCAAACCGGAATACCATTTAGGAATCAGTGTTCCAATACCCTCCAATCTGCATCTAAATATCAAAAAAATTAAACAAAAAAATTTTGCCCAATTTTTGTCAAAAATTCTGGTTATTAGACCCTTCGAAAAATTTCGAAAAATGGATCGAAAATTGTATGGCCATATTTTTATTGGGAATGATGCTACTTAGAGTTCTAAGATCGGGAAGGTATACCATTTTAGGATCGGCTAAGTAATAGCTGAGTTATGCACTTTTTTCCTCTCAGAAAACTCAAAAAATTGGATAGACAGTTTGACGTTTTTTATTTTTTCAAAATCGGTTTTTTTTATAAAGTTTTTAGCGCATATTTTTATTATTTCGCAACCGATTCCAAAACGGAATACCATTCAGTAATCAGTGTTCCAATACCCTCCAATCTGCATCTAAATATCAAAAATATTATATAAAAAAAATTTTGACCAATTTTTGTCGAAAATTCTGATAGAAAAATTCAAAAATTGGAAAAATTGCGAAAAATGGATCATAATTTTATTGCCAGGTTTTGATTGGGAATGATGCTACTTAGAGTTCTAAGATCGGGAAGGTATAACATTTCAGAATCTCCCAAGTATTAGCAAAGTTATGCAATTTTTCCTTTCAGAAAACTCAAAAAATTGGAAACACGTTTTTCACTTTTTTCGGTTTTCAAAAAAATTGAATCTTTTTTCGAGTTTTTAGTTGATATTTTGACTTTTTAGAAACCGATTCAAAAACGGAATACCATTAAGGAACCAGAGTTCCAATACTCTCCAAACTGCATATAAACATCGGAAATATCAAAGAAAAGAAATTTGGTCAACTTTTTGGCCAAAATTCTGATGGTACCCCTTGGAAAAATTGCAAAAATTGTCTCAAAAATTTGTTGGCCATATTTTGATTGGGAATTATACCGCTTCGAGTTCTAAGCTCGGGAAGGTATAACAATCTAGGATCTGCCAAGTATTGGCCGAGTTATGCAAAGTTTTCTCTTAAAAAATTAAAAAAAAATGGCACCACGTTGAGATGGGACTTGAGATGGTGGGATCTGGGCAATAGACTTCCCATATACCCCCTGATAGATGCAATGTCCAGGGTATGCCCCATTGTATGCGAACAATGCAGTCGAATTTGTTTAATTAGCGGAATAAACTCGTATATTAAAGATTGGCGGGCCGGGTGGACTTCGGGCGGCCAACTGACAAGCCAAGGCAGCTGGGCACGCGTTTGGATTCCCTGGCAACTGGGATGGGGCTAGAGGATGGGGGGAAGTGGTTCGTAGCCCCAGGCTCTGGCTCTGGGACTGGGACTTGTACTTGTGCTTTTGTAGCCACGAGGATATTTAGCGGCACGGCGCCTGCGAGCTGCGTTTCCTTCGCGGGCTGGTACGGTGGCTGTGCGGGATTTTTGAATGGCACCCAAAATTCCTTCCGACGATCAGCGCGTTACATGAATCGAAACGAGACCCGCCAACCGATCAGCATACCGTTAGATGGTCGGTCTATTTCGGGTCCGTTGCCAAGGGGGGGAGTGCCATCGGGCAGAAAGGGGGTGGCCAGGGGGCAAGAGGCCGATCGGACGGACACCGCTTCCGGTTTTTCCCCAAGAGCAATGCCAGCAAAAAGTCGAAAGAAGAAAGAAGAGCACGAGCGTGGATGCATCGCTGGTTTGATGGCTCTTCACGATTCTCTGCTTTTCTCGAACTCTCATATGGTGGTACACTGAGCCCAAAGTGGCAACAGAGGCTATATAATAGTATAGACTCTAAAACAGGTTTTATATTAACTAGGATGTGAACTATATATAGGAAATATTACTTCTATATTTTAGTTTCTATGGAAATTTTTTAATTTTCTTAAATTTATAAATAATAGTTTTTTTTACAGTGTATATGTTGCCACTTTTCTTTGGGGTCTTCCTGGAGGCACTGAAAATGGGAATGGAAGTGCGTCTGGAAGTGGAAAATGGAATCTGTTCTGCGGTCAGACCTCCGGATCAGCGAAGCGCGTAAGCTGGCGATGATTGGAGCGGTGACCCCCGGATGAACCTGAGACGCGGCAGGTGTTCCCCCTGGAGTTTCTGCCAGTGATTTGCATACGGAGTGGGGTCGGGTATGGGAATAAGACTCGGGAAAATGGGAAAATTGGCCTAAAACCTCACCAGAAGAGAGTGGCAACAGCTGGCCGTGGCTGCGGAAGAGAGTGAGTGGGGAAAAACAAAGGCAGAGAAAATGAGAAAATTCGAAAATCGAAAAGAAGAAGAGCTGAAGGCAGAAAGCAGAAGCCCCCACACTCCGGTGTGTGCGTGTGTATCTGTGTGATCGCGACTATAAAAAGAAAGCGCGCTCGCTTTCGGCGCTCACTTTTGGTCCCAGCCACCAAACGGCGTGTATCTCACTCAAAATAGAAACAAAAGAATAAAAAAATACAGAAAGCTAAAACCCAATAGCTATATCCAAAATCTAAGATCCAAAACCAAATCGAACAAGTGCACGGCATTTTCTTGTTTTTTTTTTTGCTGTTTTCGAAAAAACTCCAAAGATCGTAAAAAAAAAGAGGAATCGTGTTTTCAAAAAGTGCATTTCGCATTGTGAGTGGTTTCGAGAATCCAAACCCAGAGGAATATCGTCTAGTCCAAAAGGCAAAAAATACCAAAAAGGAGCTTTAACTTCCATCTGAAGGAGAGAAAAGTGAGTGAGTGCAAAGGGGAATCCCCATTTTATTTTTGGGACTACCTTGTCTACAGAGGCAACAGCAGGTGTCTCCACCTCTTTGTTTTGTAAATATTGCTTGGCCTGCTTTCGAAAAGTCTCTAGAAACTCTAAAAATACAAACCAAGAGGCTTATAGTTGAAATATTTCTTATCATCGAGATCCAACACCTTCGGATTCGATAACATTGCCATTTGAAGGAGTAGCGATCAGGTTATTGGAAAACTGAACAAAACCAGCTGGGAAATCAGAGACACAGACACACACCCCGAGGGGCACAACCTACCGGCTAATTTCCAGTTAATTCGAAATGGGGGAAAAAACAGCAAATGGGCACGAAGCCGAATTCCGGTTCATCTTTCTCCAGATCGTATTTTTTTGGGGTCGCGAGGGGCGCTCGAGAGTTCAGGCCTAACGGTCTATGTTGCGTTGGGTCTCGTTTTTCCGGAAATCGCTAGAAAAACTAGTGCTTGGAAAGGGCTTGCCTCGAAAAAAAACGTAAACTTGAAAACTCCGTAAAACGAGAACGTTGTCAAGTTTCTTGAAAAGCTGAACTTCAAGTTGAGGAATGGGCTTATGCTTTTTTGGTGAATGATTTGCTGCTCGGCATGATAATTTTTTTTTTTTGCAATTTTTGTGCCTCGACCCGGCCATTAATGGTCTGTGGAACCGGAGCTCAAAGCTTGGAGGGCTGTGGGATGGGTCTTTCTCCCTGGAGGTCTGGGTCACACAAAAGAAATGGTAAAATGGTAAAATGGCAAAAAAAGTAAATAAACGCTTTTTGGCTGTTTGGCAATTCGTCGCACAACAACATACCCACATAAGAGACCCACAAAAAGCAAAAGACATTAAAAATTAGAAACACAATGGAGGGCGAGCTGCTCGCATGAAGCACATTTCCATTGTTATTATGGATGTTGTTTGTAGCAAAATTTAATTGGTTTTGTTTTCTTTCCCATCGCTGTTGGGCCGCCTTTGTCTACCCCCCCCACGACTCACCCAACCACCCTTTCGATCTCCCCCCATCCGCAGGCCGAGCAAGTGTTGCGACCTCGAGGTGACACAAAAGCGACAAAGTCGAAACTCTGCCGGACGGACATCTGCCAATCTGCAAGATCCAAACCAAAATCCGGCCCCGAACCAAGCCAAGCCCAGTGCAACAATGACGGATGTATCGCATGAACTGGGAGCCCTGCGCTTCGTGGTGGTAAGTGACTTGAATTATTACTCAAATATGCAATAAAGTGTCTATTTAAAAGAAGACTAATAATGTATTATTTAAGAGAATTAAACAAGAAACATGGCTCTTATAGATTTTGTCAAGAAACTACGAAAAATCTTTCATTTATATTATTACCAAGCACTGGGACTCCTTTCTTTTAAGAAGAAGGAAGGCATCATTGGAATGCCACACTCACAACTCAGAACTATAATAAGATGTAGAAAGATTTTCATTGTTTTTTTCGAATTTATTTTTTCTTTTTTTTGAATTTTTTTGGCTAAAACATCTCGTGCGACAAATGCCCGAAAATAATTTATGCGCAGAAAAGCCACAAGAATTGCGTGTACAGAATTAAATCAAATAGAATGGAAATAAACAAAAAATAATATTATAATGCAGATGTCAAAGACGAATTTTTTTTTGTTTTTGGCTAGAAAAATGTTTTCCTTTCTTCGTCGGTCGGACAGTCTTCGGGGCTGGACAGCTTCCAAGAGCATGATTAAAAATCATTAGGATCGAAATGATATAAAGAATTCGCTTAAAACCCAAACAAAACAATAACAAAGTCGGGCCAGATATTGCTTCTTGTTTTAATTTGTCGCCACATGAATTGCCAAAACATACAATCTTACCAAGTATATACATATATATATATATATATAGATATAGTACATATAGGACATAGCCACAAAGAAACAAATTTTCGCAAAAAAAGATCAAAACACGGAAAAATTCTTGGCAATGACCATCGTTCGAGTTGAAATAGCATCGCTGAATATGCATAGATCGTATATATACTGGTACATCGGTATATAGAGCTATATCTCTATATGTATCCGCGCTGTAGAATGTGCAGACTTTTCAAGAGTGACAACGGCGCCGAAAAATAGATCCCGTCCGACGTAACGAATTCACGGATTTGTGGGGCTACGGGTAGTGGATGTGGGAAGGTGGATAGCGGACTACGGATCTCGTATCCCGGATCCGGCCAGCTGCAGCTGAAAACTTGTCACTCGAAAATGAAAATGTCAAAGGAAAAATCATAAACTTTTCCACCATCCCAACATTTGTGTTTTTTGATGCGATTTCAAACCCATTAGGCGGCATGTTTAGAGTTCGAAACTCTTTACGGAGTTCGTTGGCTTCTTTTCCAAACAATTATTCATATCGGGAGACCCTGTTTACAATATAAATTCCATTTTTATAGCCCCTCCACTCGGGAGTATGGGTTACCCAGGCCATTTCAATGGACAAATTTATGCATTTTTCCCAGACTTTCACCTGGCTACCTTTTCTCGGTTTTTCCCGCTCGGTCGGCCGCCCCTGATCGCCCCGTCGGAGCCAAAAAAGCCAACTGTTTTGCCAAGTTCTGGCCGCTTTTCATTCATCGCTGGCTGTTATTTATAAGCGCTTTTGATATGAATGAAATTCGCAAATCGCCAATACCTGCGCAGAAACAGAAAGAATAAAAAATACGAGCCGACGATTGACGAAATTTTGGATATTGATCAAAGAGACAAATTGAGGGCGTCATTGCCGGTCCGCCAGCCCCCACCCCCAGTTGTTGCCAAAAACAGATCGACTATAAAGATTATATAAACACACAGATCGGAAGAAGCTATAGAGTGTCGATATAGCCCCAAGAATTCATTCATTCATGGGCAACTCGAAACGGGGGACTCCGATCTGAAAACCAAAATCATTCAAGGGGTTTTCGGCGGGATGATCATAAATAATATTTTTCAAAAACAAATTGAGTGACTGGTGGGGACTGGTGGCGAAAATTGGCCGTGAAGGTCATTCCTGTTTTCGTTTTTTTCTTCTCTGTTTCTCGGTTTCTGTCGTGAAATTTGTATGAATTTTAAAGGAAGTGTTCTTACGTGTATAGATACATATATATATCTAAGCGAACTGTTTTTGGGTGCTCGTCAAATGAGTGGTGGTGCCCCGCCCACTCTAGGGGGCTTTTATTTATGACCACGACATTTGCGCATTCCTTTGGGGCTATTTTTTGGCTTTTGGTTATGATTGGCGATGGCTCATGGCTGGGGCATCTAGCTCTTATTAGTTGAAAAATTACACAAAATGTAAGAGTGCTGTTATTTAATTGCAGCCAATTAGTTTTCGGCGGGCGAAGCTTGTTCTAGCAAGTGTTGAATTCGAAAGCCATTAATTGCCCCCAGATCTACCAGGGAATATAGTCATTTGTCTTCATGCTCGTGTGGCTATACTTTGAGTTTTGGAAATGTTTTTGAAATGGAAATCAAAGAGAGAAAAGATTGGCTAGCTTGAAGCTTGACTTTCTTTAACTTCTGTAAATAAATTAAAGTAATTGGGAAGTCAATTATATTACTAAATATTTATTCAGAAACCTCGAAATTTCTGTTTATTCTACTTGAAGTTTGAAAAATGTTTTTGTAACGGAAATTTAAAGCTTGCAAGGTGGCAGCTCACCTTGATCTTTCTTTGACGGTCTGGCCACTCTCCGGCTTAAACACAAAGGGCGGATTAAAGTTTGGCTTCCTTGGGAAGAAAACATTTCAACATTTGTGAATTAAAAGAAACTCGAACAATTCTGTGCCTTTCCAGGACTCACCGCTGTCCTCCAAGGTAGCCATGTTCAACAACCAGGCCACTCAGCACAAGCAGTCCCAGCTGCTGAATCCCTTCTCCCAGGACGGACGCGCCTCCTCGCCGAAGCCCACCTTCTCGAAGGATCAGTATGGCAAGCCGCTGGCCGGCAGTCTCACCGAAATGCGTGGCCAGAAGGCCAACATTCACGTGATGAAGGAGATGCTGGAGCTCTGTCAGATCATCAATTCGGAGGGCTACGACGTCAAGGACGAGCCCACCATGAGGGTGATCCCCTTTGGTGAGCTCTTCAATGTAAGTTTTCTTACAACGCGTCATAGAATTTCCGTAAACCATTAATGTTCTGTTTTCAGATCTACAACTACATCTCCGACAAGGTGGTGGGCATTCTTCTGCGTGCCCGCAAGCACAAACTGGTGGACTTTGAGGGCGAGATGCTGTACCAGCGGAGGGACGATGATGTGCCCGTGTTCCTGCTGAAACCAATCAAGGAAATCCGCGCCGAGATGGATGCCAAGATTGAAGACATCAAGCGCGCAGCGAGTCCTGCTCCACCGCAGTCCACCTCGGTCCTGATGGACCGCAGTGCTCATGAGCAGAACCTGAAGGCCCTGCAGTCGAGGACGCCCTCTCCTGCCGTGGGCAAGTCCAAGGCCAAGTCGAAGACACCTTCGCCTTCGCCGGCAGCCAGAAAGGCTACAGAAGCGGCTCCAGCTGCCGCCGCAGCCCCTGCTGCTGCACCTGAAACTGTCTCCGCTCCAGCTGCAGCTACCGCACCTGCTGCAGTGGTTCCTGAAGCAGTTCCGGAGGCCGTAACCGCTCCAGCTCCTGTTGAATCTAAGCCAGTTAGCGATCCAGTGCCGGTTGTGGCTATCACAGAAGCAACAGAAACTCCGGCAGCAACAGTCGCGCCTCCAGAAACCAGTCCCAAAGTCGAGGAAGTGGCTCCAGCTCCAGTCCCGACTCCCGCTTCCACATCCGCCTCCGAGGACTTGCCAACGATCGTGATCGAGGCTTCCGCCGTATTTGTGCGCACCGTCAGCGTGGAGCAGTTGGCCCCGAGCTCGTTGCCGGAGGGTGAGTCCCAGCCGGAAGTCACGCCGGTAGCTCCAGCCAAAGAGGAGGCAGCCTAGGAATTAAAAGGAGAAGCCTGGGGTGCTGGAGGATCGATGGTTGAAAGGAACTCTCGCAACTATAAAGCGGCAGCTTTAAAATTGCAGTAGTTTAGTTTACGGCATACTTAGATTAATTTTAAAATTAGACAAAAAAACAAAAACCGAAGACAGGAATCAAGAGCGATTATTTATTATACTTATAAAAACTACACAAATATACAGATATTACGGATATGTCATAGACGGACGACCAAAGAGAGAGTCGGTAATTTGTATACCTAAAAACATAAACGTTCTAAGCTAAAAGTATAAATAAATAAACTACACGTAGACACAGTATTAAGAAATAGTTTTATTTGGGTTTTGAAAAGAAACGGATAGTCGAGCTTTTGGCGCGCGCAGGTAATTTTTCTTTTGGCCGCTGGAGAACTTCAGTATTTTTCCCACCTGCGAAACCTGGTCACACTGCCGATGAAAGACGTAGGATATAATAAACAATAAAACAGATAAGCAGATAAGATGCGCAAGTTATCCAGCTTAGTGTGCGGTGCTGGCGCCGGTCTGGCGGCCTTCTACCTCAGCCGCATCCGCGACCCCCAGCAGGCGGCCCACAGCTCTTGGACGAACAGCGAGAAGCCGGTGGATGCCTGCGGCCTGTGGGACAGCAACTGGGATTGCCGGGACCCTCGCCTTATGGTGCGCCCCCTGAAGAACACCCTGCCAGAGGAGGAGAACCGCTTCAACTCCGACCTGGAGAAGGCCAAGCCCAAGAAGGCACGTCACATCATACTCGTGCGACACGGTGAATACCTCGACGTTGGTGAATCCGACGCCACACACCACCTGACCGAACGAGGCCGCAAGCAGGCAAAGTACACCGGTCAGCGGCTGTCCGAGCTGGGCATCCAGTGGGACAAGGTGATCGCATCAACGATGGTGCGCGCCCAGGAGACGGCCGACATAATACTCAATGAGATCAAATACGACAAGGAGAAGGTGGTGAACTGCGTGTACCTGCGAGAAGGTGCGCCCATTCCGCCACAGCCGCCGGTCGGTCACTGGAAGCCGGAAGCATCGGTAAGTATAGTACAGAGAGGGGCGCCGCCTTTGGGTATCCATTCTCATTCCCGGCTTCGTTTTCATGCAGCAGTTCTATCGTGACGGCGCCCGCATCGAGGCCGCATTCCGGCGCTACTTCCATCGTGCCTATCCCGACCAGGACAAGGAGTCCTACACCCTGATCGTGGGCCACGGCAATGTCATCCGCTACTTTGTGTGCCGAGCACTCCAGTTCCCGCCGGAGGGCTGGCTGCGCATCAGTATCAACCACGCTTCCATCACCTGGCTGACGATCAGTCCGTCGGGAAATGTGTCGATCAAGTACCTGGGTGACACTGGCTTCATGCCCGTCCCGCTGCTCACAAACCGCATCCCCCGGGATGCGAAGAACGTCGTCTAGTCGCTTTGGTTTCCAGCAATCTACAAGTGAACTGCCTGCGTCGACTGCGAAGCAATCCTAGTGTATTAAATGCCAAGCCTTAAAGCAACTATGTAAACCCTGGAAGGTGGAGTCCTCCAGGAGTGAAACCTAATCAGTACGGGTCGTAGTAACTATATTCTCCATTATGCTGTAATCCTTCGATCTAAACAGAAGCGAAACTTAATAAATTTTACACTTTTTGAATACTAAGATCTGTCCAGGGCATCTCTTGGAATGGGAATCTTTAAAACTTATCTTTATTTATCACTAAATTGTGCTTATCCACCCCTATCATTAGGGCCTAATCCTAGCTCAAGACTTGCTGGAGTCTCTGCAGGCACTTCCGAATGCCCACATCTTCGCCAGCTCCCCGTTTCAGCTCCACCTGCTTGGCCTGCTCATTCACAAACGGCAGGATGGGAGCCACCATATCAGCAGATACCTCCGCCAGCTTTATCAGCATCTGGAAGTAGAAGTAGGTGCAGTGGGCCAGGTGTTTCTCCGCTAGGCTTCGCAGGTGAGTGCAGCACTGGTCCTTAAGCGCCACCGAACGCTTGAATCCCTCGTGGGCAGCAAGCACTCGATAAAGCCCCAGGACCTGGCCCCGACTGTGCTCCAGCTCGTCGACAAACATTACGTGCTCCAGCAGGGGCATGTTCACGGCCTGGATAAACGTCATAAGCTGTACCTCCGCCTGCTCCCTGGGTGTTCCTTCGACCAGCTGCTGTAGGATTGTGATCACCAGTCCCGCTTGCGGACCAGCCTTGCGGCGCTGCACTACCAAGAACTGTGTCACCAGCAGCTGAAGCACATGCTGTGTAATTTCTCCTTCCTGATCCGCCTGCAGCAGCGTGGCGTAGGGCCGCGCCACCAGCTTGGCGCTTGGCGAGAAGCTGAAGTGCGGCGTCCAGTGCTGCACCAGCTGCTCCAAGGTCTTGCTCACATAGGCGTCAGTGCGGTACGGCAGCCGACCTATCCCTTGGAGCAGCACGGGAAAGATCTTGTGCACCATTTGGGGTAGACGGCCCTCGGGAGCATTTCCCGCCTGCAGCTGAGTGGTTAGCAGGAAGCGAACCATGGCCAGGTGGAAAAAGCAGGTGGGCTTGGACCTCACATACGCCAAGCTCGGACAGTTATAGATGACGATGGCCAGAAAGCTGTAGAAGCGAGTGCCCATCTCGGATCTCAGGCGGTCTGCTGGCAGCCACAGTTCAAAGTGGTTAACGTAGGCGTGCAGCTTGTGGCTCAGCTGCATCCGCACGTGGGCCGCTGCCTCTTCCTGCTGGGCACGACGCCCCAGGGCGCCGAAAAAAGCGCAGAGTGGTTCACGACCTCCTTCCAGGGCGGCAGGGTCTATGGAGAGCTGGCGAAACTCATCCAGCCGGACAACGTGAGGTGTTAGGGCCACAACGGCCTCGTGCTGGGCGTTGAGTAGCACCAGGGACTTGACCCACACCTGAAGGACCGCGGAGCTGGAGGGCTTGATGGCCTGGTGGTGTTCTTCTAGAATCTGAAGTATCAGCTGGGCGGAGGCGGCAAGATTCACCGGCTCGGGGCCCTGTAGAAAGCTAAGCATCAGCTTCTCCCGCTCGCGCTCCTTCTCCAGGCTCACAAACTTGGCCGCCAGCTTGGGCAGCCACGAACTGTGGCCACATACGTACTGAGTTCTGAGAAGTGGCAGCACATTGTGTTGGAGTCCTTCCCGGATGCCGCTCTCATTCACCATCACAGTCTTTGATTCGTCCAATCGAACGATCATGGAATCCAGGGCTTGCCACACCCGATCCTGCGAAGCCTGGCCGCTTTTTTCCATGTAGTGCGTCAGCCAGGGTCCCAGGAGCAGCTGCTCTCCTCGATTAAAGTCGTCAGCCAGATCGAAAATGGCTTGGAGGGTGCCGGCGTAGATAGCACCCACTTCTACCTCATTTCGAATGGCAGCCAGTTGGGCCAGCAGCTTACCCAGATAGTCCTCGAAGGACAATCGATGCTGAGCGTGCAGGAGAAGCAGTGCCATGTGACCCTTGGCTACCAAAACCCTGCGAACAGGTGGCATCTTTTCCAGAGCCAGACAGAGAAGCATCTCCCGCAGTTTCGGGGCCAGATCGCCCAATTCCTCGCCCTGGGAGAGCAGCAGGCAGAGGAAGAGTTCGATGACATGGTGGATTCCAGACTCGTTGAGCGCCAGCAATTTCGCGGCACTGAATTTGCTGAAGATGCGGCCCAGGAGCTTTTGGCGCTGGTTACTCCTGCCCTGAAGTGGCAGCAGCCTGAGTGTCCTGCCCAGCATCCATGCGTACATCGTGAAGCTACTGAGATTCAGATCCTCTAGCTGGGACTTGGATAGGAGTTTGCTATAGCGTTCAACATAGGCAGCTCCAGTGGGGCAGGTGAGGGGCAGCTGATCCAGGTCATTGCCTGCGTTAAAGTTGCAGTTCAGAGAGCGATGGAGGTACTCCCACAGCTGGCACAGAACATCGGTGTCCGGCTGGCCCAAATGGAGCTGAAGAGGTGCAAGAAGCGATAGGTAGACCCTGCGGTTCTGCTCATCCGGCTGACTGGCCAGGAATTGCTTGAGAAGAGCCGCTGTTTGAAAGTTTGCCGGTGGGGATGGAAGAACGCATTCTGGCTGATGAATGCCTTCCGGGCTGTATTCCTCTAAGCGAGCTAGTCCCAGACGTAGCCAGGCGTAGAACTCCTGGAAGGCCAAATTAACACCGTTGGCATCGCCTGGAAATGGAAAACAGTAAGGGGTTTCCGTTTTAGAAGATTGCTCGGTATAATCACCTTGAAAGTGGTTCAGCTTATGCCTCTGCATGGCTTTGTGGAAAAGGGTCCAGAAATCTAGATCTTTCTCGGCCAGCCACAGCGGGATTAGACGTGTCAACAGCAACCACAGCTCCTTGGTGCAGCGGCACATGAACGGAGAAGAGTGAATCAGTTCTGGCCGATGCTTGCCTCGGTAATGGTTTACCGCACAAACAATAAGATCGTCCAGAGTTCGTTCCAGCTGCGCCAGACCTTGCTGCTCCTGCTCCTGGTGGGAGAATAGCAGAATAAGGTCCAGGAAACGCCACTCCAGAATGCCATGGTAGAGGTGATACGCCGGTGCCTGACAATCGTTTCCCTTGCTGTTCTCGGCAAAGTACAGAACCTTCCAGGCATCTGCGTCCAGCTGGTTGTCAAGCAAATGTCGCAGATCCTCAAGGTAGTGATGAGACTCAAAGATCAGCCGCTCTTCCCGCATCCATAGCAGCATATGGTAGAAGTGAGTGACATGCTGACGCGCCCGAAACCAGCCGGAGCCCATGGAACTCGGAGCTGTCTGCAACTGCTGTTGACCTGCCACGGCGGCAAACAGTTTTTGGATGTTCTTGCTGGGTTTCGGATGAAATACAGAGGAGTTTAGTAGCGGCGTTTCCCAAGGCAATTTAAATACATACCATGCCTCGGCCTGCAGATAGTCTCTAACGGAGGGGACCGTAAGTTGGCCCTGGGAAAAGTCAAAACAGAGGTTGTCCATTCGACAACGCGGTGGGTTCAACTGGCCATAGCCATTCCGCAGGAAGCTCTCGCTGGGGAACTGGCTCTTGATGGTATCCCTTCCGCTGCAGCAGAACTCTGGAAGGAGCTCCAGACCGTCATACTCGTTGGCGGAGTCGAAATCGCCCTCGTCCACATCCATTCTCCCCTGAAGGGTTTCCTGCTGCAGTTTTTGGGTAGCCTGGTCGAAGGCTGTGAGGATATCCTCGTCATCATCGGACTGGAATAGGTCGTAGTCCATGGTGAAGACAGGGATTCGAACTTGTTGATGGGAGTCTCTGGAGGATTAGCTGCGCGGCATTTTGCTGCCAGTGTTGAAAGACGGTGTTGGTAAACTCCATGATCGATACGTTGTAAAAGGTAGGCGGTGCTTTTAAAATGGGTATAAATAGCAGCTCGCACGCAATAATTATTGAGTATCGGAAAGACTAACATGTTTATAAATATTTTTGTATATTTCGAATTTAATTCTCTTTATTAAGTTCTTTAAATTTAATTGATCAAATACAAAAATATTAATACAAAAAAAAATTGGCGTGGCTTATATCTATCTTTTTGTGGCTTTTTTCGCTTTTAGAAAAAAAAGAGAAAAACTTGAGAAAAAACTATACAAATATTTTCGGAATTATTTAAATTCAATTTTTTTGATAGTGTGGTTATATCGAAGAAAACGGAGTGCTGTAAAACACTAAATTACCTGTGGACATTTGGACTTTTGTTTTGGACTTAAGTTCCGTCTTATCTTTACGTTATTACGTAGCAGCCTCTGGAGAGAACCACAAGTAGCTACCACAAGTAGTTACTAGGCAGCTCCAGCATGTCGTTCCGTCCTCTGGTCGAGGGCGACTGCGGCGGGATTAACCCGCTAGTGCAATTGGGTGGACAATTAACCCGCGACGTGGCCCGCAAGGATGAGGGAGTCGTGCAGCGTCACATTGAAGGAGGCGCCCGCCTCGAGAACCCACTCGTCAACGAGTTCCTCGGGCAAGTGGCTGCTCCACCACAGACATTTCGAGTAAACAATTTGCTGCAGGAGATGCGCGGCATAAACCTGAATGGTAATCCTGAAGAACAGATGCAGCATATGCAGAATATGCAGCAGGCTGAACAGTGGACCCAGGAAATAAACCAGACTATCCCAGCTCCTATTATCCCTAACCAAATGATGCGCATGCATCCTCGTATGCAGGATGCCTTGGAGTTCTTCGATGGGCCAAGTTCTTCAAACAGCCAAGCCTTACAGCGTTTTCCCGGGCCCCAGGCCTACCTTCCCTTGGCAAATGCCCTCTATCAGGAGCAGGTGGATCCCTTTTTTGATTCCGAAGTAGATGGTGTTGACACTCAAGCCGCCATTACGGCCCCTCCACCTGGTATGATTCCAAATATTCTATAAAATCTGTTAATCTTGATTTGTTAATCTTTGACAAACAGTTATGGATTCCCTTAACGAATGGCTAGACGAATTTCGGGCCACTACCGAAGAAAAGGAACAGACTGCCGCGAACTTCAACGATAGGTTCTGGAAGCGTCTGCAGGAGGACTGGCAGCAAATGTCAAATGATAACGATCATTCCTGGCTTTCGGAATTCAACGAGAATCTAGATCCCTACAAGGAGTACCAGTTCGCAGAAGATAATCCTATGTCTGATTTGGAAAACGCTTATGAGAAGGGCAAGGAATACCTTGCTAAACATGACATTCCCAGCGCTGTCCTCTGCTTTGAGGTGGCCGCCAAAAAGGAGCCAGAACGTGCTGAAATCTGGCAGATCCTGGGTACTTCCCAAGCTGAAAACGAAATGGATCCACAGGCCATTTCTGCTCTGAAGCGAGCCCTTGAGCTCCAGTCTGACAATCTCCAAGTGCTCATGGCCTTGGCCGTTTGCTACACCAACGAAAGCCTCCAGAATAATGCGGTTCGCATGCTGGCCACCTGGCTGTCGGTGCACCCAAAGTATAAGCATCTAATTTCTGATGATTCGGACATGGAGTTCGAGAGCGATTCGCTGGCCTCTTCCCTGGTCGGGCCCAACAAGTTGAAGGACCTTCAGGCGTTCTACTTGGAGGCAGTGCGTCAGCGTGCGCCAGAGGTAGATCCCGACTTGCAGGAGGCACTGGGTGTCCTCTTCAACTTATCTGGAGAGTACGACAAGGCAGTTGACTGCTTCAGCGCAGCTTTGCAGGTTGATCCTAAAAATGCCAAAATCTGGAACCGCATGGGTGCCAGCCTAGCCAACGGTTCTCGATCTGTGGAGGCAGTAGATGCATATCAGCAAGCTCTTGAGCTTCAGCCCGGCTTTATCCGGGTCCGTTACAACGTCGGCGTGTGCTGCATGAATCTGAAGGCGTACAAGGAGGCGGTGGAGCATCTGCTGACTGCTCTGACCATGCAGTCGCACACTAGGGCCGCCCAGGAGTTGCCAAATGCGGCGATGGCGGCCACCGCCACCGGCCAGAACCAGATGTCTGACTCGATTTGGAGTACTCTTAAGATGGTCGTTTCGCTAATGGGACGCAGCGATCTTCAGGAGTATATTGCTGATCGCAATCTAACTGCAATGAACGAAGCCTTTAAGGACTAAACAGGACGTATCGCATTCCCAGAAAAGGACTTGTCAATTTAATTTAATTTTGTTTTCTTGTTCTATGTTCCTAATCTATAAGCCATTAAATAAATGTTTAGGAAATACATAAGAAGTCCTGTCTTTTCTACGGCAAGCCTCCCAGACGCTTGTAGTCGATCTTCTCCAGCTGTACCAGTGGCTTGAGCTGCTCCGCAAACACACGCATCTCCTCGCCAACGTTTTCCTGTCCCGTGGGCGCCACCACAGACAGTTCGACAATGTAGCTCTGGGAGATTGGTTCGTTGGCCATTTCCTGTTGCTTGCCAGGAACGATTTTGATCAGTTTTGAGACGGTGATTTTCATGCGACCTTTGCGGAACATGTAGCCTGCCGAGAACGATTTAGACATCTTATATTTGTGCCTATATAGACGGCTTAGTTAACTCACCCTTGGCTATGTACTCGAACTCTAACCGGAATCCCATTTCGGTGAGAAACTCTAGGATACCATTGGTGCAGGCGCAGTCCATGCAGCTTCTCACAAGTGTTGGCCGCCTTTGATCCGCCTCCGGCTGTCCCAGGTACCGCATCTGAAAGGGCGCATCTCGACTGAGTGCTCTCCGCACCCGGAGGAGCAGCGGCTGGGTTGCATTCGGTTGTCGCAGGCTCATGCACACCTCCAGGTCGTTGAATGGTTCCGGTGAGGTGTCTACATTGTCGCAGAGTCCCTTCAGTCTATTTAGAATGGTATTCAAAGCTTCAAAAGGCAAAACTCAGGCTATGTCAGCCGAACCTGTGAATCAAATGCTCCACGGCGGAGTCCATGATGGAGCCCTGCAGTAAATACTCCAGATTAGGCAGCAGCCGGTTGTTCAATGCATGCGAGAGGGTCTCGCGAGCCGACGATATGGCAGCCATGGTCAATATTGTTTATTTCATAAATTAAACCGGGGTGAGAGCCGCCGTTTACTACTTCTTCTTTTGTTTATACTTTCGGCCAGTGTTAACAACGCGGTTGCGGTGTTTGGTATTTTTTGTTGGTATTTTTGTGTGTATAGAAAGCAGCCCTGGTCCCGACGCGCAAAGATCGTTTGATTTTGTTTTTGGGAAATTGGAAATTAAATTCAAAGCGGATTGCGCCCAACCTAACTGTTCATGGAAAAATGGCAGATCATCAGTACAAACTGTTCCGAGCGGTCGACCCAAGCACGGTAAAAGTGCCGTTTAAGGAGAAATTCGCGAATCTGACGCTATCTTCTAAAAAACAACAGGCACCCAAAACAGAGAAACAGAAGCCACCAGGATCGATGCCGGCCGCAAAAGAACATTTTGGAAGCTGCGAGCCCCGAGAGCAAGAGGATCTCGATGGCTCAGAGTACATGGATGCCCTGCAGCTGAGCGGGGACGATAACCAGGAGGTGGAGCATCTCTCCTCGAGGATCAGCAACTTGACAATGCAGCCAAAGGAGCAGGCGACGAAGCAGCCAGAAGTCTCCATCTGCATCTCCTCCACGACGGAGGAGGGCGAAGACACAGACGATAATGAATCCTGCATCACCATATCCAGTGACTCGAGCCAGGATGACCAGGAGCACGAGAAGGCTGCTCCCGACAGTATGGCTGTCAGCGATCGGCTTGCCGAGCTAGACGCCGACCAGGAGCCTATTCCGGCCCCCGTACTAACTACAAGTAAGGTCCAACGCATCGAGGCTTTCCTGCGTGATGTTTCCTTCGAAAGAAGGGAAATGGAGCGGAACGGGGTAAAGACACCTTCGCCCTTCCCCTCCACCAAAAGGGAAAAATCGCGGCTGGCCAGTGCCGACACTGAGTCCATGCCCACCGACGAGGACTGGTTGCCAGCTAAAACCAGGCCGATAGACAGCAGCAAGCGGCTGGCGGACAACGAGACCGAGGTGGACACCATTTGCTCCGCTGCGGACGAGAATCGGATGGATAGCAGCAAACGGCTGGCAGATGACGAAACGGAGGCGAATACTCTCGGCTCCGAGGATCTCAGAGACAGCAGCAAGCGACTGGCTGACAATGACACAGAGTTGAACACCATTTGCTCGGACAACTCTACGCTCCACGATGACGAGCCCATTCCAGACGAGTCTATTGAGATTCCGGAGACTGCCAGCGAGTCTGAGGCTTCGCCGCAAAAACCCAGTGCCTCCAATTCCAACAACACATCCAGTGCAGAGGAGGAGGGACAGCCGGTCTCCTTCCAAGTCAGCAGCATTAACATATCCGCTAAAATCAATATCAAAATCAGTATTCCGACGATGGAGTCTAGTTCAGCAGAAGAAGAGGAGGAAGAGAAGGAGGAGGACCTTCCCCCACCAAGAGCCACCAAATCCATCCAGAGTTCCGAGGAGATTATCGCGGAAAAGCAACTGCAGGAGAGGGAGAATCAGGACCATCACAAGTCAATGCTCTCTACCGGGGATGCCTCCGAGGATGAGCAATTCCTCACTCACGCCGAAAAACTTCTGAATCAGTTGTACGGAAAATCGTGGCAGACGCCTGATGTGATTCGCACTTTGAAGCGCTCCAGTGGCAGTGGCGGCAAGACGGCCCCGTTGAAGCCGAGAAACCTCAATCCGCCAGCAGCACCGGTCACCACAGCCAAAAAGAAGAGGCCCCCACCTCCCAAACCAGATGAAAGTGTCCTGGGCGACTTTAGCATTTGTAAGAATATGCGATCCTTTTGAAATCAGGAAGAAGTCTCTTATATATTTTATATTCTTTTCAGTTAAGAGGGCTCTTCGTGCCAATGAGACACCCCTGAACTCCACACGCTTGCCGCCTGTACGGGCTGTTCAAACGGAGCGGCGTCCTCAACGGAAGGCAGCGACTCGTCCACGCACCAATCATATCGACGAGGACCGTTGGCGTGCTCTGGTTGATTCCGAAAGTGGGACAGACGCCTCCGATGACGAGGACGCGGACGCAACAGTAAGCGGAAACAGCAGCGACAGTAGTGATGGCGAGGAAAAAGCTGGGGACGTCACCTATTTGGACTTGACCAAGGCCGAGGTGGAGGTGATCAGCAATCCCGACGAGGATGAGCAGTGTAAGGCCATTGAAACCGAGTCTTTAAAGGGTCATCACATTCTAACTTTCTACAAATATTATTTTAGCACCGAAGTTTCACCGCCGACTGGATGACATTCTACGCTCGTGCCGTGCAGGCTCAAAGTCTAAGATACCTGCAACACCGCCACCGCAACCGGCCACCACCAGGCGACAGTTGTTTACGCCAAATACGGGCTTTGAGGACGACAAAGAAGCTAGGGAAATCGTGGACAGAGCGGTGGATCTTGACATGCTGGAAGAACTGGAGAAAGAGCACTTGCCAGGCACGCCCGTCCACAAGCGTCTGCAGGAGGTCAAGAAGAAGCTGGGCATAGCCCAGGAAACGCCAAAGTCTACTCCCATTTTTAAGCTGCATACCCCGCAAACGGCTCCGCCTAAGCCCACTGCTCCGCCCAAGTCCACCGTCCGCAAGCCGAAGCAGCAGCCCAAGCCAGCGCCTCCAGTTACCGAGAGCAGAAAGTGCAGTTTCCTGAAGTCCCTCGAAGGGCAAGTGAGCCGCGAACGCGCGGACAACGAGGCCTATTTCTACAGGGAGAACTTTGCCAAGAACAAGGACCAGCTGGCCCTGCATCTGTACAAAATGTTCAATGCTCAGGTGTTCAACAACGAACTGGATGTGCCCATAACGTGGTCCAAGCTGTTGCGGAACACGGCCGGACGGTGCATGAATAAGAGAAAGTGGGTATCAGTTATTTTTAATCTGAATGGAATAAATAACCCATTTTTTTTAGGCTTAACCTACGCAGCAGCTCAATAGAGCTCAGTGTCAAGGTCCTGACCACAGCCGATCGCCTGCGCTGCACTCTTATCCACGAGCTGTGCCACGCCGCCGCCTGGGTGTTCAACGGCGAAGGTGGTCACGGACGCGTGTGGAAGATGTGGGCCCGTCGCGCCATGGACAAGTTTCCCGATCTGCCAGAAATCAAGGTGTGCCACAGCTACAACATCGAGTTCAAGTACACCTACAAGTGTATGAGCTGCAATACATCGTGAGTCCTCATGCCTTGCTGTCCCCTTTGATTGTATTCTGCTAACCCAAAAATGTTCCCTTTCAGCTCACATGCTCACTCCCGCTCCAGGAAGGTGGAGAACCTACGGTGCCGGCTTTGCCGTGGGCCAATCACATTATTTCTCAACAAAAAGGACAAGCAGGGGAATACAATATCCACGCCAGCCGGTGAGGCCAAGGGCTTTGCAAAATTCGTCAAGGACAATTTCAACAAATTCAAAAGGGACGAACTCACCGCAGCCGAGGTGATGCGCCTGCTCAGCGTAGAGTATGCCAAGCAAAAGGATACGAAAACCACAGGGGAGACAGCGGCGTCGATCGCCGGACGAGTGGAAGTGCTGACATTGGACGACTAGATATATGAAATCACATACATACATATGTTTATATATTTCTAAAATGTATTTTTTTTTGTTTAAGAGAATAACAAGAAACGGGGTTTCTATTTATTTTGTAACCGTATTTTACCTAAAGTGATTCTACCTAGCGATACAATCAAAAAGCGTACAAAACCACTCTGTAATCACATAAGTTAGGCTACGATCTATAAAAGTTGTATGGTGATACTCTTGAAACTTTTTCTATCCAATGGGAGTTGGGGGTCAATGCGAATCTATGCTGGTAGATGTGGTACATATCTTTCCCAATTTCGCCCCTGCGATGTCCATATCTTCTGCAATTTTCATCCGATTCTTGATCGGCTTACACCAAACGATTTATTTTCCAATTCTCCGCCAATCTGCATTAAAATCTAAGAACAAATTTTTTGATCGATTTTTTTCAAAAATTTTCTGAAGGTATACCTTCAAAAATGCAGATTTTCGAATTTTGGCCCCTGCGATGTCCATATCTTCTGCAATTTTCATCCGATTCTTGATCGGCTTACACCAAACGATTTATTTTCCAATTCTCCACCAATCTGCATCAAAATCTGATACAAAATTTTGGATCGATTTTTTTCAAAATTTTTCTGAAGGTATACCTTAAAAAATGCAGATTTTCGAATTTTGTCCCCTGCGATGTCTATATCTTCTCCAATTTTCATCCGATTCTTGATCGGCTTTCACCAAACGATTTATTTTCCAATTCTCCACCAATCTGCATCAAAATCTTATACAAAATTTTTGGATCGATTTTTTTCAAAATTTTTCTGAAGGTATACCTTCAAAAATGCAGATTTTCGAATTTTGTCCCCTGCGATGTCTATATCTTCTCCAATTTTCATCCGATTCTTGATCGGCTTTCACCAAACGATTTATTTTCCAATTCTCCACCAATCTGCATTAAAATCTGACAACAAATTTTTTGATCGATTTTTTTCAAAATTTTTCTGAAGGTATACCTTCAAAAATGCAGATTTTCGAATTTTGTCCTCTGCGATGTCTACTTTATCTCCGATTTTCATCGGATTCCCTATGGAAATACAACAAGGTATTATTTTTTTGCAAATTTGGTAGTTTTTAGTATTTTTTATTTTGTGTGAAGACGCAAGCAGTTTTTTAAGCAGTGCTGTCTGGTTAGGGGATTCCCCTAGAATTAGTGGTTTTTCGATTCCCTAGGAATGGATATATTGCTAATTTTTTTTTTGAACTTCGTATTACCATCCTGAAAATAATAAGAACGTGCCCCAAAAGCCCATTCTACCAACAAGAAGCTGATGACTGTATTTGATAAATTAAAAAATGTATTTTGTGTTATTTAAATAATTTATGGAATTTTATTAATTTACAGTGAATATTGTTATTATATTTCAATTTTTAAGTGGGCCTATATGGCCCGACGAGAGCAATTGGCCACAAATACGATTCGGCCATCTGGCAACACTGGTCTGTGTCACACAGACGCAACACACACACAGCCAGCGTAAACATTTGTCGAAGAACCGAACACGTCAGCTAGCGGATTCGGTTTAGGATTGGATTGATTGAAAACGGCTTGTTTCAAGTGCTCCGCGATTCCGATCTGTAGCAGCAGCCCACCCGGCACCGTCCGCCTCGATCCGCCAAGTATTTCCTAGGGAAGAAACCAACGAATCGCTGCTCAAAATGGTAAGTACACGGCGACTCACACACACATGCAACGTCGGCGATTTGAGGCTTATCCCAAAAAACAAACTCACTCTTCCCACCTATCGCCCGTGCAAATAACAGGTACTCATCGCCGCGGCAGTCTGCACCAAGAATGGCAAAGGTGAGTAGCAATTTAGACATCATAACATGGGATGTAACTGAACCATGGCTCTTCCCCCCAGTGATACTGTCACGTCAGTTCGTCGAGATGACGAAGGCACGCATCGAGGGTCTGCTGGCCGCCTTTCCCAAGCTGATGACGGCTGGAAAGCAGCACACCTACGTGGAGACCGACTCTGTGCGCTATGTCTACCAACCGATGGAGAAACTCTACATGCTCCTCATCACCACGAAGGCCAGTAACATTCTGGAGGACTTGGAGACGCTGCGCCTATTCTCCAAAGTGGTGAGTCCCGCCGTCGGGAAACCTTTGAGGATTTAATAACCATTTTCCCTCTTAGATCCCCGAGTACAGCCACTCTCTGGACGAGAAAGAAATCGTGGACAACGCCTTTAACTTGATCTTTGCCTTTGATGAGATTGTGGCTCTTGGCTACAGGGAGAGCGTAAATCTGGCTCAGATCAAGACTTTTGTGGAGATGGACTCGCACGAGGAAAAGGTCTACCAGGCTGTGCGCCAGACCCAGGAACGCGAGGCTCGTCAGAAGATGCGCGAAAAGGCCAAGGAGCTGCAGCGTCAGCGCATGGAGGCGAGCAAGCGCGGAGGCCCCTCCATTGGCGGAATGGGAGGTCGCAGTGGTGGTTTCAGCGCCGACGGCTTTGGCAGCAGCGGTGTAAGCAGCAGCTCCGGCGTCTCTAGCTCCAACATCGGCATGGCCTCCATCGAAGTGGATACCAAATCCAAAGTGGCCGCGTAAGTATTTCATTTTTTGTGCATCTTCTCAAACCTTCATCGTTTTTCTTCTCCAGTAGTAAGCCCGCTTCACGCAATGCCCTCAAGCTGGGTGGCAAGTCCAAGGATGTGGACAGCTTTGTGGATCAGCTGAAGAGCGAGGGCGAGAAGATCGCCAATCTGGCTCCGGCAGCGTCGTCGGGAAGCTCGGGAGCTGCTTCAAGTGCCAGTGCTGCTGCCAAGGCAGCGATTTCGGCGGATATTCACAGAGAAAGGTGGGAGTTAAAGATGCTATATGGTTATGCTAATTAATGAAACAATTTCTCTCCCATTAGTGTCCACTTGAAGATCGAGGACAAGCTGGTGGTGCGTCTGGGACGCGACGGAGGTGTGCAGCAGTTTGAGAACTCTGGCTTGCTGACACTGCGCATTTCGGACGAGGCATACGGGCGTATTCTGCTTAAGCTATCCCCCAACCATACACAGGGCCTCCAGCTGCAGACGCATCCCAACGTGGACAAGGAACTCTTCAAGACACGCACCATGATCGGGCTGAAGAATCTGGCCAAGCCGTTCCCGCTCAACACGGACGTGGGTGTGCTCAAGTGGCGCTTTGTCTCGCAGGACGAGTCTGCCATTCCACTGACCAGTAAGTGCCCTTTGTTTCCTTATCTGCTCTGCACCTTCTCTTACGTATTGCTCTCTCGCTCTTTTTCCAGTCAACTGCTGGCCGTCCGACAATGGAGAAGGTGGCTGCGACGTCAACATTGAGTACGAATTGGAGGCACAGCAGCTGGAGCTGCAGGACGTGGCCATTGTCATACCCTTGCCGTAAGTATATTGAGACTTTTGCTTCATTCTGTTGATTGAAACCTCATCCAATCCCTTCCAGAATGAATGTGCAGCCGTCGGTGGCCGAGTACGATGGCACTTACAACTACGATTCGCGCAAGCATGTGCTCCAATGGCACATTCCCATTATCGATGCAGCCAACAAGTCCGGTTCCATGGAATTCAGCTGCAACGCCTCCATTCCGGGCGACTTCTTCCCCTTGCAAGTGTCATTCGTCTCGAAAACGCCGTACGCCGGCATCAGCGCCCAGGATGTGGTCCAGGTGGATAGCGAGGCGGCGGTCAAGTATTCGAGCGAGTCGATACTATTCGTGGAGAAGTACGAAATCGTGTAGGCCACCGCCGCCGGCCTCGCCCACCTAGTAGTACATAATTATCATATTATCTAGAAATTCAATAATTTCCCCCGAGGGCACTTCAATTTTCGATGCGGATGATATGTTTATACTGCTGCAGCATGTTAAAGATTATTTTTACGAAAGATATGCGTTCATTTGTGTCGAGGAAAAGCTTCTCAGCTCACAGCGAGGAATTCCAAACAAGAGAAATCTTCAAAAACCATGTAACTAAACTAATTTTGTGCACTCCAAGCGCTGCGTATAACGGTATACTTATATAATAAATGAAAGGCAATTAGTTCTAGTTGGCGATTGTAAATTGTTCTGTTTCCCTCTCGATTGGAGTATTTTTTATGTGAAATGCTATGAATAAACAATACACATACACATATAATTACGGAAATCAAAAAGAAATGGTGTTCTTATCTATATTATGATTCGTATTTCAATTATACGGAATGTTGGTGATGTAGATTGCTATAAAAAAATACATTTATTTTATTTAGTTCTTAAATTTAAATGTTTGAGAAGTGCTCTATAAATTAATGAAAGTTCAAAGTTTAAAATCTTGTTGGATAAAAGTTCATCCACAAAGAACCTTGTGCGCTATTTGGTATTTCCAAGCTTGGGTCGTCTGGTCACACTGGACCCCCATTGTTTTGGTTCTTGCTTTGTTTTTTTTTGCAAAATTTCTAGTGAATTTATAAACCTCGCCCATGGAGAGCCAACTGGAGAAGGTCCTGGAAGAGATGTAAGCCTGCCGAGTAGTTCAGTCAGTGCACACAAGCTAAAAGTCCTTTATTTGCAGCGCCGCGAGGCAGGATACTGTGGGAGCTCTACTTGCGAACCGTCAAGGACTGTGTTTGGGCGGTAAGTCTCCTTTCCAACCCATTACTCACCTGCCAGCTTCATAAAATGTATCCTGCAGCCAAGGGGGACATCAACCCGAGTGTCTCCGGCATCGGCATGGCCATATCCGAGCAGGTGGCCAAGCTGGAGCCCAACAGTACGGTCCCGGCCACCATCTGCCTCTACAGTGGCAACAAGTAGGTATCCGAAGCAAAGATGCGATCCATCCGCTAACCTCCATCTCTCTGCAGGCGCTGTGTCATCCAGAAGGACGGAGAAATTACGGGCGTGATCTTCAAGCAGCAGGCGGCTGCACAGGCAGGATCCGCAGCCAACTAACAGGAGCTGCGGCCACGCAGTGCAACTCTCAGGCCAAAAGAAAGCACGTCAGGTAGAGAAGCAACCAACATGGATACAGATATCTTCCACTATTCGATTCCCGCTCGCATTAGATGGCCAGCGCCTGTTACGTTTGCCCCCCTCGTTCCATAATCATTGTTTTTTTTTGTCTACGACCGCCTAGCATTAGCATATTGTAGCGCATTAGGCATTAAGCACCGATTGCCGTGGGCCACCAAGCCAGCTTACTGCGTGTACATCTCTACACATAGACTTTGTACTATTTAAGCCCCCCAAGAAAGTGATCAAACAGCATATATGTACTGTATGTATACACCACAATTATAGCGATAAAGCAAAGCACTCGTCGGTGAACTTGGGTATTTTTTTTTTCCAACAACTGGTAGCCGTAATTACTCAATAATAACGGTTCGTGCTGCATTTTCTTGCACTTTCCGGGTTTGCAATTGGGATTGGGATTTTGGATTGGGGCTGTAGCTGGGGCTGGGTCTGGGTCTGAGCTCGTCTTGTGGGCTGGGTGTGTGTATTGCGCACTCGGGCGGAGCTTCGAGGAAATGCTGCCTGTAGCTATCACTACCACAGCCGCCCACGTCATGTAAGAAGTGATACGAGCGTGGCATGCAGCATGCAAGCAGTCAGCAGCAGCAGGGGGCAAGCGGAGCAGCTGCAGCAGACAAATTGCCGCGCATACCGGAGCCCACGAGCCGACGAAGTAAGAGCCTTGTAACACAGTGAAGACCCAGTAAGATCGCTTCATTTTTTTCTATTTTATATTATTTTTTAGTTTAATTTGAGTATCTTTTGAATGAAGTTGGACTGTGTTTCGAAAGTAGTATGACTGCACACATAATTTTTGACACGAATGGCGCCCAAAAAATCGTCTCCTGCCTGCAAGGCACCTGGAGGAGCCTGCTCCAAACAGGAATGCGGTGATGCAACGACACAGTGTGTATAATAGAATGGATATACCCATCTGCTGGGTGAGCCCACCAGCGAGTGCGTGGCGGCGCTTTGTGTGTACCTGTTGCAAACAGCCTTGAACTTTCACCAGGGGCAATGCTGCCCACGTGGGTCGTCTAGGCCTCTGAGTCTGCCTCCACCTTCACCTCCACCAGCACGTCTCCCCATCTGCGATACTGTGGGTGTCGAAAAGCTGCGGCTGTGCAAGGTAAATAGCAGAGAGACAACAAAGTTGATAAAACACGAAATTGGCAGCCAAGGTGCGTTTGTTTAGCCGCCGCCGCCGCCGCCGCCGCCGCGAAGCCTTCAACTTGAATTAAGCGTTCACTCCATGAGCCCATCCATCCATCCATCCATCTATCTGCTACTTGGGTCAGCGGCTGATTCGCCGGGGAAGGGTTCCCTGTTCGGCCCAAAAAAAGAGAAAAACAGGTTATTCACTCTCGCTTTCAAAGAATTGGAACGTTTATGTTCGAAAAACCGGCTGCCTTTCCCCGGTACATGGAGTCCAGCGAAAGTGCCAAAGATGCCAGTGCTAAAGATGCCAAGATGATTCATGATGCACTGGCATAGAAATCCCAAACGGAGCTGTATTTTTTGAATAGCTGCAACCGCACCGACCAGATCTGTTGGACAGCTGGCGGGCCATTGCGACCACAAGTGTGACCCACAAAAATGTGTTAATAAGACTGGAATTGGCCAGAGTTATGTATCATATTGGTAGAGTTTCGAAGCTCCAAGATCCACCTTATCCTTTTAGTTATTCATGTTTTAATTGGATTTTAAGCTGTGGGGCGTTTTAAATTAAAATCTAGCCAGCTTTTAATCGGGGGACTATAATCATCACCCGGTTTCTTGATTAGTACGAGGGGGGGGCATTTACATATGTATACCCAGTGGAGCATGACAAACGTCTGAATCGAATTAAACGTTGCCCACATTAATCGTAATTGCGATTGGATCGATTCCACGCTCAATTGCAATTCGATTAGCGAACAATTGGCTGCACTTCGGGGGGGTTGCTGGTGGGTTCATCCAACCCACCCACCCCGGTTGCAATCCGTTACTCCCAAGACCAGTAACCATATGGAGGCGCCCATCACCATCATCATCATCATCTCTGGCACTCATAAGGCTCCGTTTTTGGGGTAATTATGTCATGGGGAGCCGAGTTCCCGAGTTCGGTCGTGCCAACTATCACGTCATCAGCTAGCCGCGTACTATATGCGTAGATATACACTTGTGGGATATTAGATATGGGCTGCAAAATGACGACATTTGCTCTTGGAATAATATATGAGGCTTTTTGTTTACACTGCTGTTTCCACGCGTGGAAAGAAATCCAAATACCAGCTCTTTCGCCAGGTCCTAATGTTTGCATTTCTATCGGAGACACTATCAGAGCATTATCTCCAGAATCGGGGCCATTAATCATGTTGAGTTGCCAAAGCAGAAATCCTTTCGAAGGATTCCTACCACAAATATTTGTGATATAGGCCTAGGCATAGGCATAGGCCTTCTATTTATAGATCCATCGCTTGGCGAATACTACTGCCAAATCGGCAACAAGTGGGTGACGCCGAATCGCATAAAAATAAACAAATATACGAGAGTGACGGCGACTTCTTTTGAGAAATGCTGACACCTGTGAATCACCACCAGCGCCAGCGCCAGTTTACGATTTGGGGGAACTCGAATTCGGATTTTTCGCCTTTTTTGGTTAATTTCAAAAGTTATTGGGATTATTACACAAGCTGGGGCTTGCGGCCATGTGGTCCGGCCATAACTTTTATGATTCATGGATGACATCTGTTCGTGTCAGCAGATATTTTTGGATCCTGGCTCCCGGCTTGTTGCACATCTGTTGGGGATATGTCTCTTTACAAAGTTAATTACCGTTACTCTGGGGAGGGGGGAATTTGCATCTGCTAATACTACAATAGCCAGCCCCCAGACCTCAGACCCGAGATCCGATATTATCTTTACTTTTTCCCCATTGTTGCATAATCCGCAGCCCTCTCAGTTCTCGGGGAGATCGAGCATCGCGGATCGTGTCTATTATACAGCTTTTATACGGGGGGTTCGGCCGTATACTAGACCGTTAAAACAATTGATGCGATTTCTCGCACAAATGTGCCAAACACGAGCGTTCAATTTATATTTAGTCGATCGGCCATCCGTCAAATAGTAGTCGGATCAGCCCCAAAAGCATTCCACGCATACACTATGTATCTCTGCCGGTGTGTGCTATAGTATATAGTATGGGATGGCCCGCCCGCCCCATCTTTGTTGCTCTTTTTTGTCACAGATCCAAGGCAAGAAATTAAATCGATTAAAAATCAATCAGTCTGTTGGCACAGCTCTGGGGGGGTAGCCGCCGAATGGGATTAGCAGAATGCGGTGAAACCCTGACATGCCACGCCCCTTGGCGTGGGGGCCTTTGGGCCGAGATTTCGTCATCGGCGAGTGGCAAGGCAGCAGCATCATTAACATGCAGACACCTCTTGAATCACTTTCTACTTTCACTGCTCACTGCGAGTCCACGCACACGCGGAACCAACCAGAGCCACCGAAGAGCGCCAAAGCCCACCAAAGTACCCACACAGCCGCACACCTATGCAGGTGAGGCCTGTTTCGCACTTGAACGCTAAAATGGCATAAAAAACAAAAAAAAGGAGAGGACAGGCCGCAAACAACAACAACAACAACAAATTGACGTCAGCGGGGAAAGATAACCTTTGCTTGGCAATCAGATGCTCTCTGTTAACTAACAGCTGTTACTATAGCCTATAGCCCGATCCCCCAGCATCCCGATGTAAGCGGGATCCAAAAATATATACAATTGCTGCGACGCAGATGTCGTTTGCTAATTACTTAGTTGGTCAAACACCCCAAGTACTTTGCTTTCGGTATACCCTTGAAGAGGGTAACCCTTGCCTTGGGGTGTACCTGTACCAAAATATACTTATCGCTGTAATATACCTGTGGGGATCCTGAAAAATACTAAATAAATAAACAGTGTGGCAGCACCTGCTCTCCCCACACTTTCTCTCACCGATCTTTCGCTCGCTCCCATCCTGGGGCTCTCTCACAGCTTCCGGGTGTCGTCCTTGCCACCTTTTTCGTTTTCCCGTTTCTCAAAGTCACGATTAAGATTTGTGTTTAATATTCTCCTTTTTTGACGTTAATTAAGCTTAAAAATGTAATAAATACCTGTAACTGTTAAGCTTTGATTGTTTTGTTTAATTAGTGGGATTCCAAATGCATGTACTAACTAATTAAATGGGATTTAAAGTGTATTTGAGCTTCGAATTCGCCGTCAAGTTAGCATTGCTGGCTTGTTGGTTCTCCAATTACTTCTTAGCCCTCAGCTGATCACACATACCCAGCCCCATGTGCGGTGATGCTTCCGCAAGCTGGCAAGACAGCTGCTGGCCGCTAATGCAGATGAAGTACAGTGGGCACTACCTAGGCCACTCTCGTAAAAAAATATATTACTTCCGGGTTACTGAAACCTATTTAGACTTGTTTCGCTTAAGGGGGGCTAGGGGGCTTGAACAGAATATTAAATAATCAAAATGTATCATTATAATTATTACAGTGAAAAAAAGTAAGTAATCATAAGTAATTTCATCTGAAAAGAATGTAGGAATCTCCTGAAAAAATATCAATCATCCGCCTAGTTGTCACTGTTTATTATTTTTAATGGAATTTATTATATTTCATATACAAACCACGCAGTTTTCGAGTTTTTTTCGAGTGTTGATAAATTCCAAGAGTTCTGGGAGGGTTTTTTCCCCAAAAACATTAATCATCCGCCCAGTGGGCACTTATCACCAAAGTCCGATTGCTCATACGCCCTGTGGTACATCCGATGCAGCGACCTCGCGCTGCAGGGCCAACCCCAGTCGGGTGAAACACATGCGGCATGATCTTGATCGCCGCCGCACTAAGGTAACACGGTCTGTAAGCAGTAAACAGTGAAAACCCAGCGTGTTTGGCCAAGGTAAATAAATTCATCTAAATTAAGAGCCGCCAGTGCCGAGGCAGCTTTAGGGTTTTGTTTTATCGAATACCGAAAAAACCAAAGAAACCAAAAAATTCCCACTCACTCCGAGATCTGGGGAGGCAGTTGCGGTCTATGACGTCGTCTCTGGGGGGGTCAACGTTCCGCCCGCGTCACGCTTCCATATTTCTCAGTTTCAGTCTCAGTATCAGTCTCTCGGGGCGATCGAAAGACCTATACTATATAAATTAATCAGCCGTCATGTGGCACTCCGCGACCGCACCCCATGGGCCTTCAAAACGGCAACTATTTATCACAAATCCCACTCCCGCCCAAATACCATGATAAAGCCCCGATTTCAATAAGAACAGCATGTCTTGAGGTGATATTTAATTTTTGAAACAAATCATTGTTCTTTTATTTCATCGTTGCGAATCGAATTTGCGCTTCTGCTTTTCTTGCAGTGTGTGCAGTAGTACAGTGCTACCTCGGTAGTGTGTGCTCAACTTATGCTGCTAGGAACATCGATTGTCGAATGAAGTATCCACGTCGAGTTACACTTACAACTATATAAGACAACTAGAAGGGTCTGTCTGTCTGTCTGATAAACCTTAGAACTTAGGCCTACGATGATGGGAGGAGAGTTCAATGTGAAAAATTGTACACTTGAAGAAATTTTCAATGAACTGTTCGTGTATGGATCGTGTTCTTGTGAATCTTGTCAAATAAATAATCAAAAAACAAAGAAGAAATATAATTTGCATTTTTTTGCAAAGTGTATAAAAGTAGTCAAAGTTGAACTTTCTGCTTACTTTCGTTAATTTTTCTCTTATATAATTCTAATAGTACATGAGATGGTTGGTAAACAAAAAAAAAAAAAAATTATAATAATAATAATAATAATAAAAACATATGTGGCTAAAAAATAGGGTGCGGGCTAGAACCTAAGCTTAAATGGAGTGATTTCGTTTTGGTCAAGAATAAGGTTAATTTTGGACTTGGACTTCCATACTGGACTTCTATTAAAAAAAAAAAATAGCTGATCATGTATGCATGTGTATATATTTTTTGTATTTTGTTTCTATATTTTTTGTATTTTGAATTTCTGGTTCGTGTAAAATATGTGAGAAAGTGAAAAAAAACATCACAGCTAAACTTCAGTACATTTTCTCGTGGTTCGAAAATAAAAAAAAAATCAATATGCGTATATACATATGTAGATTAATAATTAATTCTTTTTTTTTTTGTTTTTTTTTTTTTTTTAGTTTTTCTTCTATAAATATACGCTTACAAAATATTCCCTATGTATCGCATATATAAATATATCTTCATTTTCATTTTTTTTTGCGCGCGTTTCCGGTCCTGTTCCGGTCTTGGCCGGAACCAGAGACCAGAGGCTCTTTGAATTTTCTTTGTCATTTGAATTTTGTGGTTACCGGCCGGGGGGAGGGGGACTTGGGCAACCAAATGATGGGCGGCCCTGGGAGGCCCGAGCCATCCACCATTTTATGGCCGACTTCCCCCTCGCCGGCACAGCTGAGATTTGTTTTCTTTTCTTGTTATCCTTTGCTTTTCCTTAGAATACGAACTAGGCGAACGACTAACTTATCAACTAGAAGTACTTGCTGGCCCCCTTTTCCCCCCTGCTACCGGCTCAATCGTCCCAACTCCATGTGGGATCCAGGAGCTCACGGTTGATCCGCCAGAGCATCAGCTCCATGCAGGCCCGCGAATCCTCGAAGCTGCTGTGGCCCGTGGTGCCGTCCCCGCTCTGGATCTCCCGCTTCAGGTGGACCTTGGTGAGGTGGCGCAGGGCCCGTCGGTAGGGGAAGCCGCTGCAGTGGGGGAAACTGATCGAGGTGTCGATCAGGGTGTTGTGCACGATCCGGAGGGCGCGCAGGTCATTGTCCAGTCCGTGGCCAATGAGTATGGTGTCCGCCGAGATCAGCTCCAGCAGGTCGCGCTGCACGTCGGCCAGGGACTTGGCACCGCCTCCGGTGCGCAGGTCGCGCTCCGTGATGCCCGAGTACCGGGTGTTGTAGTCGATGATGTCGCACTCCGGCCGGACAAAGTGCTCGTACACCAGCTGCCCGTTGAGGGCCACCAGCGACACCTTGGTCACGTCGAGGCCACGCCCCGTGTAGCTCATTTCGCAGTCGAGGGCGTAGACGGCCGGCAGGTGATCGTCCTGGGCCATCCGGCGGCGAGGCTGGGTGCGGACGAAGTCGTGGTAGGGCCCGTTAACGCCCACCACCGATCCTGTCCAGACATGGCGCTCGCTGTGGCAGCAGCCGGGCGAGGACTCGTCCGTCGCGTGGCAGCAGCTCCAGCGGCCCATGCAGACGCCGTCGAAGTAGCGCTGGAACTTGCCCGAGTGGTAGTGGCACTCCTCGCAGGTCAGGTACTCGCCGGTCAGCTCGTCCACCAGGAAGTGGCGCTTGCAGCGGGCGCAGGGCTTGGCCAGGCTGCGCTCCACCTGCACGTACTGGCAGTACTTCAGCTCCAGGTTGAGATCGCCGGCATCCGAGCCGGAGGAGCAGGCCGAGGAGGAGGAGGCCGAAGCGCCCGAGGAGGAGGAGCTGCTCTCGCATTCGCTGCCGCTCCACTCGCCGCCCGACTCCGAGTCAAGGGACCGGGGCGAGCTGTTGCCCGAGTCGCTCGATGTGGCCGAGCCGCCCTCCTCGCCCCCGATCTCCGCCAGGCCGTCGTGGCAGTTGATCACCGTCACGGCCGGAGCCGTCTCCGCCAGGGCGGCGGCGAAGCTCATGTGCGGCAGGCACTTGAAGATCTCGATGGCGCCCTCGTGGACGACCGACTCCACCGGAAAGCCGTAGACCCTCAGGAGGTGGTGGTCGATCACGTGGCGCCGCAGCTGCTGCACGAGGGTGCGGTCATCCAGGTCCAGTTGCTCGTACTGGCGCAGCGGGGGCACCAGGAAGTTGGTGTTCCGGCGCCACTCCAGGCCCGGCATCCGCTTGCGGTTCTGGGGCGAGCTGGTGGGCGAACTGGTGGGCGAGCTGAGGGCCGAGGAGGAGGAGCTGCCGCCGGAGCAGGTGATGCCGTTCCGGAGGATGCCGTTCCTGTTGTTGCTGCCGCCGTTGTGCTTGGCCAGACTTCCGGCTCCGCTTCCGCATCCGCCGCTTCCGTTGTTGTGGTTGGGTTTTCCGGGTTTCTTGCCGTTCGCTCCCCGCTTCCCGCCCGCCAGCTGCTGCTGCGGATTGTTGCCATTTTGGATCGGTGGAGCCGTAGCGGTCTGGTGGCGCCACTTGCCAGCCGGGTTGCCTTGCTTGGGCTTGCTCTGGGACGTCATCTTGCCAGGGTTCTGCTGCTGGTCCGGATTCTGCTGCTGGAGCTGCTGCTGCTGCATCTTCTGCTTCTGCTGGCGCTTTGGACGTGCCTTGCCCCCAATGGCAGAGGCAGGGACGGCGGCTGACAACAAGGGGGTACCTGCAACATGACCGCCGGTTATTTGGTTGCCCTTCGGCTTGTTCAGATGCTCTCTACTGGAGTCGATGTCCTCGCTGGTCGTCTCGCTGCTGGTGCTGTTGCGGTGGCCCGGATTGTGCTGGCCCAGGAACTTGTCTGCAAGAGAAGAGAACAGAAGAAGAGTGGGGTCAGTGGGGTTGCGATCTACAATGTGACATGTGACTCCAGGTTGGGCCGGGTCGGGCTATTAGCTCATACGTTTTCCGATTCGTTTCGTAAGCCCGCCAAGCCATAATAATATATTCAGCTAAAAATTTAGCCAATGCAAATTGGCGGTGATAACAAGCCACACACGCTACGGGAAATATAATACACCACACACACTGGCACACCACACACTAGCACACACTAGCACACCTCACACACCAGCTTGCCAGCAGTACGCATACCAGCACACACGCTTATCAAGCAGCGCCACGTGCTTTTGCTTTGCTTTGCTTGGCGGAGTCGCCCTGTTTCTACGAGCGTTCTTCCCTCTCCCTCTGGCCGGCCACCTTTCCGCCCAGCCAGCCCGCGTGCTCAAATCCCCCCCCCCTTTTCAGTGTGTGGGGGTGTGTGTGAGTGTGCGATTTGATTTTGGGGAAGGTTACGCATGTCCGCAAGCTGACGCATGTGGGGCGGGGGCCTCTACCGCTTTGGAAACCTTTTTTTTTGCCAATTCTAGGGGAGGTGGATGGAGGTGGGGGCCTGACGCACTACAATTATACACTTTTATTGTGACAACTGCCATTATATTCTGGCTATTAAGCGCTTTATGCTGGCGAGCGAGCAGCTTCCGCGTTGGGCTCATCATTTTCCCCACTCCCAGCGTTCTCCAGCGCGCTTCTACACAAGGAGAAATCTTCAGTCTCAATAGATAGACAAGACTACTACTCTTCCAGCTAGTTTCTCTCCGTGTAGAGATCAGATTAACGAAAATAACTAGCAGGGGGGGTGTGTTGCTAAGCGACGACGAGAACCCCCAACCGGCCCACGGATCTGGTTTCTGGCCAGTGCTTTGTTTCTGCACGGCTCTCGGATGCGGACTATTGATTTATTGGCAAGGAAAGTGAAAAGGGGAAGCCCCCATATGCCCACCGATCATCTCTCCCGCCGACTGCCATCCGTCAGAGCCGTCAAGATCTCGTGACGTCTCTAACGACCCCCATAAAGCTCTCTTATCTGGCACTCGCCTCCCGAAGCTTCCTGTACAGTCATCCGAATCGCTTCCTGGTGGTGGAAAGCACTTCCTCAACACCCATATGGTTTTCGGGGGAAGACTCCAAACTCAAGCCAGAGATCCGCGACTCAAAAAATTGAATTTCAAAGCGCGCATAGATAAATCATATGGCGAGGTGGCGATGTGGCTAGGTGGTGGGTTTGTTGACTTGCCAACTCGAAGGACGCCCCGCGACGTGACCTGGGCGCCCAAGCGAGATCTCCGGATCACATGGCTGGAGAAATGATATCAGCTGTTTACATATGTACTGGCCAAGTCATCCAATACGGGCTGGCGGAGCATAAGTATGATCATCACGTATCGCCGGATCGCTGGATCGGTGGATCGCCGGATCGGGTGCCTAGTCCGGCGATTAGATAAGGCGTGGCAGTATTTTTTTTATTTTTTATTTAGCTTATTTATTGTTTATTTTCTCGCCTCGGACATCTAGCCATCTGGACATCGAGCCGGCCAGGCCAAGCAATTAGTCGTCGAGCTCTCGGAAGCCACCACCTTTCGGCGGATTTTACGAGTGCCCTAAAATTTGAAAATTCGACTTTATCAGCGACCGACGCACGCGCCAATCTCCCAAACAGCCTTGGAAGAACGAGATTGGGATTGGGAGGTAAACAGAGACCGCTTCCAGCCCAGAAGATCTGCACGAAAGAAACCTTAACCTTTGGGAGGAGTTGGGAGGTATGACCATCCAGATACCGTCCAGGCCGCGATTAGATAGTTTGGTTAAACAAGTGAGACTAACGTGTCAGGGGCTTAAGTGATAATCTGGAGTGCTCGGGCCACTAAATTGTAAAGCAAGGTACTCGTGATTTATGGCTAGTGGTGCTAGTGGTGCTAGTGGTGGTGCTTCTAGTACACAACTTGATTTAAATTAGCAATTTGGGTGGATGGAGGCATTACATGCGAGTGCCGGAAAGCGAAAAACACGCAACAAAGTGGACTTTCATCACGTCGTGAAATATAGTACTATAGCATTATAGCATTATAGTCATATAGTCTTGGAGTAAACTGTCGCTCTCTGATTTAGTGGACATGTGCCTCCGTCTAGAGTCAAGAGTCTAGACTCCCGAATCGAAGGCATCCAATGGCTATTTTCGGTTACTGGGCAGTGATAAGATGTGGCCCGATCTGGGCCCAATTCCCAGTTACCTACGGCAACAGAGACCCTCGAGGCACTTTGAGTGCTCGTGACTGTCTTCGTACCTGGTCGCCCCAACTCTACATAGATTATATTCAATATTCGATCGAAATAGTCTAATCAGCTCCGGGGGCTACATGGAAACAAATCACAGCCGGAGAGAGAGATAGACCCCCTCCCTCATCTGGGGGGGTGGGGGTAGCAGTATGGAGAACAGTATTACACACCAGTTTAGGTGCGAAAGCGACGATATTTAATTAGTTATCGCCGGCAGCAGGCAGCAGGCAGCAGGCAGCCAGCTGTCAAGATAAGTCCATAAATATGCATTAGGGTATCACTATCGGCTCCAACCCATAATGAATCCATGACGCAATCGGTGTTATAATTCCCGCCGGGCCAGCGTCATGGGTTGACCCACAAAGGCAAACCTGAGGATTGGACTTCGGATCGGAGCATCCAGCATCATCTCAGGTACTTTGGATAATTTATTTGAGCGGCGACCTTGAGTGGGGGCTCGATGCGTCGCTTCCTGTGCCAAGCCACCGGCCACCGCGTCTCGCAATTGGTCTTTTGAATTTTTAATGAGCCCCGAAACCTGGCTCTCTAGCTTTAGCTCTAGCTCTGGCACTGGAATAACGATAATATACACTCGTAAACATCATCGCCATAGTTAATACAACACGCTCACGTATGTCACAACATCCCGTCAGGCCCCCGCGATACTCCGACCGGCCATAAGCACGATCCATACAGTCCATACAGTTTGCTTTTAATGTAAACTAATATGAGTTTTATTAATCGAGCAGATGTGTGTATAAGGCTATGCGAAATGTGGCCATTGAGGTCACAGTGCCTCTGGCCTGGACTGTCGGACTCGAAGCTCGTTTCAGCCCATTTTGGAAGAGCTGAAAGCTAAGCCCGAGGCTCCGAGGTACCAAGTCCGTGTTATATGGCCAGCGGGCTATGTGGAATGCCAACCAACATGTTGGCACGCTATCCCCATCCCCACCATCCATTGTTGTAATCAAATTATTAGATTATGGGCCTGGGAACTGTGTGGGTTGATTGGTAATCTTTATATCTTTAGTGCTTATTAAAAATAAGCGGCAGATAAAAGTTCTAAGAATAACAATATGGTCCTGTTGTTCTGCTCTCTCTCTAGAGCATTATGGAAGTATTAGATTGGATTTTCAATAGAATTGGGACCCAGCATAGCTGTTCTAGGAACCTCCTCCTAAACGCTGAGCATTCTCTAGAAGTTGAGTTCTAGGAAAGGGGACTCTTTCAATAAAAAACTCTCAACCTTTGGCATGAATTGCAAAGCTTTTCTACCTTTCTTCCACTAAGAAGCTCTGAGACTCTGTCCGAGACTTGGGCTTGGGTAAATGGCCTGAGCTAAATGGCCAACAGGTTGACCTTGGCTGATGCCGACGGGTCAGGGAGGGGACGGGCCCAAAGAAAGATGATGAAGATCTGCTGAAGAGAGTCAGTGGGGCATGTGGCTCCGTTAGAGGCGCCTCTGACAATGGCATGCGGGTAATGAGATCAAGTTGGCTCGGATTGCATCTGGCCTACAGCGGCCAGGGGGCTAAATGGCGGAGAAAGGGGGCTCTGTACCGTACATAGCCTTAATCCGATCCGTTTGAGAGTTGGAGCGGGCCAGTGGGGCGTGAAAAATGCGTCTGCCAAGCTCAACCACAAATGGTGGCTGGTGGAAGCCATTCCTTTTTGGCCAAAACAATTATCTAACGAGTGTGTGTGGCTTAATAAAATGTCTTAATAGAGTCGTGGCATAACGCCTTAATTGCCAGCAACGCGAGGGATGTGCTGTGAAGCGTTAGACATCCATACCCGGTACTTCAAGCTATCCAAGTACCATAAACCTGATCGGTTCGACCTTCTCCAAGTGCTCTAATGACCCAAACGGATGGCGCAAAAGCTCCACATAATATTAAAAAACAAAAAGCTATGCTCAGTTAACGCCGCTGTGCAAATTTCACGATCTGAGCGTTCTGGCCAAGTGCTAATCAATGACAGTGCCGATCGACGTTATGTAACTAGAGTAGTATGTATGTTTATGCCATGTAGTGGGGCAGTACATATGTACTATGATTATCAGTTCAGGTCTCTCAGTATTTGACCAAAAAACGAATCCCCACCATTACCCCCACCCTATCATCAATCGATTCGATCGTCGACTGATACAGAGGTACAAACAGTACAGAGTCAATAAAGAGTCAACACACACACACCTGATACGTCAATTATGGAAAACAAAGCACCAGCACATCAGCAAAAATAAAAATAAAAAAAATTGTAAAAAAGTCGTCTTCGCCAGGTGCCTGAGAAAATGAACAAATCTGAGCGCTAATCAGCCGGCTCGGCACCTCTATTGCGTCTCAGCTTTCCCAGTATTCCCATTCCCCAGTACCGATTACGTCTCCACATTATGTAGTAGTGGATGGCGCTGGGGCTACAACAACAGATTAGTTTCGGGGCGGTTCTGGAAAGTTTTCACAACCCAAAAAAAAAGATTCCAAAATTCCAGGAAAATTCCCACTGGAAATTGATGCACTTCTGTCTGGTTTTATGGCTTTTGTTAATTCATTTTTAACGACTGACCCCTGCCCAGGGCCTCTTGTTTGTTTATTTAATTTCTAGTCTTTTGATTTTGAATTAATTTTGGGAAGCGAACAAAAGCGAAAGCTATCGCTTTATAGCTCTCATCCGGATAGTTTTGATACCCAGACACTCTCTCAATGGCCTTAAGCGAAGACTTCCTGCAATCTTCTTATTGAAGCACAATGGCCCCTAATAGTATATATGTATATAGCAGATATATGCAGGTACTATAGTTTAGGGTACCCTTGTTCGGATATCTGAAAGTTAATTGAAATGTTGGCCCCCCCTTGAAGATAGACTAAAGCTGATAAGAGCCACCCATAACTGATACCGAAATAGACCCCTCCAGGCAGAGGAGTGGACTGACTACTCACTGGGTTTTATATAATCGCAGGTAGAGGCGAGGCGTAGTATGGAAAGTTTCTGGGCGGGAGGGTGCGTCTCTCAAAAATCCCAATCACTGCAAATATTTACCCTGGCCAGTATTTATAGATACTGCACATACTGACCACCACCTACTGACCCACACCCTCGGACCAGACTCTGTACTTTTCCCCCCTCCTACTCGGCTCTTGTTTTAATTTCCATTCTAGGCTATGGGGCTATAGTGGTTCGATGACGTCGAATTAATAAACGACCGGGTGTGTGATTCACCTCAGATGTCGGCCGATTTGCTTGGAATTTCGATGAAAACAACGCCAGCAAGTGAATCAGCGTCTGGCTTTGCTCATCGCTGGCCAAAAAAAACAGGAACTCTCGAGTAGGACCTGCCCTAATGGTTGAGTTCCGAGGAACTTCTAGCTGATGGTCCTCCTCTATGAATAGTTACCGATAGCGCCCTTTCCCCATAAACTAATCTCGGGAGGAATGTCTTGGAATGAAGTGATTCATGGTTCTGGCTACAAAAATAAACCATTCGGATTCGGATTCCGATTTCTTAATCACTTTTTAATTGTTTCCATCCCCACTAGAGTACTAGAGTACTACAATACTACAATTCTACAATACTTGTTCTTCTGAGAAGTAAAAATAAACAAGAAAAGACTGCTTGGAAGACTCACCTTCGATGAATGAAGACTTGACGAGGCGGTGGCCATAGCGCTGCTCCAGCCAGGTGGCGGCCGGTGGCGAGGGCGAGGACTCACTTCCGGTGGCCCCCGAGGTGCGCTTCCGCATGTTCAGGTTTCCGTACTGCTCCTGTCGCGGCTGTTGCTGCTGCTGCTGTTGCTTGTTGTTGTAGCGGCTCTTGCGTGTGGCATGCTTATTGCCAGCACTGTTGTGCTGCATGGTGGCACCCACCGTCGATGTTGCAGTATGTGGCTGGTAGGCCATCATGCCGGCTGCTGCTAGGTTGCCGGTATACTTCTGAGGGCTGCGTTTGTTGCCAGTGGTGGTGTTGGTGGTATTGCCGCCGTTCTGGTTGCAACGCTGCATCTTGTCATCTGCAATAAAGGATTAGGATGGTTAGTCAAGAGACTCACTCTAAAAAGAGACCTTATGCCACACGGTGCTTACAAATCTTGAGCAGATGCAGCTGAAGGAAATCTTCGAGAAAGAATTGCATTGCTCCGCTGCAGACATAAACGCGTTCGAATTAGAAAAAGGGGGGCCCAAAATAAGGGGGTGATCTCGTGTATGTGGTCTGTGGTGTTCTGTGGGGTGTTGTGCCGAGAGGACCGCCTGCACTTGCAGCTGAAAGCCAACTAATGGCGCAATTAGCGGCCCCTCGCGATATAAACAAAGCCCGGGCCAAGAAACCGCTGATGACATGTATCAGCCGAGCGCATGAAAAACCCCGCCGATCCAAACTCGGTGACGACAGAGTGAGTCACCCCCCTTGATAAGTGGGGGAATAGCCGTCACTCACTCTCTCTCTGTCGGGTGGCTCTCTGTTGGACTAGAGACCTAGGCCAAGTTGCGGCTGAGTGCAGGCTGAGACCACGTGCCACCTGGTGGCAAACAAGCTTCCTACTTAGATACCCAGTATCTCTAACTCAATAGTATCGCTGGTATCTCTAGTATCTAGTAGTATCAGTTAATATCTGTAGTATCTTTGAGTATCTGTATCTGTATCTGAGTATCTGTAGGTGTGTGATTGCTTTTCGTATCTAAAAAACAAACTTAGCCGTCCTTCCGAACTTTGCTCCGCGGTGCTGGTGGAAGCGCTTCATCATAATCCCGTCAGCCTCTGGGCCAGATACGATTGGATGGTTAGATTGGTTAGTTGGTTTAGTTAGTTAGTTAGTTGGTAGTTAGTGGGCTGCACTAAAGACAAAACGAAGCGAAACAAACGGCAGAAATTTTGATATTTTGAGCAAATGTTTTGTTTGTTTTGAAAGTGTCTTGAACTGTTCCGATAACATGTTGATAATACTCCCCAAGCAACTGGGCCAACTGACATGTCCGGCCCCTGACAGTTGGAGCCGAGTGCCCAGTGCCGAAAGGGTCATGTGATCCCATAATCAGTTCACTTTCTCTGGGGCTCCCCATCTTGTGGCCCGGTTTATGGCTCAGGTGCGGGCCAAAACAAAAAACAATCTTTAAGATACAAGTAGTTGGGGAACCGAGACAACGGCAAGAAGACTGCCGCGAAAAACAGGTACCAGTTCGTGCCTAGCGCCGCTCCATGTGCGTACCCCTCCCCCACCCCCCTGCCGCTGGACTATACACCGAGAGAAATTCCAACCAATTATGTCACTCCACTAATGAGCCAGACTAGTTTTTCTTGGGGAGACTTCTGTGGACTTCTGGCAGTGCACCCCCTTTGGCGGCTTACCGCCACGGCCACACCCCCCCTTTTGGGGCGTGTGATTTATGGAGGCGTCGCGCTGAATGGCGATGAGTCGGATGCGGTATTCAAATGAGGATCGAACTCCGATTCGCATTCGCACTTGGATTCGGATTCGGATTCGGGTTGGATATTGCGTAGTGCCGGAGAACCAGTTTCGTGTGGGCGGCGGGACACGTGTTTCGGTGCAGGCCTCTCCCTTCCACCACCGATGCCACCAGTCTAGACCTCTCGCGGTGGCTGGCCGCTCTGCCAAAACGGAAATGCAGCGGGCGCGTGTTTCTATTTTTGCGGCAACTGCCTCATCGCTTCATCGCCCCATCGGCCCAGTGTGCGATTCATTCATTCGCGGCTGGCAACAACAGCAACCCAGAGCGTCAGAGCGCCAGAGTTGAATGAATTCCACGCCGTTCCCGGCCAGCGGAGACCGAGAAGGGGCCGGTGAAGGCACCATCTGCGGCCATATATGTATGAGTGAGTGAGTATATAGGGACCGAGATGTGTGTGTGTATCTGTGAGCCCCACTGATGCGGATCATTAGGGAAGAAGACCGAACAATGGGGGAAACTTTGAAAGAAACTCCCAGCCAAGATCGCCAAACTGGCTGTACTCTTTGGTCTGCGGGGCCGGAAAGCAATTATGTATGTCTGAGCTTCTGTTTCGGAGGGAGGGGCGGGGAGGAAGCAAAGGGAGACCCTGCTTGGCATTCCACTACCAGAGCTGGCATGGCAACAGAGAAAAGCTGCGCATGCGTATGTGCCTCAGATACAGATACTTTCAGAGGGAGACAGTTGCGTATCCGAGAGATACACACAACCTGAGAAGCCGTTTGGGCTTTCGCACTGAAATCTGAAAGTTTTCCCAAATCCAAAGCTCGAGTGGAAATTTTCCCTCCAGTTGGAGACCCAAACAAGTTTCCATTAATGGGTTTAATGGCTCCGCTGGGGTTGCGACTAGCGGGTCGGGTCTAACCCCCTTGGGGTTGTGGGGTTTCAGGCTACACGTGCGTGGTACGGAGTTACGATTCTTGGCCAGGGACTTGTAATAACCGATCGGCGAGTGGCGACCGGAAATGTTAATGCGGCCTTAATGTGTCGTATAATTGCGGCCGAGCCGGGCCGGGCCGTAAAGTGAATAGAAATCCAAATCCACAGAAAATGAAGTGATTTGCATTCAATTACGTGCCCACGCGCGCTCATCTATCTAGAACTCTTGCCGAATGGCAACAATTCGTATTCGTCGGGTTAGATCGATGTAAGGCCTTGGGACGTGCCTTCTGGGAAGCTTCCTGCGGGAACAAACGCTTATCTCTAGAGTGGTATGATGACCCCTTTGGGGATAGCCCCTATGCCTCCCCTCTGGGGAGTCGATAAACCAATCACTTCCTATGACGACATTGGCCACATGGCGCCTCAACAGTATCGGATCGAGAGAGTACTGCCTGATATGGTGGCCAGCTAATCAATTTCCGCCAGCCGAGGCCCAGTGATGGTTAGAATTCCTCCGAAAATGCTTGCCACATCACTCGGCAATTGTTATTAATTGCGAACATTATGGAATTCGATGTTTACTCGACCGCCCCCGGTTCGAGTCCAAACAAATCAACGCCAGTATTCCTCCCTAAACAAATACTATATAAATATTTCTTAGGGGGGGGGATACATATAGGTCGGGACTGGGTCTTGGCGAAATTAAAATTGGAGGGATGAGTTCGCTTAAGAGTCCGCGTGCTTGCTGTCACGATTCTGCGGTTCTGACACTTTTCTGACACAACTCGTATAGAAGAGGAGGCCTCCTCAGCCTCCTTAGAACCCGCGTATCGTAATAATATTGCGAACCGAAAATCTTGACACTTGTCAAAACAAATCATCTTCATTTATTTCAAGTTTTATTTGTGGTAGGCGTCGCAAGTCCGAAAATAAACGTGCGATTGGATTGGAATACCGATCCAACCGTTGCAGTCTCGAGATCTTATGGGGAGATCTCGTAATTTTTCCAAACCGAGGCAGGTGGAGAAAGTAACGAGGATGACCCATATTCGGGAGCATTCCTCAACATAGTTCATCAACGACCGTGAGAGACGCCAGCCAGCCAGCTAGTCAGGCTATAATATATATATTTTGTTTTGCTTGAAAAATTACTTTTGACAAAATGTTTTCGAATGATTTCTGTGATTTCTGTTTCTGATTTCTGACTTTGTTTTGGTATGTTTTGCATTTTTCTTTTCGAATGAAAAGCAAAACAGCGACTAGTGGTCTTCATTCATACGCGATTCGAAAGCAAATCAGAAAAAAAAAAAAAAATATTTATGGTAATTATTATTATTATCATTATAGTATGTGGGAATAGCTGACGTATGATATATAGTACGGCTACCTCTTAGCTCTTTGGCTCCTTGGGTGTAGTATACATATAGTATTATTATTTAAAAACACGCATATACCATATAGACCATATAGCATATGATGCAGAGCCACCGCAAGTCTCGATGATTTATTGGCTGCCCTGCTCAGAGCCAGAGCCAGCCAAGTAATCAAAGTAATACAAATGGGGGGGCGCAGCACACAGTTTATAAAAATAAACAAACCAGAGCGATCCGAGAGATTCTATCTCGCAAACAGTAAACAATCTTCACCATTCTAGCAGCTAGTCATTCTGGCCATCTAGCCATTCTGGCCATTCTAGCCACATACATAGATGAGCACTCTTTTCCCCACATCTGGCTAGCTGGCAGGCTGGCTGGCTGGCTGGCAGGCAGAACAAGGGCACGACAGCTAGAGAAATGATGGCAAATTTTGATGTTGATGCACGCCGCCAGCTGCAGAGCCAGATCCCCCAACCGGAGGCGCTATCGTTCCCAAAGGATCAGCAGCTGTTCCCCCAAAATTCTCATTCTCCAGCCCCCCTTTCTGAAGATCGCCATGCGGGGAATACTAAAACGCTGCAAGTCTTTTTGGCCAACGAATCCAATGGAGAAAATAACAACCGACTGGCTGGTTGGTTGGTTGGTTGGCTGGTTTTTGGCCCCAAACCTCCATTTGCATGCACGTACTTATTTATTTAATTTTAAATAGAAAGTAACCCCAATTGCACTTGTAAAAAACATAAGTAAATAGCGCCGGCGAGCACATAACAAAAGAGACGGGTAAACATGGTGAGTGTATGTATAGCTCTGGCTCTGGCACTGGCTCTGAGTCTTGGCAGTGAAAGGCCCCCGAGGCCTACAAAACCAAATGGCTCTTTTTCGGCCAAAAAGAGAAAAGAGTGGCAGTACTGGGTATCATAGCAGGGGGATAACTGCTGGGATCTGATAACCCAAACCCACCAAGTGCAGTCTAAGGGCACTAACACCCCGATTCTGAATGGCTTGCAGTTTTTTTTTTGTTTTTGTCACGCTTGTCATCCGAGGCTTGAGGTTGAATGTGCAAATCAACAAGTCGCCGACGAAACAAATCAAGATCCGAATCCGAATCCGAATCCAAATCCGAACCAGAATAAGGGGGAAGCTTGGAGTGCAAAATAGAGATGGTGGCGAGGTAGGAGGCGATGGCCCACACAGCTTATTAGTTTGTAGAGATCTCCTCTCCTCTTCAACGGCGCAACCCACTCGGTGTTCTAAATAAAGATCAACAATTGAATAGACTTTATCTATAAATTGCTCTAGATTCTAGAATCGAGAGACTAGATACACACACACACACACTACCTAGTACCTTCCGCCTGACACTCTTAATCCAATAAGTTAATCAAGGAATCTGGCGAATACTTGGCGGGGGAAATTGGCGAAAGCAGCCTGCTGATCTCGCCTCCCACCCATCCAGTAAATCACCCTTAAGAGTAAAAGCTATAAAGAACAGTCTTCCCCCTTCCCCTCCCCGCTGGCGGTTTCCCAATAAAATTCCGAAAGTGATGGCGATGGCGATGGCGGCCTCTCACCGCCCCACCGATAAATTCATTCATATAGTAGAGGCCCGGGTCGGGGGCGGAATAAATAAGAAAGGCAGGTGCGTAGCCATAATGGATTATGGATTTGATTTAGGAGATGTTTACCCTTTGCCGCTGATCTTTGCCCTTTTGGGAGGTACTCTTGGGGACATCTGCCATCTTCCAGCTCGAAAGGTCGGTCGGAGAAAGCCCCCAGAAGACGTGCCTTAGTGCCGTTTAGAGATCGGCTGGAAAATTGCTCATCAGACCAATTATGACGGATGAGAATTTCATAATTTGCGGCTCAGCGTTTTTGAAATAATGTGTGTGGTGCGGCGTGTTCCGAAAAAAGCACTTTGATTCATATTTTGGATTGTCGCACGTATAGGAGCCGCAAATCAAAAATAAAACTTAAAAAACACATAATATAAAAAATGAAAACCAAACCAGCAACAGCAACAAAAATAAACAGCTAAGCACAAATGGCCAAAGTGAAAACGAAGCTGTTAAATAAGAAGTTCGAGTCGAGTCGAGTCGAAAAATAAAAAAAAAGAAACGAAAACCTTTAAAAAACTTTCGCTTTGGCTTTGGACTTGGCCATCATTGGAGTTGGCCAGAAGACGGAGGAGAAGAGCTAAGAGGTATAACTGGAAATGGAAATGAAAGAGTTCGGGTCTCCCGGGGTCTGATGATGGGGTATCTCCGATATACCTATAGGGGCGACCTTTCTTATGTCACGTCTTCTGAAACGAAAATGCCAATTCGCTGACCTGGCCATCGTCTTTTGGCCTGGCCATTTCACTTTCGGTCTCTTATGCAAATAGGTGTGTGTGTGTGTGTGTTCAAAAGCCAGAAGATTATGTCATGACACCACGACCTATCCAACCCCTGCCCCCAATCCAATGACTCTATTTTCGTTCCGAATCCGAATCCGAATCTGATTCGATTTCGTTTCCACACGTACTCGGCATGCCGTGTTCGTGATTCTTTCGCCAAGATTTCGAATCAGATTCGAATCCGAAAAAAAAGAAACAAACTAAATGCCAGCCAATTAGCATAAGAGTTCAAACAAATTATTCAAATATAGTGGCGGAGGAACAACAAGCCATATCACCGGCCATATCAGTAATCGGAATCATATGACGATGATGCGATGCTGTCCACCGAATTGTGTAATAAAGTAGTGTGTTTCAAAATAAAAACAAGACCGGCTGACACCATTCGGTGTCTCGGAGCTGAGTACTAATAAACAACTTGTTGGCCAGGTCTTGTTCTAGTTCTGCACTACATACTGGGAGGATCTTATCAGATGTGGAGATGGGAGGGGGAGTGAAGAGCTCTAAGATACCTCAGAGATACTTGTTTGGATGATTTCATCGTCCAGACAGCCAGTCAGCCAGTCAGCTAGTCAGCTAGTTAGCCAGCGGAAAACTATTCGCCAACAAATTGGTATTTTGCATGGTGGCCGAATGCCGAAGCCAATTGCCTTCCAGAAGTGAGGTATGCGGCCCCCCTGGAGGAGAGGCAAGAAGGGCCGGAGGCGGGAGAACCTAATAACAAAATAATACAAACACGCTGATAAGAATAAACTGCGCCTGAAAAACGACAAGTGCCAGATGTGTTCTAGCAAGTCGTCTTCAGCTTTTCCATTAACCTGATAAACTAACCAGACATTGAACTTGAACCTTGGATCGGAGGCCATATCGGAGGGCTCTACTATATAGTCCTAGTGCATTACTGGGCATCTCGATTCGAATGGCATTTACTGGCCAAAGGCGTAAAAATAAATGAACTCATTTTGTGGGGGAGATGAGATGAGCCGAGCCGAGCGGCACATAACAAGACCAAGGCGAAATAACACACACAAGGAAGCCCCGAAATAGCCGAAATAGACCCGCATTGCAAAAAGTCAAATAAACAAAAAAATAACAAATCAGTCTAAAGATTCACTAAAATTAAGATCAGATCTCTCTGAAGTAGCATTACTAGTAGTAGGCATGGCCCAGAGGACAGACCTTTCTCAACCGAAAAGAAAGTAACCCCCCAAGGAAGACCTACATGCAAATCAGTTTTGCGAATGAAAGTCGATCGTGGGGTTATTATGTAAACATCGGGTTTTATTTATTTTTTTTTTTTGGCTCTTGCCATCGACACGAAAAACTTGATTGAGTTTACTTCCTACTCCAGAAACTATCCATCTCCTTGCTAGCTCCTCCAGCCCCCTTCTCCCAGTATCTCCGTATCTGTATCTGTATCTGTTTCTTGATTAATTGCAATTGAAGTAAAATTCTTATCGCCGACAGAGCCAAGAGCTGACAAAAAGCACTAGAGCCCGAACTGTTGCGAGGGGTAGGTCAGGGAGCCCTCGCTATAGTGTACTATATATATAAGCTCGTGGTTCCCGTGGGTTGCGATCCGATTCGGTATGGCATTAGCATTCCACCACAATGGGGCTATTGATAAAAACAGTTCAAGGGGGGGAGAGCGCGTGGAGCGAGTGTGGGAAAGACCCCGACCCGCAGCTGTTAAAACCCCTGTTCCTAGTTCAAACATTTCTATATAAATACGATTTCTTTCCTCGCTTTTTTTTATTATTTTGGCATCTCGAGATACATATGTGGAGCACAGAAAGTGGAATAGGTTAAGTTCTCGATTCTTTGGGGGCTTTGTTTGTTCTGCCGGTTCGAGGACAGCCTCTCAGACTGGCTAGCTGGCTTTCCCAGCCACATCTGATAAGTGGCTTAAACGGCGCTTACACGGCCGGCATGCAACTCCATTAATTAAATCCCAACCGGGTCGTGAACCGTAAAGATAACGTAATTGATTTGTTAACAGTTGTAGTATTCTCCCGCCGATCCAATCAGATCCCCGGTGGGTGGTGGACTTACTTTTGCACTGCTTTCCACTGACCACCTGCAGGATTCCATAGACGGCATAGGCGATGACCACGCAGGGCAGTGCCACTGCGCCAAAGGACACGTAATCCATTGCCTCGAAGTAGTTTGTAATCTGCTCCATGTTCCTTAGTCTTTTTTTTTTGGGAGAATCTCTCCTCCTCACACACTCGCAATGCACTGAACAAAAATACGAAAATAAATGGTGTCTTTTTTTTTGAGGCAGGAAGTCTCCTCTTGATTGATTTTTTTTTTCGGGGTTGCACGTTTCGTAAGTTTTTTCGAGGGTTTTTTTTCTTTCCTTTTTTTCACTTTTTTTAGGGGGGGCTTTCGTTTAATTATTTTTCGCTGCCAGCCTCGGCGGCAGTTGGATTATCTGGGGCACTGTTTGAATGTCCTGCGGCTCCTGGTCCTGGTTCAGGGATATGGCTGGAGTTGCTCTCGCTGGGCTGCTTCGTCTTTGTTGTTTTTGTTTCAGATGTTGTTGCATTTGTAACGCCATCGTTTTGCACCGCAAATCTGGCGTAATTGATTTGCATCGGTGGTATTTCAGTAAATGGCTAAAATCCCCAGGAATAGCGTCTATATAATTTTTTTTTTTTTTGTTAAAACACTCGCGTACCGCGTTGCTGTGACTCGCTTCCTTTTTATTTTTTATTTTTTGTATAATTTTATAAACAGTTGTTGTTGCTGTGTTGCAGTTGCACGGGCAATCTATTCATCCACCGCGCGCGATTCGACACATCTTGCCCCGTCGAAGTTCGGAATATAAAGTTAACAATGTGTGCTGGGCGAGCGACGACGAGCGGCAGTGTCTTTCCCGTCCGAAGATATTTTTTCGAAAAAAAAACAAATTGTTATTGTTGACGCTTTTAAACGACGCTCGGGCTAACAGCCGGTGAGAGTAACAGCGGTCGAGAGCGCACCGCCGGAAACGGGAGAGCGGCTAGTGATGGCACGCGTGACACGAGCTTTATATTCGGTCTCTCCATTTTAAATAAATAAATTTATGGGAAAAATCTACCATATATTTTAAAAGTATGTTTGTAAATCCTTTTTAAATAATAAATATTAGAATAAAATATTTTGAAGCATACTATTGAACACTCTCTCATCTTTGGATATATCTATGGGGCCAGTGGGGCTCTCCATGTCTGTTACTGGCTCTCTCCCTCTCTCGGGCTGTTAAGATCGCCGGAAAAGCACGTGAGGCTTTTTAACCCTTGTGGGGCATGTTGCAAATCACAAACAATAGAATAAAAAATCTCTTTCAGTAAGTATTCTCCTGAAGAGTCCCCCCAGAACCCTTAGCCCGAAATGGATGATGAAACCAGCCGGGTTTCTGGGTAAGGCGCAATTTCGGGGTTCGGTTGATTCGCAGTAATAAAATTTTGGAGCGCGGGGTGGGGGGTATTGTGAAGCCACAAGGGGAAAAAACACGTACGGCCACATGCGCCAGTTCAATGCTATTAGTGCACGTGTGTACATATATATATATATATACTCTATATATAAACCGACATCCGACCGAATGTCGTATGCAACTACCCACGCAAGCCCCCAGCCCCCCACTCGGCACAGAAACTTTCCACCAAAACCGATGACATTGTTGGTTTTGGAAGCAATTAGAATTATGCTCGGGTATTGGCCGATCCTATCTCCATTTCAGCCCCTAGCTAGCCCTTTTCTATAAGCCACGTCAGCCGAAAACTTTGTCATTGTCATCCATGAGGAGGAGGTGGGAGGGGGGCATTGGGAAAAGCTAAATTATAGATAGCTGGTGACCTTATTGACTGGCAGCGTTAATGTATGAACTATCATGGGAATCAACTCGCTGGCACGTGAATAACTAAGAGCCCAGGACCCAATTGGATTCCAATTGGGGTATCCAAGCTTCTCGAATAAGGAATAAATATTTGCAAGTGTGGCTGGGCAGTTAATTATTGCAATGCCTCGCCCACGGAGATAATTTTTATCATCTGAGGCCGACGCTTTCTTTGTTCCAATAAACCCAAACAAAAGGCCCAGAGATACGGCACGACACGTGTCCTTCTTGCCCAATTATGAGTGTTTCAATGGCAATTCCGGGTTCAGGGCTGTTGGGACACACCGGAGGTTGTCTGGAGGTCTAGACTGTGGAGACTATGGAGACTATTGAGAGCTCCTTGTCGGGTGGCAGTGCAGGTTCAACGCTTTATTTGTTGTCCGTTTTTGGGGTTGAACACCTCTACTTTGTACTGTGTGTGCTACATGGTGTATGGTATGTGGTGTTTGGTGTACGATCCACCCCCAAGAACCCCCCAACCACCCCCTGTGTGGCCTGAACTCGTTGGGGCTGTTGTGCTTCAATTCAATTGCCAGCCCATCTGGCCCAGTCGGGCGGGTTTTTGGCTCTCGTTTTTGTGTTTTGGCCATTGAACCTGATTCCCCGCTTGCTAGAGACACCGCTTGTTTTTTTGGTGGCATTCCTGTTTCAGTCTTTCTGGCTTCCACCCACCCGGGTGGGTTTAACGCACTGGCGGCCTTACTTTCTGCACGGCCAGAAACCCCAATCGCACCGATTTTGCCCAGTTTGGGGCACTTGCATGGGCCATCTGCCTTCGTCCCCACTTTCTCGCAGTGCAGCTCGACAAATAAAAATATGGTTATGGATATAAATAAACATGTTATGGATTTCCAAACTCCCGGCTCTTGCTCTCTTGACAAATGCGCAATTTCTAAATGAATCCCGATGCGGCTTCGTCGGCATTATTTCGCCACACACACGGTGTTGCGCGTTCTTGAGTTATGGGCCAATATTTTAAGGCCAACCTCGTTGGAGCGTTGGAGGCGTGGCACTTACCTAGGGTATAGTGTCTGGTTAGGCAGACAAGGTGGTAGGTCATAAGAGAAGTGCTTTACTCACCTGCAATTAAAAACAAGATGCATAACCAATAAATAAAGGTGGAGAAGACACGAAAACTTAGAAATAATGTTTTGTTTCAAGAACACAATGTTATTGGAATGTGGTTTTTGAATTATGGGCATTTAGCTGGCTGATTTATTCGAAATATTTATCCAAGTCAGGCCATAGCATTCGAAAGTTCGATTTGTGGCGCGCGGAAAAAGGAAACTTTGAACTTTCATTCATGGCGATGCGCGCGAGAGCGAAAAGCTCTTATCGGTGTAACGAACCGTTAATGTTGCTTTCGCTCCGCCATTGCTGTTTGTGTTTGTGTTTGCTTTCTGTCTTTGTCTACCGCTCTAGTGCAAGGCGGGCGAAAGTGAGAGCCCCTGGGCTCTCCTAGAGATGGGAGGTACTTGAACTTGCACAATTCTTTCGGAAGCCGGCAAAGAAAACAGCGCAGAACCGCGTAGCGCGTGTCTCTGTGGAATCAGGTGTGCGATACGGTTGTGGGTGATTGAACCGCTGCTATCTTGTCAGCCGCACACGCCCACACTGGCCCGACCTGCCCTCCCCCACCCTCCCCCGATTGAGATAGACCACGCCAGATGTTGGGGTAGGCAGGGGCTTTCTTTCCAGCCAACCAGTATTAACCAACTAATTAATTAAGAAACTAATTAAATACTAAATAAGCCCCCAGGCCCAGGGTCATAAACAAGAGGCGAGACACTTCCTGCCTTCCAGGAAGCAGTCAGAACGGAGGCGGGGTGCCCGAGACAGCAGGTGGAACCTCCAGTCCCCAGGAGTGTGTGTCCCAAAATAAACAGACAACGCGGCGGGGAAAGAGTTTTCGGGCCAGATAAGCCCGCTAACTGCAACCTGCAGCGGCTTATTAACGCGGAAGTCGCGCACAGCATCTGACAGTTACGGGCGGAAGTTGTTTTATTGAATTTATATTTAAAATTGCCTGCTGTCTTGTGTCTCTTCTGCCGTCGCCTTATCGACAATCGCCTTGTCCGCCGACGGAGGACAGCAGCCTCAAGTGGTTACCCCCCCCGAAACTGCGTCTCAATGGAACAACAGGGCGTATACGTAATCTCCTTTGTAAACTGCAACTTGTTGAGAAATTGGGCTAACTTGTAGCTTTATTTCGATTTAAATGTTTGTAAATTTTCAGTTTAAGGCCTCGCCAGCTCTTTATTGAATTAATCATCGCGCTCTTTGTTCGAGATCGCTCATTTATTGCGATTTACATTTCCGAGTGCAAGTTGGGGCTGGTTCTGAAGGCCAAGATGTGAGCGAAAAGCTTTCGCAGCCTCAGATGCCAGTTGTCAGATGCCAGATACAGTATCTGCACTTGCCCATGTATCTGTAGTTTCTTTTTTTTGGGGGCGGGGGGGAATAATTGAATTCTACTGCGCTGTAGGTGCATTGAACCTATTGTTTATTTAATTCGTTGAGCTTTCGATATGAGGCGCTAAGTAGAAACTGCTGATGTTTTTTTGGCAAATTAGAGAGAGAGAGAGAGAGAGAGAGAGCGGGAGTCCCAATCCTCATTCCAATGCCAATGCCAGCCCCGTTGCCCCCCATCGTTCGGGTATAAAATTTAACCTCGAAAACAAACTTTTCTTTCGTCGTCGAAGTTCATTGCCGTACTTTAACCTCGCGAGTGCGTTGCCTGTTTTCCCGTCCCTATCCCTGTCTCCCTCTCTGGCTCTCTCGCTCTTTGTTATTATTGTTTTTTTTTAATTTTGTTGTTATTGTTCGAGTGCCGGCGCATTTACTGCCCCGATGACGTTGTTGTTGTTGTTTTTTTTAGGCAAGAGACTTCCAATATCCTTGGCACGAGGCATATGCCCCGGCTTATCAGCCAGCCAGCCAGCCAGCCAAGCCATTTGCATTCCCCCGATAAGGGCCCTATTTAAATTAGTTTCTTGGCCATTAGGGGCTAAACAAAATTCCAAAAAAAAAAGGTTCCATCAGATAGGCTTGACTATTGTTTTCCATTGTTCAGAATTGCTATTATCTAACAGAAATGTAGGATTTTGAGTTTTGAAGCTTTTGGAGCCCACTGTGCCCCCCACAGCCAGCAATCAGCTGACTTTCGCGAGTGTGCACAGCTGTTTTTTGCGCCAACCCGAAACGTGCAGCCGCCGATTAAAGCGCATCATAACAAAACGCGAGAAGCAGCCCCCCAAGGCCAGAAGCAGCCCCCAAAGCAAAAAAAGGAAAGAATCACAAACTCACATGTTGCTGCTGTTGCTGTTGCAGATGATGTTGTTGTTGTTGTCATGCCCTGATCTTTTGTTGTTGTTGCTGCTTTTAGTTTCATCCAAAAAGGTCGTGAATTCGAATTATAATACATCTTGGATTGTCTTCTATAGTTGTGGCAAGTACTGGTGGTGCTACTTCTCTGCTGCTTGACTTGTGATGGTAAATCCTGCTCCTGCTCGGGTTTTCGCTTTGTTGCTCCGCCAGGAGTCGTCAGCATAGTGTCCTTTTCGGCAATACCCACCAGCAGCATGTTGCTGCCTCTCACTACTTGGCTTTAAAATCCAGACACTGCCACTTGTTGCCTCTGGAGGTGGGGGGGGCTGTTATTTCAACTGAGGTTGCTGCTATTGCTTCTTGTTGCTGGTGGGGCAGCCACCAATAGTGTTGCCACCAATATTGTTGCCTCGTCGGTTCTGAGTTCTATTTGCGTCGCGTTTCCTTTGTGTTGCATCAGCAATTCCACTCGCATAGTTTGAAGTTATTTTTCGCCAGACGCGCCACAAAAACAAAAACGCGGAAAACACAAAAGAGTCGCCTGCTTTCCACCGATTTCCCCGACTTCCCGGTTGACGTCACGTTTTCCGTTTTGGCGGCCAAACACCTCGGGACTGATCTACGCAGCACCCCAGCCAGTAATATCCAATAATATTTTTATTTTGATTCTCCCAAGTGCATCAGATGAGTTGCCACA